AAGTGCGAGGAGATCGAAGGTTAAAATAAAATTTAAGTGAGGTTAGGTTAGCGTGCTAGTTAGGTTAGCTCAGAAATCTGGTATCAGGAGAATATAATGTGTGAGGAGATCGAAGGTTAAAATAAAATTTAAGTGAGGTTAGGTTAGCGTGCTAGTTAGGTTAGCTCAGAAATCTGGTATCAGGAGAATATAATGTGCGAGGAGATCGAAGGTTAAAATAAAAATTAAGTGAGGTTAGGTTAGCGTGCTAGTTAGGTTAGCTCAGAAATCTGGTATCAGGAGAATATAATGTGCGAGGAGATCGAAGGTTAAAATAAAATTTAAGTGAGGTTAGGTTAGCGTGCTAGTTAGGTTAGCTCAGAAATCTGGTATCAGGAGAATATAATGTGCGAGGAGATCGAAGGGTAAAATAAAATTTAAGTGAGGTTAGGTTAGCGTGCTAGTTAGGTTAGCTCAGAAATCTGGTATCAGGAGAATATAATGTGCGAGGAGATCGAAGGTTAAAATAAAATTTAAGTGAGGTTAGGTTAGCGTGCTAGTTAGGTTAGCTCAGAAATCTGGTATCAGGAGAATATAATGTGCGAGGAGATCGAAGATTAAAATAAAATTTAAGTGAGGTTAGGTTAGCGTGCTAGTTAGGTTAGCTCAGAAATCTTGTATCGTGATAACGTTCACCGAGTTGATTGAAGGTTAGGTTAGAGTCGTAGTTAGGTTAGGTCAGATTAGTTTGGGCGTTTTAAATTTTTACAAATCTTGAATCTAACCTAACTCACATGAAACTTAGCTCACCGATTTAAAATTCTTATTTATTGCGGCCGTACTCTTATGGCGATTTAACTCGTGTATTGCGAACAGATACTTTATTAAAATTTAAAATCGTCAAAAAGGTATACGTCCGTTTACCCGCCCTGTCCTTTGGCATTCCAAAATGCTATGACGCAAAGGAATAGGCTATAATAAAGGAGCGAAATGTTTAATTTTCGAGTTTCGTGGTGTACTCCTTTGACAGCGAAAGGCTCAAATCCCAAAATGTTTATAGCCTTGCCCGAGTTTTTAAAATAATCAAAGCAGAATACATTGTGCTGACATCTGTCTTTATTATTGGGGACTAACATTTTATCGCTAAATGCAGGACACTTTATTACCACCATTATTTTAGTTGGAACTTACACCTCAAAGATGTCGCCACACTAATTTTGTAATGTACTTTATGAAACTAACGTTAGATGTCAGAGCGCTGTTTTTAAAAACCATAGATATATTAAGTTTTAACCTCAAATGCATAATGAATGTTTGTTTATTTTTTAGTCAACAATTAAACTTTGTTATCATTCCTTTCTCGCTTACAGGTTTAAATTAGGGAACTGGATACTGGGAGTGACAGGAAAGCGGCAGACTCAACCTTTGCGGAATATGATACTGTTCGCTCTGGGTCGTGCAATCGAAGACATGTAGTTCTCGATGGATGAGAAACGTTAGCATTGAATTCAGACAACACAAATTGAAAAGGGAAATGTTTTGTAACCAAAACAGGAGGACACCGTGGAGAACTCGCAGAAAACCCATCTAATGCAATTCAAACTTCTCAAGGTTGAAATCGGAACGATTACAGGATTGCAGCAGCTGGCGATGGTGCGAAGCTATTCTTAAAAGAATTGAGCCTAGAGTTTATTTGATAGAACTACGGTTATAGAAGCGGTAGTGAAATTGGTAGCGAAATAAGGCAAAAGTGTTACACAGTTTGCAATCAAGAAAAATGCGTCATTTGTGCGATCTTCGTGTGAAAGTTGTTGTAAAACGGTTCAGTTTAATGTACCTGTTATTGAAATTGTTCTTCCAAGGGCTTTAAATAAACTCCTATGCATAAGAAGTTACGAATTGCAAAAATAAATGTTTTCTGTTCATTGAGCATGATGTGTTGCCTACAAACCAGGCTACACAAATATCGAGTGCCCATATTCAAATTAGGGATTTGCTTGAATCTCCCCAATCTGCCGTTTTTATTGAGGGTAAGGAGGGCCTCCACGAACGAATGGCCCAGGGCCCCGAAAAACTTAAAAACGGCACTGCATTTAAGGAATAATAAGTGCAACGTTGCTATTAATCGCATAAATTCAAATAAGATTTTAAAAGAAGGTGCGTACCTGGCGACATCTCAACTAGACTTCTAAAACTATAATTGATAGAAAGTGTATAGATTGCCATGGAGATGGCGCACTAACAAGTACTTATTGTATTTAATCTATCTATTCAAAAACCGTGCCTTTAAACTACAATTGCTCTACAGATCTTGCAAGACTCCGTTCATTTTGAACTGCCATTTATTCAGACTTCTCAATCTAAAGTTATAGACTAGAAACCAATTTCGAAAGAAAATTCAAAGAGCCGTAACTTTTGAACTAGTAGCCCAATCTTGGAACTGTTTGAAATTATGGATTCTACAGGCCACGTTCTATAAGAAAACTTTTTTCCGGCTCGATCTGAGACAATTTTTTTTTTCGGGCCTCAAAAAAGGCAGTGTATAACCTTCCTTTTTTCCAAAAATCGACTGCACCAAAATTTTTCGGGAAAACACTTTTTCTTATTCATTTTGGTACGTAGAATCCAAAATAATTCATACTTTTTCGATCAAATTTTTTCCGGGTCGATCTGAGACAATTTTTTTTCTGGCCCCAAAAAAAGGCAGTACTTTTAAGTTTCAAATTTCATAAAAATCCAATACAACTGAATACCGAACGATCCTGGAGTGAAACTTTTTGACTCGATAGTCTACGTAACTTAAAAACAATAGGGACCTTTCTTATATCCATAAGACCATGTGTACCAATTTTCAAAGCGATCGCACGTTTCTAAACAAGTTATCATGCACACGGACAAACGGAAGGTCAAAAATGGATCTGTTCCAAAATCGCTAGGATTAATTCCAGAAAGGCGTACGTGTCATGTGCACGACGCTTTAAAAACTGGTACACGTATTCTTAAGGATATAACTGGTATAAGAAAGGTCCTGGTAGGTACCTCCTATATAATAATAATAATACGCTTTTACTCCCCTTAAATTTTAAATTTTTAATGTATTTGAGTGACAAGTGTTTAATACTTTTTACTGTATTCGAATACCTTTGATTCGAATACATTCTAAAGTATTTGAATACTTATTTTTTAAAGTATTTGAATACTTTACAATGTATCTGTATCTAGTATTCGCTTGTGTGATTTTGAGTTTAAAACAAAACTTTATTTGGATAAATACTAGAGAAAATAAATGTTAACTGAAACTGAAAAAACATACAAACAAATAATGAATAAAACATTTTCTCTACCAAAATTGGTAGGTACATAAATATAACGATTTTGATATCTAGCAATGCGTTTGGAGCTTTTCCTACTGAAACTTGTAACATCTTTGACGTGTGTACCAAAATTCAGGTGACTTTGTGAACATTTTTTAAATGGGATCGAAGCGAATGGGCCTGTGTAAATTTTTTCGTGCACAACTGGCAATCGTAAGGTTTTTCTCCAGTGTGTGACTTCTGGTGTATCTTCAGTCCTTTGTATCTTGCAAAGCATTTACCACAAACTCCGCAAACGTGAGGTTTCTCGTTTGAATGTTTGAGTAGATGATACGATAATTCCGCTTTGGAGCAGGCGGAATAATCGCAATGGAGACAATGATAGTTTTTCACACCTTTGTGCCGTTTTATGTGCAGCTGTAAATGAGAGCTGGTTCTGGTAGCGTATGGGCAAATATTACACTTGTATGGTTTAACATTGTCGTGAATACGTTTATGCGTTCGTAAGCCAGTCGATTGAATGAAGGTTTTGCCACAGATATCGCAAACATATGGATGAACGCCGGTATGTATACGGATGTGTACTTTTAAATTTCCTTTATCATTAAATCTTCTTTCACAGAATGGACAGGCGTGATTCTTTATATTGTTGTGCCTTAGCATGTGAGCTTTAATGCCACTTCTACTCCTTTCTACACCGCAAATGGTGCACAACACTTTTGAATGATTTCTACTCTTGCTTGGAGGAACAACGTCCTCGTGTATTATTTCAAACACTGAACTATTTTCAAAGAAGTTTTCTTCAAGATTTTCAGTAAGTTCTTCAATTTTCACACACTCTTCTTTTATTTCTTCAGATTCTGTGGAATGATTTGAATGTAGCAGGTTTATTTTATGCTAAAGTATGTTAGTAAATCCAGTTCACCTGCAGCAAATAAAACGGTATCCAAACTATGCCACTTCCTGTGTTAATGCCAGTTGTATTGCTGCAGGTGAATAGTATTTGATCCCCTATAAGTACCTGTATCTAGCAAGGCATTTGTACTTTTCTTTTCGCTAGGTGCTGGTAAGAGATCCACATCCAAGCTTCGATCTAAATTGCCATCACATGCAACCAGTCCACATTTCTGGAAGATCGTATATGAAAGGTGACATCGTTTCTTAAATCCATATGCCGCAAAAGCTTGCAGCTTACAATTATTACATATTAAGTACGGACCATCGACATAGAAAACCTGTAAAAGATGCTCCCTAAAGTGTACAGTTTAAAGCGGGACACTCACATTGGCGTTTGTAACGTATTTTAGTAAATCGTAAAGAGAAATGGGAGAATGGTCATCAATTTCAACTTTTCTATCATTGGCTAGAGAAATCATGTTGGATTCCTCTGATAAGCAAACCCAACAAAGCTTATTAAAAAAATAAGTTTCTTCCATATTTTCCAGTCAAAATAAACATGAAGATAGCTACATACACAAACAAATCGGTCTTACTGAAATTAGCAACAAGATTTACATGTTGGACATATTATACAGGGTGTAGAAACGGTTTATTCCATGAAAATATTTAATCAATTAGCATATCCATAGATGGCAGAAATAGCAAAAAGGTGTTTTTTTGGATTTGTGTGTGCTACCTACAGTCTTAGATTCTTATACTATATTTTCTTGTTAAAGTAATCAGAAAAACGTATTGGAGAAGATATACAACTTTCTTTTTTCCTCGGTTTCGCCCCATAACTTTTGATATAGTCGTCCAATCTTAAAAATTGCGAAAGTTTTGAATTCTACAGACAAACATCTATGAGCCTTGGCTGAAACCCCGCCCACTCAAAAATAAAGGCAACATAAAATAAATATTCTTCACGTATTGTCATTTGTTGTAGTACTGAATTACGCCAATAGGAGTGACAGTACCAATAGTCTGAAGAGTTGTTATGAGCATAATGAGCAATGTTATAACTACTTCGAAATTCTTATATCAGGAGTAAACTGTAGACCTATTAGGAGGTTCATTTTCGTACTCGGTACGACATTTACGTTGAACTCTTATTGCTGACTTTGTTTCTTCCATCCAAAACACCCTGTTAAATCTGTTCTCCCAACTTCCACAGCTCCGTCTGATGGTCCCGATTTCATTAGATCGATTATCACTGAAAACCATCTTTTCAATTGAACGTCTTACCACTCCGCCTCGTCAACACCATCTCTTTGCTGGATCCAACGTATAGCAATTGTTCGATGCGTCTTTACAATTCCTTCAATTACTGCCACATGGTCATACAGATCAGGTTCCGCCACAGCTTAATCTGCATTCGTTTCCAGCCCATTTTCAATGCCTTTGTCCTCCAGTGCTACGTGCACGCGGAAATGCAATTGCTGAATTTACGATCCGTCGATAAGTACCAGTATTACAATCGGTCCCAGAGCGATAAGTTCAATTTTTGCAATGGTCACACTCACACCGAGTGTTCATCAATCGAAATGATGTGCTTACGCCGACTTCGACTTCAAAATTGATACCGAGAATTTGTGCGCACCATGTAAATAATCGGCCATTATTGTTATAGTACCTGCGCTCGTAACAGATGTCGCTTTTTTTTAAATTTAAACTCTTAAAAGAACTTTTGAAAAAATTGCTAAAAATGAATTCAAATTCGAATCAAACCCCTGAAACACTATTTTCAATTAGAAGAAATGAGAGTTCGTCAATTCGCAGTGACACTAGTGACCGAATCCTACCTGTAAATGAAGTCGACGAAGATCCATTTTGCGTTTTATGCATCTTATGGAAATCTGGTAAACTTGGTGCTGCATATTTTAGAAGCTCCGAACGTCAGGTGCGTATACTTTAATCACCATTTGTACTCATCTACCTTTTAGCTTTATGTTCTGCAAGAGGTGATGGACGTTGCACCGGAATTTGGAGTAACTCGCTCCCTGTTTCGTGAGGTGAATCCTAGTCATACTTTAACAACTGGTAATATAAGCGACATGTTTGTAAAGTGCATTATAAACATCTTAAAGGGTGACAATAATGAAGAAGATAACTCTAACAATTCTCACACTCTTCAAACAAACACTTTGCCTGCGAACATAACTTTACTTAATATTAAAGATTATTGTAAGTGAAATCGACAAATCTAATTGTATAAGTAGCAATTGCAGGCTTTGATAATTGTGAGCATAAAGCTTACAACGTTACCGTATCATCGGAACCTAAAGATTTAACAGTAACGCAGCAGGAAGTCTTTCGACATTCGTTGATTGGTTTTGATAGCAAAGTAACAGTGCACGCGTTGGGAGCGTTAATTAAATATTTGGAAAAAAATTGGTCACATATTAATACCAGCAATACGGAGTTAACATTTTTGCACATTAACAAAGTGTCCTTGTAAGTAGAGGTGAAGTTCTTTCATAATATTTTGTTAACATGAATTTGTAGGAATGATAGCGTTCTAATAGATCAAAATACTTTTAATAGTTTACAAATTTTTGATGTCAAAAGTCACGATTCCAATTTTAAACGGGGACTACAGTCTCATACCAGGGAGGGGTTTAGCATTTACAGACTTTTGTCACAGCATTGCATATCTAAAATTGGCTATCAGTGCTTAAGGTGAGAAACTCGCTGGTTATGACATCTTCAACTCATAATACTCACTCGGCAAACTAGAAAAACATTAACTGTTTATTATCACCAAGTAATAACTATTTTGCTTCATGGGTGTTGCCAATTTCACGAACATACATTTAGTAACAAATTATAATTTAACAGATCCATATTGGCTAATCCAACAAATAACGTAGACGAACTAAAAAAACGTTTGGATTTTATACAGTTTGCATTAGATGCTAAGAACCAGACACTAATCGAAAATCTTCAAGAAACTATCAAGAAAATTTCCGACCTTACTGTAAGTTCCCTTTTTTAAGCACTAAAGAAACATAAATTTGTAGTTTATCTTTCGTAAAATTCAGTATGCAAGAGGGAATGCTAGAGATTGGGAAACTCTTTATACGGTAAAATTTTACAGTAGTTCCTCTTAATAACAATTTAATTCTGTAGACAATTTACAACATGCTCTTCCTTCATGAACTCTGTACTCCTTATGTAAAATCTGTGGCAATATTTGCAACTTTAGACAGAGCAATAACCGCCAAGTTATATAATTTGCAAGCATCAATTAACAATGGGTTGGATTTTTCGCAAGGTAATAAACGTGTTCGGCCGTTGATTAAAATGGGACTGGATTCGGAGTTGGATAAAAGTGAGTAAGGATTTCCCATAGGAGAAATTAAAAAAATTATTGTAGAGGAATTACAAAAATGCGACATATCCAAAAATGCAACGGCCGCTGCACGTATTGTGCTAAACCAACTACCCCAATTCATTGACGGGTGCTCAGTCGTTTACATGCCGGAATTGGGCCATTTTGTTGTCATCAAAGAATGGGAGGCAAATTGCGACAAAAAAGAACTTGAGGAACACGGACTTCAGTTTGTGGTAAGAAATTTGTCGACTTCATTCGTCTTTGATCCGTACATTGCAGTTTGAACTTAATCAATCTTTGCACTACAAAAATGCTTTATGCACGGGTAAGTAAAAAACCTACTCCTCATAAATGATCATAAAACAAATTTTAGACATGGATAAACAATTGGGAAATATCTACTTGGAAATCTTGTTTCACGAAAATCGTATCATTCAACGCTTAACCGATTTTGTGCTTTCCAGTTTTAAAGAAATTCTGGAGCCATTGAAAATTATCGCTATGATTGATTGGTAAGATTATTTTTCTCAGCTATTAACGCGATGTTTTTTCTTTTTAGTTTGATTGGGATGTCACGGGTAAGTAAGGAGGGAGCTTACGTTCGCCCCTCAATTAATGAGAGTTCGATTATGGAAATTGAGGATGGCCGTCATCCACTGTTAGAATTGTTCTGTACTAATTTTGTACCAAACAGTTATTTCTCTGGTGGTGAATCTGGCAGGATGAAGATCATAACTGGTCCTAATGATAGCGGAAAAACTATTTTTTTGAAACAAATTGCGCTTATTGTTTACTTAGCTCACATAGGGTGTTATGTGCCAGTTAAAAAAGCCAACATCGGTATTATGAGTAGTATACATTCAAAGATCCACATCAATGAATCGGCGAGCGTCAGCCTTTCCGCATTCATGTTGGATTTAACCCAGGTAGTAAATCCTCGTTTAATATAAAACTTCGCTTATTTTTCAGATGTCTCAATCTCTACATAATGCGAAGAAAAACTCTTTGGTACTGATAGACGAATTTGGGCGTGGCACAACGGGGGATGACGGGTTTGCACTTTTCACCGGTGCTTTAAAATCTTTTGTCGAGATGGGAGATTTGTGTCCTCACGTGGTTGTGTGTACACACTTTCAACAAATGTCCAACTATTTATCGGGCAGCGATACTGTGTCGTTTTTAAAAATGGATTACGAGAAACGAGATTCCGACATTGTTTACCTTTACAAAGTTGTCGATGGTATTTCGAATAGTTTCGCCTTTGACGTCGCAAAAGCTGCAGGGCTCGACGAGAATATTATTTCTAGAGCTCGGGAATTTTACCAGTTACTGTGTGGCGACGGAGTTTCCTTGGTAGATGATAACCAATTTGAGCCAATTACATTTAATATCGGCGACATTAACATACCTGATTTGAATTAATTTTTGTTAAGTGTAGATTCGTTTGTAATAAAGTATATGTTCACTCTGCTTGGCTATGAATATTGAATCATGTAAACAACCATTCTGGATCTGTGTTGAATCGGACGCTCAATGTAACCCACCTACAAATGCTACACATTGATATTAGTCCAGTCATGGGACACTTTTTCCTTCGCGGTTTGTTATGAAGTACTTTAAAATTCTGGCTATAGAATTTTAATTTCCTAGCTTGAGCGATCAGTTTTTTTGTTTATTGGCAATTTTCCAAGATAACCCCTTGACGGATTTCAAATTAGGATATGTATACAGTGCTATTCATTAAAAAGTAGACATAGGGATTTACGTGTGTTTGTCTACTTTTAAATGAGAAAATCTCTTCTGAAGGGCACCTAATTTTATGCAACCAAAATAATTTCTTAAAACAAAAGATTTGGCTGTCAGAAGAGATTTTGTCATTTAAAATTAAAAGTAATAGACATAGGGAAAACAATACACGTAAGTCTCTAGGTCAGGGGTCGGCAACCTATTGAAACGGAAGAGCCAAAAGTTACAATTTGCAGTTTCCAGTTTTTAAAGGGCCACTAAAAATTTTCGAATCAATACTATACTATTTGGTCATATACCTACAGGGTTCTGCAACAGTGCATCCGTCTCTCCTAGATTATACCTGGTAAAAAATATTGAAAAAAAATCTAACGTGCAAACGTCAACTACAGATGGTTAATAATAATAATAATAAGACCCTACATAACTTCACCAGACTACCAGACACAGACACTAATCGTTACTTGATTTTAATCCGTGCGATTAGTTAACCAGGCTAGACCTGAGTTCTCCCAAGATACACCGACCATAATAATAATAATGTATATTTCATGGAAATGTAAACAATGTACTTACACTCGTCCAAAAAGAAAATAATGGGAAAATACAATAAAAACAAAACATCCAAACTATAGTTATTCAATTCACTGTTGCCCTAGAAACTCTTTTACGCTGTAAAATGCGAATTCTGTTAACATTTTTTTTACATTTAGTTTAAATTGTCGCGGTGATTTTATTACTTTAACATCATCAGATAAATGATTAAAAAGTTTTAAGGCAATAATTTCAGTGCTATTTTGAGATTTTCCCAATCTACAAAATGGTATCTTGAGCGAAAGCTTTTTTCTTGTATTATGGCTGTGCACTTTCGAAACTAGTGCATATTGTTCAAATTTGGATTTTACATAACACACACAGTCTAAAATAAACATGCATGGTACAGTTAGAATGCCTAGTGTAGAAAAAATATGCCTACACTCATCACGATAACCAATATTCACAATAATCCGAATAGCACGTCTTTGTAACTTGAAGGCATATTTTGACTGTGGACAATTTCCCCAAGCAATTATTGCATACGATAATATGCTAATGACATAGTGCATATGCGTTTAATACAACTAATTGAGAAACACTATTTACTAATTATCTACGTAATAGAAAAAGATTTCGGTTAAATTTAATAGATATCGACCTAATATGTACATTAAAAGATAATTTGGAGTCTAAATGTACACCCAGAAACTTCACAGATTCACTATCACTAACGTTATGAGTTTTTAGAGTCATAATCAGTTTTTCAGTTTTTGCTGCATTCATTGACAATTCATTTCTTATGCACCACGAATTTACTAATTTAAGATTGGCTTCAGAAGCATGAAGTGCAGTTTCCATATTATGGTCATGTGCCAGTAAAGTGGCGTCATCAGTGTAAAGTACGCAGGTGGTGCCTTTTAGTATTGATAACGGCATATCATTAATATATATATAAGGAAAAGTAAAGGCCCTAGTATGCTACCCTGTGGCACTCCTCTTACCACGGGAATTTTATCCGAGATTGTATTCTGTACACGCACACACTGAGATCTGCCACTAAGATACGATTTCATTAGTGTGATGCTTATTTCATCAAAGTTATATTTAGAGAGCTTTTCCAGTAGTATAGTATGAGAGACACAGTCAAACGCTCGTGACAGGTCAATAAAGGTAGCATGTGTTATAATTAATAGTGATTATTTGTCCAAGATGATCGGAAAAGTTGGTCGATATTACACGGGCATTAAAATTGTCTATTGAAAAATTTATAAAGATATTGTCAATGCAGTTATTATATCGCGTAGGGCATGAGATAGTTTGAACAAATCCAAAGGATGAAAATAAACCACACAAACTAACTGTTTTTGAATCATTGGTATTAAAAGGCACATTAAAATCTCCAGCAATAACAGTCTTAGATGCGTTACGTAAAGATGCAAGCGTTTTTTCAATGTTAGCCATAAAAATTTCAAAGTCACCACACGGTGCTCGATAGCACGTTATTATAGTTATATGAGAGTCCATCAGATAAACGCTTAAAATCTCGAAATGTTGTTCAACGCCCAATTTGTTGATTTGTGGTAGTAGTTTAAAACTTATATTATTTTTACCTAAGATTAGGACTCCGCCGTGGGTCAGTTTATTTCTGTGGTAGGCAGAATATGTTTGCCATCTTCCGAGTTGAAAGCCATTGGCTAATTCCGCTTCAGACAGCCAGTGTTCACATATACAAATCACATCAAAATCCTTGTCACTTAAAAAACTTTCCAGTAGTTCACATTTATTTCTTAAGCACTGAATGTTTAAATGAAATAATGTAAATTCGGTATTTAGGTGTTTGTATAGGGTTTTTGGATCCTCCATAAAAAATGGTTGACGCAAGTTCCAGATGGCCAAATTGTTGGCGTTAGAATCTGTTCTCGAGACTCAGGCAGTACAGACACTCTAAATGATGCATATGAATTTGGATATTTAGACTCAACTTGTTCAACAACGGGGTCGTTAATTGAAAGTTTTATTAAATGTTGTTTAATATCCTCAGGCTCTGTATTTGGGTGAAAGCGAGATACATGAAAATGCATTCTTTTTACTTTGCTCGTGCCCGTAATTAAGGTTTTTGAGCGAGTATTTCGTCTATTTTTTTGTTTCTGCCATTCATCAGTAGCTTGTATATCGACCTTTGTAGGTACATCACTCGTTATTGAAGTTTTATTTTCTGAGAGGTCACTATTTATATGTATTATCTTGTTTAAGACCGGTGACTGTTTGCGTATCTACAGAAATTTATTGATTTATGTTGTGTATCACTATAATTTTAATTTGTATGCAAAATGCCTTGTAGCGTTAATAAAATTATTATTTATTTAAATTATTTTTGAATGTACAGGGTGTCCCATTTTTACGGTGTCAATAAATAAATGATTCTTTAAATAGAACATCCTAAATATTTGTACTTGTTTCAATTTCAATTGTTCAAATTTTCACCACCCACTATTTTATTTCGCTATTCGATTGTGTTTTGTGTCCTTTTCAATTTTTATACGAGGTGCCCTGTGCTTAAAGTTCATAATTTTTAGGTTATGCAAGTTTTTAATTAATTACATGTATATACATAGGAGTAGGCTGTGATAATAAAAAGACAAAAAAGTGTCACAAATTAGAGTAATTATGTGCTGCAAGTGTACTTTCAATATCGTATTAAAATAAAATTCATTAACATGAATTTCGAAAAATTGTACTAATTTTTTTTAGATAAATGCAGGGAGCCACAACTTTACATCAAAAGAGCCGCAGGTTGCAGACCCCTGCCCTAGGTATACTTCTTAATAAATAGCACTGTATGTACATATATATTTGCTATACACAAACAAAGAATTAGAAACTTTTTTTTCTCAATTGTCACGGCCATCTGGTCGCCTGTGGCTTTCGCCCCGCCTAAAACTGGCCCTGATTCTTTGCACTAAGAATTTTAACTAATTTTAATACAGCCGGTCAGCAAATCGTGTTTGCATACACAAATAAGAGTAGGTATTGGATCAGATTGACAGGAATGAGTAATTATCAAATTTGTATTAAACGTAAAAAAATGACATTAGAAATAGGCGTAATTACAAATTAAAACAGTTAAATGTAAAAGGAACTAAAATTACTGTTCTCCATTTTGGAAGTTATGGCAGCCTTAACATAAATACAAAGCCTAAAAACTAAATCCACCATTTGGAACGTTGGAAGAAGTATCCGGATTGAACAACAGGTGTCCTTCTGCATCGACACCAACCTCGGGCATATTATCAACTTGAGTCATCGTAAAGTAATTCTCAATAATGGATAGGGCCTTTTCATACACCTGCTCATTTTCGTGTGCTTGCAACGCCTCCATTAAATCCAAACCGCCACATTCTTCAATCATAATTGCAACCTTTTCTACCTCCCCAAGCTTATTGGCGGCCTGTAACAGTACTAAACTAGTAAACCATTTTTACCCCAAGAATGGGACACTTACATTAAGAATGTTTGTCAATCCATCTAACGCAACGACGACAGTCTTCCAATCTTTCGAATTTAATAAATTACACATGGGCTTAAGAACACCCATCTCTACTAATTTCCCAAGCTGTGCAATACTGCCGCCGCTCGTGTAATTTGTAACTGCCCATGCCGCTTCCTTTTGAGATTTGAAATCGCCAGTTTGCAACACAACCAATAACGGACGCATGATATCGGCATCAAGAACTTTTTGAATTTGATCAGAATTTCCTGCGGTAATATTCGAGACCGTCCACGCGGCTTCTTTAACAATGTTCAGACGAGGATGTTCCAATAAACGACCCAAAACGCTCAGAACGCCCGCGTTTAGTACAGCATCGGTTTGATTGTCGTTACCGGTCACAATGTTACCAACCGCTCTCAATGCGGGCGTTAGCACATTAATTTCTACATTCGATAGGAGTTCGACCAATCGAACGACTAACCCTGTTTCGAGTACTGTTTGAATTTTATCGTTACTGCCATCGGTTAAGTAGCTCAAAGCCCAACATGTGTCGGCCAAGACATCTCGATCGTTGTAATGGAGGAGTTTTGCTAAAAGCGGCAGGGCGGGTCTCACATGTTCAAAATCGGGAGGTGGGTTTTTATTTCGACACAAATTTGAGATGGCCCACACAATGTTACGCATCAAAGTGACCTTTAAGAGATGTACTATGTAAAGCACCCGAATATCAATATCCTTTAATAAACAAATCCAATAAAGGGCGTACATTGCTTGCACCTCTTCAAATAATCGAGACCCCCCATGTTGGAGCTCGAAAAAAATTCAATATAAAAAAATGATTATTTTTTACAGCAACTTTCCAAAAAAAAATGAACCCTAAGCGGTTAACGAACAAATGTTGAGCCTTTTGAAAGTGTAAATCCGAAATGAAACATTTTGATCTTTAGTTTATTAGGAAAAGTTTTTGTTTTGGTTACCTTTACCACTCAATGTTTATGACACCCTGTATAGAGCTTATAGGTTAGAAATTTGTCACACATATTTCTTTTATTTCCATCCAAGGCACTCTCTAAAAGATTGGGTAATTATCTTAAAACTACGGCCTAAAAGTGTTCCAATACTATTCTGTTAAACAATGCAGAAATGAGTTTTATTAGATTCTTATGAAAACTAAACAGGGTTGCCCAACTTCAAGAGGCCACTTTAAAAAAAATACAAGATGGAGAGCCCCATTATAACATCTTTGTATGCAACTTTATCAGTGATATTTTATTTATTTTTTTTTTATCTTACTATCCATGTAAGATATAAAAAGGTAAAAATGGCCCTTTTTAGATATTTTTACGTAGAATCCAGTGGCGTAGTAAAAAAACTTTTTGGACCGTTTCTGAAATTTGACCCAAAGTTATTATTTTTTAAATGCAACACTCTGTATATCTTTACGTCAATTTCTTGCATTATTTTTCCTGATTACATTGATGTATGGCAACCTATATTTTTTAATATAATTATATTACATCATATTTTTTAAATTTTTGAAATGACATTTCTACTGTTAGTCATTTTTATTGATTAATTGGTGTTAGTTACCATGGATACAATAAACAAAATAAAATCTCCATGAATCCATGGCTTACTATTTAAAAATTGTAAAAAAAAAAAGGTTTTTATTTTTTGTTCAAAACTAAAAGTTAAAAAACGTATGTTGTGGTACATCAATGTAAACAGGAAAAAGAATGAAAAAAAATTAGCGCTAAGATATACAGGGTGTTGCATTTAAAAAATATCAACTTTGGGTCAAATCTCAGATACTGTGGTCCAAAAAATTGGGTGGTAAAATACGATAACATCCCAAACGTCAAAAAACTGGTACATGGTCGCGAAAATCGTAAGTCTCTATCTTTAAAAACAGCCTGTACTAAAAAAATACACGTGATTGGAGAGGGAGGGTTAGTCCAGGGAGGAGAGGGCGTTTAAAGTTACAAAAATATCACCACGTGATTAATGATGACCCCTACATAAATAAACATGCGAATGCTTTTTGACATTGGATGCCCTTTATTGGTATTGCTTTATCAAACCACTTACCGATGTGTCGGGTTGCACCAACTTCAATAAATCGATCATAATCCCGCTATCAAGTACCAAATCACGTTTCTGAGGCCCGTCACCTGCGATATTACCCAGCGCCCAAACAGCTTGCTCGGCGACATCGCTACGGGGTGACGCGAGTAACGCTTGCAATTTTGGAATGGCGCCCTCCTGAACGACAGCCTCCGTTTGCTCTGATGTTCCGGATGCTATGTTCGTAAGTGCCCAGCACGCCTCAAACTGAAGTAGCGGACTGAAAGCAAAACAGTGAGAAAACGTATCAAAAGAAACTGCGCGTTCTACTTATGGAAGTGTGATAAGAATTCGACAAATTTAGGAACCACTCCAGATCGTATCATGTGATCAATGGGTGGATTCTTCTCACGACTTAATGCTTTGCGACATGCCTGGGTAGCTTTAAACTGTATTTCTTCATCGGGACTCATTAATCCTGGAAGACAGAACAAATTAGTCTAAAATGATTGCTTTTACTAAGGCGCTGTCTACCCCATAAAAAAATGTACTGTTCTGTATATTGTATGGACTGGTAGGGCCTCACTATTTCTTTTCCCACAAGAAGATTGATTTATTCTGACCCTTCTAAAAGTAAATCAGGCACACAAGGATAATTGTGACCCTCGACAGCTTGATATGTTATGAAACTCAAACCAAAATCCAGTATTCAAACATCTTAAACCTCAAAAAATACCCTCACACAACCCATACAATTCAAATTTAAATCTCAAATTGCAAAAACCGAGGCTAAACCTTTTAGAGTCTGCATTTTTTAAATGTTTTGTTGTACGAATTTGAGTTTAAATTCACCAATCTCATGGCACTGCAGCAGAAAATCTATCTTTAGGAATTAAAAATTCAAACCCAAACATTTAAAATTCGAAATTTGAATTTTTTTACTGCTCTATTGAAAGGGAATCGACTCCTTCCAAAAATATACATGTATTGGTCTAACTCTTATCTTCTGAATGCTGTAGTCCCTATGGATTAAGGAAATCAAGGGATGTACCGCATCGTGGCTTTAAGTAAAAAAGTACATGTATTGCCAGAAGTGGAGACCCCCTCAGATTTTGCAATATTACCGAACAAAATTTCATCAGATGTCATGGCAACCGGTGATGGTAAGTTGCTATCGTGTAGTGGCGATGTGGCTTCTTCTTTATCAGAAATATTTCGTCGTTTGAGTAGTTGGTCATCTTTTCTCGCTTTCCTCAATTCGATGGTTTGACCGATACGTCTGCGACGCATTTCCTAAACGCGATCATTAGAACACAATAGCAGTACAACCCCCAACACTCACCTCAGTGTCCTTCCCCTTATTTTTGAAGGAACGAATTCTACTCTCTGCATCTGCCATTTTCTACAAAATGAAGAAGAAAATGTGCAAATTACAATGTAGTTCACGTGAAAAATAGGTTATGAAGACAAGAAGAAGAAAAGATTAATTTTGAAAGACTTCTAATAATTACCCGATTATTTTAAAATTGCAAAAACTTAACACGAAACTCGAAACGTAACTTGAAGCAACGAAAATTAACAGCGGAAATAAAGAACCGTTAAAACTTCTGTCACAAACAAGATGAATTCTAATTTAAGCACACCAATAGTCTTCTTCCTCCGACCTTTGTTTCTATTGGCTGAAAATACGAGGGAAATTTAAATTAAAAATAGAAAAGTCAAAATAAAAAAGTGGCTCGTTTTTGGTTTCATTACATAAACAAGCAAACGTGTCAATTATATTATTATACCTAAAATGAAAAATTATCGTAGGTATGCATTACTGAAGTTTGACACCAGTTTCAATTTTAAATGTCATTATTAAGATAAAAGCAGCAATTGTTTTTTACTTTCCTCACTAGAGAGGAAAATCACATTTTCTTCACTCTTTTTAGAAACGAAAGTAGTTAGTTGTTTCTAAAGTAGTTTCAGAATAAAGAGTATTCCCTACCTCACCTAGGCTTCTCTTGTGTTACGTACCTACACATACTCTCTTTTCAAAAATGATGGTGTATAAGTGCTAAGAACTAAGATTTTGGGCTAGAATGTACTTACAAGAAAGGTGGTAACCCTCACTGCTACACTGGGGATTTTTATCATGTTCGCCTCCTTATAATTCTGCGCCTCGACTCCATTAACCTATTCATTTAGAGGTATACCTACGAGTAAATACACGTCAACGTATACATACCCCCTAGCTTTGGGCCGACGGCCAATTCTCAAGTACGTACCATATGTGCTACAGGTACGTACAAATTAAACTTACTTATTACTTACACTCTGAGGACTGATTTTTACGTGTGTTGTAGGGAATATTATAAACAATTAGAAATTAAAACTCCCAGGACCTAACTGTCGGCAGTATCATATTGCCAGACACTTTAAATATCAAAAGCACAATATAAAGGATATACTGTGCTTATAGGTTTGGTCCCTATGATTGGTCTCACTGGCAGCATACAAAATATATTAAAATAGCCCTCTAAAATATCATAGGAAAAAATTAAGTCTGGAGACTGTGTGAGTGAGAACAATTTTCACACAGGTATCTGTAGCACCTGGTACCTAAGAATTGAACGTCGGTCCAAGCTAGGGGGTATTCTGTACGTTCATTGTACACAAAAATACTACTCCACTGTATATTTTGTGCATAAAAAAAAAAATAAGTAAGGTCTGGGGACCCTTGGACTACTTATTTCAAAGGCCTAAATGCGTGATTAAGTTGATCTAGAGTGTACTTTGGTAGTGTTGGCGTTTTAGAAATGTCAATAAAATTACAGTAACAAAAAATTCCAATGGCAGAAGACAATATACCTTATGATGATCCGTCATTAAAAGGAATAAGTAGGTATTTAAATAACTGTACAATTAAAGGACGTGCCAATGTAATTATTTCCATGCATGTGAAATTTGGGTAAACTAATTTTGATTAAATTTCAGGTAGCAATAGTAACTTATGTAGGATTAGCAATAGCATATGTATACCACAAGTTGAAAAAAAGAGCATCCTCCAAGGCATAGTGTAATGACGTCGCATACTAAACTGGATTCTATACAATAACATTCACAAGTATTCTACACTGTGGCTATTGTTAAAATCTGTAGGTTCAACCTCAAAAATAAATTACTAAGTTATATTTTATGTTAAAATCAGCCTTTGAAAGTAAATGCTTAAAATACTATTACATTATGAAATTTATTTACTTCCCAACATACTTGGGCAAATTTACAGAAATTGTTACAACGTAAAGAGTAATAATAATTTTCATTCGAAATATAATCTAGTTAATACATTATAAGATGGTGACAATATAATGAATTACAATGCACCTTTCTTGGTCTGACTCTCATGCATCGCTTTGGCGATTGTGCGCTTCATCTCATCGTCCCCTTGTTCGTACCTACAACAATGTGTCAGTGTCAACAAGTGGATAAACGCAACTTACATGTTTTTCATTAGACTCATTAAACCCTCTGAAGGGTCAGCTGAAGCATCAGGATTTGGGGTTGATAATTTCTTTGCATCGCTTGCACGTTTTTCAATTTCCGTGACAAACTCCCAATTCTTTTGTTCAACCTTGGCCGCATTAATAATTATTGTATCTGAAATGTTTATAATTATAAAAACACAAGCAACAAGTTGAATTACCAGATTTAACTCTCCACACACTGTCAGCGGGATTAATTTGCATCAGAAGATGATTTATTGTAAATAGATAATCTTTGCCTTCCAAGTCTTTCACGCTTAATTCTAAACTTTTCGCGGTAAAACTGCAAGTAATATTTTCAGCAGGAATGTTTTGAACGTTTTTTAACGTAACATAAAACTTAACAAACTTTGATGTTTGATCCCAAGCTATAAGTAAATGAAATTGTAGTGCTAATTATTACATTAGTTTAGTCTCGAGTTTAGTTTACCGTAGTTCGTCAATTTTACTTGATATCGTTTGATGACTGCAGGCTTAGTTACTTTCTCAGTGTTTTGAATTTCAGCTTGAAGTCGGCCGAGTTCCGCCTGTTGTCTGTTTAGCTCTACTGTAAGTATATTCTTTATTCGTTGCCTTTTTGCTTGTTTTTGCAACAATTCTAATTCGGCTACATCTTGCATAAGCTGAAACACCATAATAAAGATAATGGTCAGCGTGTGGGATAGAGATGTAAAAAGAAAAATAGCACACAAACACATACCTCTTCCATTTTCGTCTATCTATTAAGTTCTTCTATTAAATCTTTCCTTTGCTTTCTTCAGTGCTTCTTAAGATGAAGGGATAGAATCAAAAGACTTGAGGCCTAAAATCCTAAATCACGAAAAGGGGAACTTTTGAGATTTGAGGTTATAACTTATAAGCAGAAGGAAGAGCCACAGCCACAAACTATCAAGGTGGGAGAGCTTGCGTCTAGAACTAAATGTGATTCCTCTTACAGCCATTTAAAAATTTATCATCTTCTAATTGGCTAACGGACAGATGGAAACATATTACGGAGACTCACCTTTAGACAAAAACGTGAGATCTCACGAAAAATCGTGAGACCTCGCAACCCTGGCACTTTAAAATAAACACATGACAATCTTTATAACCTCACTTTTTATTACCAATAATCTTACATAAGGCTATATGCATAATTGTTTATTGTAATTCGTATTTAAAGACCAAATGTATAAAATCGACTGGTCCTTAAAAGTATACAAATAATGTTTTCGTCAGGTGACACATTAACAAAGATACTGAATCGAAGATTTGTAAAGATTGGTCTACCCCTTCTCGTACTTGTAGTAGGTGGTTCTTTTTACTTAGAGCAGTTTTCACAGCTACGGTTTGTATGTGGGCTTCTCTGATTAGGGCATTAATTTAACGCTTGTAGCTACACATTTGGCAAGAAGAACAGCGCGATAGATCGCGAAGAGTTGAAAAGACTGGGGTTTAAGTTGAAAAAACCAGAAGAAATAACCTTAGAAGCGGAATATGAAAAGCTCAAATCGTTGGATATTGACAGTTGGAGCCAGAAACGTATACCAAGGCCGTGGGATGAAACCGCCGAATAAATTTTGATTTTCAATTTAATTAAAATGTCAGCGGAATGCGAAGATGTCATTCCCGCAACTCCACCACCGAATAAAAAAAAACCGTGTTATACTAAGGGACATTTATTGAAATTTGCGATTGAGCCACAAGTAAGGCATAACGTTTGTACGGCTGTAAGAAAATGCTATAAACCTCCGTTTGTGTTTCACGAAATTGTCGATATAATCAATTTCGACGGATTTCGTCAGCCCGTTAACCAAAACATTAAAACCCTTGGCGTTTTCAAGCAGAACAAATTAATCGACCACAGATGTAGCATTTTCAAAAGTGACAGTCTGTCTGTTAAATTAAAATTCCTTGTAAATGCTCCCCAGCCAAATCAAACGGTAGAAGTTTATGGTTATTTATCTCCTCAGAAGGAGATTGTTGTTAAATTTTGGACTCAAGTTGTCGGAGATGTTCAACGGTACTGGACTAATTTAAAATTGCAAAAAGCTCAATATACACCTCTGTGTTACAAGGAGGTTGAGTGTGTCGAATCAAGTGTGCCAGTGGTGCCTGAATATTTTGATGAAGACGATAATAGTTATTTAATTAACAATGTAAATTGTATTGAAGAAATGATTAAAGGTCTTGAAAATTTTATGTGTTTTGGTGGGAATTGATCTAGGGCATCTAGGGAATTTTGTTTCTTTATTAATAATGATCCCTTGTTCAAAAGAAGAAAGTAAGTTCTTTATTTATAAACTGCTTCTTTGCATCATTCAGATGGAGTGAAGAAAGCTTGTTCTTGTGTTGAATAAATGGCCATTGTTTATCTTCTTTTGGTGTTACAAAAACTAGTAAAAATGTGCATAGTTAATTTGGGGGGGAGGTGCAATTTTTGAATTTTTCGGCTTTTATATTGACATCCTTTTCTATTGCCTAAATAACATAACATTTTGTTCTATTTATATTTATGAAATTAACTGGATAATTAATACTTTAGTAAATTTATTAAGTGGCAGAGCAGAATGATGCAAGCTTTATATAGGGGAGTGAAATGAAAATGGGTCAAATACAATGACTCACAAAAAGATCTAGTGTCTACTTCTACCTTCAGCACTAATTGTTTCCCGTTTAGCTTTATTAAACTAACACGACGCCGGTTTAGTTTTATTGAGAATGAGTCCAGAAAATTTACTTAAAAACTGATCAAGAGTAAATCGTACACTTCTTTATTAGTCTAGACCATATAACATTGCCTTTCCTACTCAATGTATAATAAAAAAAAGAATTGATAAAATAGAAACAAAATAAACATTTTTATGTACAATGAACAGTGTGCCTTATTGTTTCTAGTAAACATTCAGATATAACTTGCAATGTTGTATAGTGTGTACCAAATTCAACAAAAAAAAATTTGTTGTGGTTCACATAAGTTACAGAGGCTCCATAATAATTTGTTGGCAAATATATGGGTAAACATTAAAACAATGTTGTACTCACTGAGTCACTGCACCTTTCAATAAAGTTGTAATAATCGACGTCCATAATTTAGAGTGCCATTCAAATCAACTAATTTCTGTACAATGAACATGCAATGAAACCTAATTTTTTCTCTCATCTTCATCATCATCCCAATCATCAATTAATTTATTCACATTCGTCGACTTTGTATCCGATTGTTGGGAATCTGTATCCTCCCAATCTTCCAAAATTATTTTTGCCGACTTATCCAGCATTATCTTTGAAAAGGTTTTCCTCTTAGTTTCTGATATAGTTTCCGAGGGAGCATCCAATGACGCTGTGTTTTCGTCATCGCCATTCGGTTTGTCCTGCGAATTCTCCCTTGGACTTTCTGCTTCGCTTGATTGAGACATGTCCGGTGTATCCATATGAGGATCGGTCTCGTGGACAACTTGCGACGGCGCCTCTTCAGGTTGCTCATCATCATGAGTTGGTTTCTCTTGACTATCTACTTGCTCTTCTGAAGTTGCTTCATCGTGTACTTTATCGATTGGGAGATCAGTTTCTGTTGTGTTATTGATCGGGGCAGTTTCTTCAGTTGCCTGTTCACCACTCTCAATACAAACTTCATCAGGCAACTGTTTTTGAGCCATTTCCCCAATAGCGGTATCTTCCTCTTGAACTGAATGAGTAGAATCTTGATTTTCTTGAATGTCCTCTCCCTCAGGATTTGCTGTATTTTCATCGTCGACAGGTGCAGGTGGTAGTGGTTCTTCGGCACTATTTTCACAGCTTCTATGCTCTATAGTGTTGTCCTTGAAACATAACATTATTGATTACAAACTCCAAATATTTTATAATAAGTTAAAAAGTAATCGTAAACGATTTACATAAAGCGCATTTCCACTTGCATTCATTTCCTATTTGTAAGATGCAACTTTTTTGGTAAAAAAGGAAGGTTATACACTGCCTTTTTTTGAGGCCCGAACAAAAAATTGTCTCAGATCGACCCGGAAAAAAAATTTTCTTATCGAATGTGGCCTGTAGAATCCATAATTTCAAACAGTTCCAAGATTGGGCGACTATTTCAAAAGTTATAGCCCTTTGAATTTTCTTTCGAAATTGGTTTCAAGTCTATAACTTTTGATTGAGAAGTCTGATCGGAAAAGTACGAATTGTTTTGGATTCTACGCACCAAAATTAATAAGAAAAAGTGTTTTCCTGAAAAATTTTGGTGTAGTCGATTTTTGGTAAAAAAGGAAGGTTATACACTGCCTTTTTTTGAGGCCCGCAAAAAAAATTGTCTCAGATCGACCCGGAAAAAAAAATTTCTTATAGAATGTGGCCTGTAGAATCCATAATTTCAAACAGTTCCAAGATTGGGCTACTAGTTCAAAAGTTACAGCCCTTTGAATTTTCTTTCGAAATTGGGTTCTAGTCCATAACTTTTGATTGAGAAGTCTGATCGAAAAAGTACGAATTGTTTTGGATTCTACGCACCAAAATTAATAAGAAAAAATGTTTTCCCGAGAAATTTTGGTGCAGTCGATTTTTGGTAAAAAAGGAAGGTTATACACTGCCTTTTTTTGAGGCGCGAAAAAAAATTGTCTCAGATCGACCCGGAAAAAAATTTTCTTATAGAATGTGGCCTGTAGAATCCATAATTTCAAACAGTTCCAAGATTGGGCCACTAGTTCAAAAGTTACAGCCCTTTGAATTTTTTGTCGAAATTGGTTTTTTGCCCATAACTTTTGATTGAGACGTCTAATCGAAAAAGTACGAACCGTTTTAGATTCTACGCACCTAAATTAATAAGAAAAAGTGCTTTCCCTAGAAATTTTGGTGCAGTCGATTCTTGGAAAAAAAGGAAGGTTATACTGCCTTTTTTTGAGGCCCAAAAAAGTAAAAATCCGGCCACAAATATGAAAGATAGCGTTGCACATGTGCAATCCATTTTTGATGTGCTACTTCAATTTCAATTTATAAGAAGAGTTTCATTTCAATGCTTTTCTAAATAAGAAAGTTGGCACTGCGCATGCGCAAAACCAAAATTGAAATTGGCGTTAAATTTGCTTTTATTCCAAATGGCTATGTATCAAATTTCATTTAAATCCCTCCATAAATAAGAAAGTCGGCACTGCGCATGCGCAAAACCAAAATTTGAAATTGGCGTTAAATTTGCTTTTATTCCAAGTTCCCAATTTTGAATCGATTCGACTCAACTTTTGGCATGGCGGGCGACAAAGCGGACGCGTTTTGCAAGCGTTGCAAAAGTAAAGTTTTTGAGGGTGTTAAATGTGTAAACTGCAAAAGTGAATTTCACGACCGTTGCACTGAAAAACAGTGTAATGGAATTCGTACAAATAATGGTAAAGAATTTATGTGTTGTGATAACCTCGATAACAACATTGACCACAAGTTAAATACTGAAGATAACCTATCCAGTGACACTGCCCACCTCATGGATGAAGACGTTTCAAACCTGACTCCCATACAGGTAGAGAATAAATACTTAAAAGTAATAATTAAACAAAAAGACGATCTAATTAAAATATAAACGAGCAAATCTTCGCACTAATTCAAAAAATCGGGAGTGGTGGGTCGCGCGATTTTGTTAAAGACAATAAGCCATCTACCAAAGGAGAATCTAAAATTACCAAAAAAGTAGATAATGTAATCACTAAACCCGTTCAAAAAATTACCAACCTTGGATTAAGTTTAAGACTGATACGCCCGCGTCCAATTCGAAAAATAATCCTGTTCCGACATCTATTGATAGAAGTACAAATCGCGGAAATAATATACCTGTAGCTAACGTTAATGAAATTTTGTCCACGAATTAAATCTATAATGTTCCGGAAGACAAAAGTAAGATGGAAACATTGACTACTGTAGTCAAAAAAACACCCAAAACAGTGCGAACTCTGTGGCGTTGAGACTCTCTGAATTTGGCAATAATTTGTGTATATAGGTCTCCTGCAGGCGATCATAATTGTTTTATTCAAACGATCAATAGACTGTTATTGTCAATAAATTTGAAGAAGAAATGGATGATAGTTGGAGATTTCAATGTTAAGTTTGGAACGACTGAAACTGAAACGACTCATTTAACTGATCTGCTATCGTCATTTGATTTTGATCAAATGATATTCGACAGCAAGGAAGCAGAATTGTATCGATAACATCTTTGTTAATTTCAAGGTAAACCTTGAACATGTTTCTGTAATAGATCGTTTTTTAAAAGATTCTAGTAGTCCCAGCGAGGTTAGGTTTAATACATTTTTTAATATAATTCTACAAGAATTTGATAATTGTTTACCAGTTAAGTGTAAACATTTTAATAAAAATCAAAAATCAATTTCCTGGTTTAACCAGCATTTAAGTAGGATGAGGGATAAACTCTCACTGATAAATGATGTTTATAAAGCATACAATACCAGTCCCCTACGTACACTTAGGAATAATTTTAGACAAACATATCGTACTGAACTAAGGAAAGCGAAAATGTGTGCAAACAAATCATTTATCAACAATGCCAAAAATTCTAGTAAGGCCATGTGGTCGATTATCGATTCTTCTAGAAACACTAATCGTCAGGAAAGTCTATCGAACCTAACACCTGAAGAGTTTAATACATATTTTAAAGAAATTCCAGCGAAAATCACCAACAGAATTAATTCTACTTCTTCTGCAACATTAAGCACGAGCTCATTTAGTCGGATTAATAATCCGGCTCCCCACTTAAATTTTGTTTGCACGAAGTAAGCATCATTGAGGTAAGAGACGCCATTACGTCTTTACCTAATAGTAAATGACATATATGATCTTTCTGCAAAAATTGTAAAATGTCTAAGAGATTTAATTGTATTACCACTAACAGTGTTAATTAATGAGTGTTTTAGGGAAGGGACGTTTCCAAAGGCATTGAAACGGTCTATAATTTTACCTTTGTTTAAAAAGGGCGACAAAGAGGATGTTTCAAATTATAGGCCGATATCAATATTCCCATTTTTTCTTTTCAAAAATTTTTGAAAAGATCTTAAAAAATCGCATACTGAATTATTTTGAGGTCAATAATATTTTTAATAATGCACAATACGGTTTTAGATCAAAAAAGTCAACGACGGACGCCCTTGTAGATCTATCTAGTACAATCTTAATTACATTTAATGAAAATAATTATACAACAGCAACTTTTCTAGATTTAAGCAAAGCTTTTGATTGTGTAAATCATCAGATCTTGTTAAATAAGTTCAAAGCATATAATTTTGATGCAATTTCCATTAAACTCATGCAATCATATCTCGAAGAACGTTCTCAAACTGTTAGATATAACGGTTTATTCTCAAAAGAAATATGTGTACAGTCTGGTGTTCCACAAGGTTCCATTTTAGGGCCTGTGCTTTTCTTAATTTATATAAATGACTTGCCTTCTACATTGAATGGTCATTTCATATTATATGCCGATGACACTACAATACTAAGCTCTGGTTCTAGTCTAGAAATAACAAATATAAGAAGTATAGATCTTCAAGGGCAGTCCAAGTCTTGGTTCCACTTGAACAAGTTGCCTCTAAATGAAGACAAAACAGAAGTTTTAACTTTTACGATGAGAAGGGACACTGATGTAATTAACCAAACGCCGGTGAAATTTCTAGGCGTCTATCTGGACTCCACACTTTCATGGACACGCCATATTGACGAGCTCTCCTCAAAACTGAACAGAACTGTGTTCTTACTCCGTAATTTAACAAACCATGTTTTTCCGGAAGTTACGTGCACTGCGTACTTCGGATTATTCCATGCCATAATGAATTATGGTATTTTAATATGGGGTCACTGCTCCTCTGTATCTAGAATCTTTAAAATACAAAGAAGAGTGGTTAGAATATTGGCTAATCTAGACTATCAATCTGATTGCAGGCAAGGCAAGTCTTCACAGATTTGGAAATATTAACCTTACCCTCACTTTACATATATACCTGTATGATTTATATGAAAAGTAATTGCCAAAAATTTAAATGCCACTCGGACTTTCACAATTACGATACGCGAAATATGCATTATTACGTACCTACTTATTTACGTCTTAAAAAAAGTCAGTACGGCCCTAATTTTTTAGCCATAAAATTTTTTAATATGTTGCCCACCGCTCTCAAACATTGCAATGAAATGGAGTTTAAATCTAAAATTAAATCATATCTAATAAAAAAGGCTTTCTATTCACTAGAAGAATTTTTGACGAATAAATGTTGTGATATAATGTAATAGTTTGTATAATTATTATGTTTGTTTGTAATTTATTATATTCGTTTGTCTCTTACATTGCATACTTAAAATGACTTGTGTAAACACCATGTGTAAAACATCAATAAATATTATTATTATTATTATTATTATTATTATTATTATATGGCTAAAGCTATGCCCATATTGAATTTCATGCAATTCAGTTCATAACTAACGGAGATGTAAAAGCGATCGAACATTTCTAAACAAAGTTATTGTTCACACGGACAGATAGAGGGACAGACAGACAAAGGAACAGACGGACAGACCAACAGGCAGACGACAGACAGCAATGCAAAATTATAAACGATCTCTAGGTTCATTAATAAACGGCAAATGTGTAAAATTATGGAACATGTAAAAAAGGGTTTTTTGTTTTTTTACAATTAGCCCAGTAAATGACCGTTTTGCCGTGTAATTATTCGCGCCTCGACGGATTTGCTTCAAAATTTGGATTTTGGTTCCTCTTACCCTCTACTTCAAAGGTGAACTTGAGCCCAGGGTTGCTTTTACTTGGGGGGTGAATGCCACCCCTCCTCGCGGGGGGGGGGGGGATACGTTCAAAAAAAGGAAATTGCGAAAAACCGTCTGAAAACGTAGTTTTTTTGTTGAAAAATGAACATTTTCACTCGCAAATAACTCGAAAACTATTGACTTAGTGAAAAAACTCTATAGAACAAAAGTTGCTTAGAATTACTCAATTTATCAATTTTGAACGTATCTTCCCCCCCCCCCCCCCCCCGAGAAGGGGTGGCATTCACCACCCAAGTAAAAGCAACCCTGGGCTTTAACTTTGAAGTGGAGGGTAAGTAGAACCTAAATCCAGATTTTCATGCGATTCGGTGGAGACGCGGAAAATTACACAGTATCGCCGTATTCCACGTTCATTTACTGGCCTAAATAACTTTTTTTGTAAGCGGTACAGAAAAAATTCCTTCCTTAGTGCAAGACTCGACACCATAACGAACCAAATAGCGAAAAAAGTAGAACAATAGCTCTTAAGATAAAAAACTAGTAGCGTCTCAAAACGAGCGGACGGACGGACGAAGTGGCCACAATAGCGCATTTGTTTTTATTTTTGTGGAAATGCGCTAAAAATGGGACGTGAAATTTATAACAATAAAATACATACCACAGTCTCTTCAACTGCCTCAATAGAAGCCAAGGGTAGGTCATTAGGTTCCGAAGGAGGGACATCAATTGTTTCATCAACTACTTCATTCTCATTTTGATTTACTTGAGGTTGGTCAGTCTCACTGTTCTCAACATTCTCAATAGTTGATGCGTGTTCTAAAACATTGTCATCTTCTACTTCTTTCTCTTTATCGGCCAACGCAGCCATGTCCGAACACAACTCTTGTTCCAACTCTGTGTCATCCATAACCTCCTTGTCTGCAGCTGCCATGTCAGTAGTTAACTCTTGGTCCAAAACAGCATTATCTATAACGTCCGTATTTTTTTCCACCGTTACCATATCTGCAGATAACTCTTGTTCCAAAGCCCTATTATCGGCGACCTCCTTCTCTTTATCATTCAAAATGACCATATCTTGAGGTAATTCTTGTTCTACCTGCACCCCAGGATGTTGATTGATCTCTCGTTGAATCATCTCAATCGATTCAATTTGTGAACTGTTCACAAATGAAGCGGTGGACGAAACGACTGCGTTCGTATTTCTTAACTCTATTATGCCCGCCTGGGAGGTTAGCATTATGTTCCCTTGGGAGGTTATGAATTGGTTCTCTTGTCCTTCGATGGGATGCGAGTATAAGACGACAATGTTCGAATTTTCATTGGACATTATTTCATTATTGCCGTCGCCGTAATCGTGATCGGTCAACACCATAACTAATTCATCGGTCGAAGTTATGTCCGTGTTATGCAGCATCGATTGAGTGATTACATTCTGTTCGGATGTAATCACCTGCTGATGGGTTGTAAAACGTGCGTCCTGCAGATCGGGCAGAATAAATTCGGATTCTCCCTGAGAGATTGATTGTTGATTATTTGCTTGCAAAATGTATTGATCGTTTTCGTCAAGTACCACGACGTCAACTAATCCTAGGCTTGTGGCGATACCCGACGCGACATTGTTGAGCGAGTCTGCTTCGGAGCTGCGTTCAATTGCTAAAGGTTCAACACCTGCCGCCTGCGTTTCCATTGAGGATAATTTGACATTCGATAATATTTTTACTTTCTCTTTTTTGTCAGATCTGATTTCTGGGACAATGTATTCGGCTTGATCGTCGTCATCTTCCGAATCTTCCATTTCGTCGATGCTCACTATACCATCTCGGCGTGCTTCGTCGCGATGTTGGGTCTTAATATGCGTGAACAATGTAGAACCGGAGTGGAACTTTTTCGTGCAATACTGACAATCGAAGCTATTCCTGCCCAGCTTGCCATTGTGACCGGTGATTAACGAATGAGCTGTGAGAGCTGGTTGATTGATGAACGCCACCTTGCACTCCAGACACTGCAGTTCGTACTTGCCGTGGTTCATTTTGTGTTTAAGCAGCAATGATTCGGAGAGTGCAATGTACGGGCACGAATTACATTTTGGGAACTTATATTGGGGTGGTGGTTTCACGCCGTGTCTAGTGTATTGGTGATAAATTAGTAGGTTGCTTTTGTTGGTTTTATAGCCACAATATTTGCACATCCTCGAGTCAAATTTTTCATGATGCAAATCAGCCATGTGCTTCCGAAACAGATAATACAAAACAAAATCAACCGGTTCCTCGGGAGTACTGCACAGACTACACCTCCAAGGCCCTTCATCGCCTTTATCGTCATTAACTTTAGCTCCAATCACGGGAGAAAGAATTTTTTTCTTCAGTATGGGCTTCATGACTTGCTCCAATGCAACAGGTGTCGGCACATTGTCCCTTTTGGACAGTATCTTCAATCTTATGTTTTTATTTTTCTTCACCAAGTTTGGATACTTTTTTAACACTTCGGATATAATTTTTGTGTGGTCGACATCGGATGTCAATTTTCCCGTTGGAGTAATACTAATTTTGGGGCCCTTCTGATTTTCCTTTTCGCTGGTGTTAAAACGGACTTTCTTGGAAGGGGTTTGGTCTTGTGTGGATTTCCTTTTTAACGAATTTCTCGCACCTAATTCGTCACCACCATCATAGTAGTCGTCTGTTAGACCTGAACGTATTCTTTGTTCCTTAACATAGTCCTTCATATCATCTGTGTCGAGTGATGTGTCATCATAACAAGGCGACAGTCGATTTGAATCATTCGAATCAAATGATGTGCTAGGTTTCGGCTCGTCACTCTTCGTCATTAGCGGTTTACTAGTGTAGGAAATGTCATCGAATGATCCTCCAAAAACGTTTAAAGTTGCAATATCATCATCTGGCCATTCAAATCGTGTTGGTTTTGGTGCATTGTCAAAATAAGCAAGCGAGTCGGAGGCTGACTGCTTTTTTGTTTCCTGATAGAAATTTGAAGATAATCCATGCTGTAAACTTGATGGGGCACTTTTTCTTTTCCACACCGGTATTTTACGACCAGGAAGCGGTGCAGGTAGGTCAGGATCCATTGTTTTTGCAGAAATTTTTTTACCTTTAAAAGAAAACTTGTATTTGAAATTGTCTTCTCAACATAAATATGCAAAAGCCATACATTCCTTAATCTAGCTATCTTCTGACTTGACCTGTTTAATTGTGATTTGCATCTTTTTTTTTTTGTTTGGGAGCTAGTCCAGGCAATAAAGAACATATGAGGAACTTAGCTTGCAAAATTAATGGTAGTTTTAACTTCCCACCAAAAATTCCCTCCGCAACCCTCCCAAATCTTGAGAATAAGAAAAAAATATGTTAAGAAAATAGAAATCGTTTTTTTTTGTGGTTTCACGAATAAAATACCTACAAATTTGAAATGTAATATAGTATGCAACCAAAAACGTCCTAAAACTTGTTTACGTACTACGCACATAGGGGGCGCTGGCGTGCGTTGAAGTATGCTCATTGGCGATTCAGGCGCACTTCGCTTAACAACCCACGGCGTTCGTGTTCGCTCTCCCTCCATCCGATTTACCCTTAGACAAGGAAAGAATATGGACGCATAATTCACTAGCGGTAGTGTTACCAGCTGCCACATATTGACATTGGCCAGTGTCGTAGCATCCGTAAATGCGAATAGTGGCAGAAGCACCTATTATAGCTAATAAATCACGTTGAAGTTGAACATACGAATGAAATTCGTGCGTTGCGCTATTTATTAATCAGACACGGGTATAAACGAAACTTCCTCTCATCTTTTTTCGAAAATGCCTTCAAAACTAACTGTCCCTCCAGCTAAAGACTGTGATAAAATAAGAATCTTCTTTGCTTTCTGTTTGATTTTTCACGTAAAGCCGTTTCCGTACCAATTTTCTCTTTGAAAAACGCGGAGTGCTAATGACTACGTCTATGGAGTTTATTGAATAATTCCGTCCTTGAAAACGTTTGTTATCAAAATTTGAATGCATGGGATTGGTCCTGTTGTAAGAAATTAAGTCAAGTCGCTCATTAAGCTATGAATTTTAACATATTAAAAGAAGAATATTCAAAGAAAAAACTTTATGAGGAAAAATAGGAAAATACGTGGTAACGGCATTAGGCACATTTTCAATATTTACGTTTGAAATGAAATTCCCGGTTCCTCCTTCTCACTCCGGCTTTTGCATCCACAATATGCACATTTCACCATGATTTTAAGTTGTTGTTTGTGTATTTCCTCTCAATTTAAGCGCAAAAACTCGTAAAAAACGATGTTACTTTAATGACATATGTGCCACATATAAAATGGCGGACTTGTTTAAAAAGGTAACACGATTCATACACGGGCTGTACGGCATACGCGGTATCCATACTCTTTCCTAATCTAAGGATTTACCTTTCGTTTTAACCCCCTCCCTCCTTTAATCGCTCTTATTTTTCAGCATCTGGAAGTCAACCCTCAACCTCCAACTTTTCCCCACCTATTTTCAGACAAGTTCAGAATTAAGATTTTAAAAATATAGACTTTTATTACTAAACATAAATTAAATTATTTAAAAAAAAGTTTAAATTACTCTTTACCGTTTAACCGCAACTGATGGCCCAGGTTTATCTATGTCACTGCTGAAAATTAGGTTCATTCGCGAAAAAGATTTAATTTGTTTCAAAGTCCCGTTTTTAAAGTAGATTGATTGATCCATCGTTGAAGGAAGACCAAAAAGGAAGCTTAGAAACGACTAATCTGACAAATCTTCCGTGTTTTCGGACTCTAGAAAAGCTGGACCATGGCCAAAAATCACAGATGTAAAGTAAAAATAGTATATTTGTAGCCAGTAGCCAGTGTTTTCTTCAAGACCAAAGGGCGAGTAGATCTGTTTTGAAACTTTGCCTATGTCAGGCTTCATGAAGTAAATATTGGCGGATTGAGCAAGAACTAATAAATCTATATTTTCGCCGACAATAATCACCGATGGATAAATTGATGCCATTTCAATTTTCTGTATTAAGGATGAGACAGTCTGCGTTATCGTCCTGACGTGCATGCGGCACCAAGGCGCGAACGCCCTACTCTTTTTGTCTTTTTGTCGCAAATTTTGTCTAGTTTCCGAATTTCCAGATAGTTTATCTCTGAAATACACAAAATAACGTTATTTTTCAAAAAACGTTATTTTTTCTTTTTTTCAAAATTTGGGGGGGTTGCGGGGGGAATTTTTCGTGGGAAGTTGAAAATTCGGATTCATAGACACAGAAAACAAGCCTATGTCCAGAACTACCATGAATTTTGCATCCTAAAATTATATATTGTCTGAACTACTAAGCTACTTCCCCAAAAAACGGGTTTTTAAAAATTGTCTTCTTGAAGAATAGATACAAGAATGAAGAGTTTCAAAACCCACGTAACACAACTGTAAATGATCAGACCCATACCCAGAACTTAACAAAGGTGGCAACTTTCAAGGTCGTGTACTAAGAAAAGAATTACGATACGAATTTATTAGGAACTATAAAATTGGAGAAACGCTATCATTAGACATTCTACCTTTATCTTTTTATTTTATAACAATTACAAATTAAGATTTAACTATTAAGAATAAAGAAGTTGCATAAACCCATAAACAATCATCGTGACGGGTCGCAGGTTTGACATTTATTTATTTATTATCCGTCTCTTGTTTTGGGACCTCAACAGGCTCGCGCCTAATTATAGACTGACCCGCATAATGCTTTTTAGAGGTGCTTGCGGTTACATCCTGTATATTTAAAAGGGCGCAGCCAATCATGATCTAGCACAATTGCAAAATTATCGACCAATAAGGGCCCTATTGGCCTCAGAAACGAAATCGATACAAAATGGCAAACATTAGAAAATTCAAATCTCCCGCACCAATTCAATTTTACCTTCAGAACTTCAGACTCAACAATTCGAAAATAAAAATGAAGATTCAGAAGATTCCATGATGTGGATGATCTTAAAATTTGATACCTTTGGAGACCCTTAAAAACCCCGAAAGATTCTCCAAGGTTTTGAAAGACTTGAACAGCATAATAAAATATGCTTATAAACTCATGGAGGATTTTCGAAGCTCTTAGAAACTGTTAGCGACCACAGATCGTTAAAGGCTCTTCAAAATATGGATATTAACTTCTCCTAAAGATTATTAATGCATTTTTGTATCATTACAACAGATTACAAATGGTAGGGACCAACAAATTAAATTGAATAATACCCAGGTATCACAATCTCATAAATTTATGCAAGTCTTTGTGACTCCTGTTAAGTCCAGAGTCTTAGTAAACTCAGTCTACAATAATAACAAGAATGAAAGTTTCTTAAGTGCTAATTTAATTCTTACCTTGGAGATTCCACGTGTGAGGTATTTGCATATTCTTCTTATGCGTGGGCTTAGGCAGCGGTGAAATCGGAACTTTCTGTGCATCTAACAACTTCGTGAGTACGGTAATGTTCATCAAATGGGCAGTTTTGTACAGCTTATCAAACATAGACATATGAAACTCTAACATTCCCGTATACATAAAATTAACGATTGGTAAAACAACGTCCGCCTGTAAATCGGCGGGCATTACTAAAACGTCGTCCACAATTTCACAATTCTGCTCGAGCGCACGAAAGTATTCCGTACACGCGTTCATGACGAGACGATGCACTTTTAATTGTACATTTCCCTCGAACTGTAAGGTGAGATCACAGTAGTCGGTTTTGTTAAAAAACATCTGAAGCCTTTGAAGAAAAAAGATACCCCAGTTGTCGACTCTCACTTGTTTACTACCTTCGCCCATTTTTGTGTGTTGATGTGAGCCCATAAGTTAAACCTGCCGGAAAAAGCAAGACAAAATGAGATTTTATAAGTTTATTCAACATTTAAAGAATGTTTACAAGGCATAAAAAATCATAACAAAACAAAACAAAAACCAAGCATCTTCGTAATGGTGGATTGCAAACGAGCATCTATCGTTAATGCTAAATAAACAAAATAGCATCAAACTTTTGAGTTTGTTTCATATTTTCAGGTAACTTTACATCAATTGTTAGTACATATTTACTAGTTTTTTAATTCAAAATTGCTTACCTTTTCTTAAAACGAAAATTTGAGCTCCATCTCTTTTACCGTGCCAACATATTGAACAAATATTACCACCTTATATGCATAGGTGGCGCAATTTATCGCGGGTTATTTGAATTAGTGTACTGTGTAATCGTAGTTTCTAATCATGTTTGTGATAATTCTATAATTGGACAAGCGGAAATTAGCCAGCCTGTGCATTTTATCATAACGGGCAATTCTTTGTACGTCTACAGTAAATTACAATTTAGTTTGCGCACGATCTACATTTCAAAGGTGGAGTTGTGCCACAGCCAAGACAATGCACTTGACGAAATTGTCAGGCAGCCAATATAAGCAATAGAAATAGGCGTGTTCTCTCCTTTATTACACGTACTTAACGATAGGTGGTTTGCATCTTTTTATTAAATTTACAGTTGCCTTTAATTTGTAAGAAAACTGTGAAAGAATATATTTCCTGTGAGTATCTTCCGAAACAGTCTCTTATGAAATATCGTATCAAACAGATATATGTACTAATGACTGTTCTGCATGAGAACTTACAAACTTGTTACAAACTATTCAAATTAATTTTTTTAAACTGGAATTTCAAAAATTCTGTTACGGACAGACAGTAGTGACAGACGAATAATTTATTTTTTATTTCTTAAAAATGTAATGCGCAGCCAACGCCCATAAAGCTCTTTTTAAAATTTTGAATGAAACTATGGTCACTCAATTAGCATTGTTTCTAATTTCCTTTGATAGCACAATTGTGTCTGGGCATAACAACAATTGGGAGTGGAAACAACTGGGCGCTGGGCGCCGGGACCACAGGAGGTGAGGGCAACTATAATATGAGACACTAGCTATAATTGGTCAAACTCAGATACGTATACGTAGGAAGAATCTTATTGGTGGGCCCACAAGAACTTTTAGGAAACAATTCTTTCACAAACATTTTATTTTTGTATCCAAAAGAGCATGTGTTTAGGATCTACGAATAGTTTAAATCTAATTATTATCTGGATTTTGTGCGGAGAATGAACTTTCGTTCACGCGCTCATAGGCCTCTGTTTTGAGTACTTATTTGTACTATCTCTTTGATTATAGAGTCGTCCGCCCCCCAGCGTCACTCAAAAAGCCACCTATCACGCATGAGGATAATATTCCCTAAACGTGCGCACATGCGCTATTGTTAAATCAAAACCTTTTGTGTTGTGCGATTGTTATATGGGAGAAAAATATAAACATTCACTCAATTTTCAGCGTCTCTTAAATATAGTAACGTCGCAACAGCGCAATTAAAAAAAAGCCCGCGAAAATATAGACCTAAACATAAAATGTTTAGGATTTTATTTCGCTTTATCATTTGTTCCCTATATTAGTCAGGTCCCCAAGATAGAGCAAGGTAGTCACTTGATTTTTTTCAAATTGAAACAAGTGTAGGTAGTTCAAAAATTATGCATGGGAAGCAAACGGTCAAATGAATTGCATGTATAGAAAGAGAAAGTACTTTTGGACCTAAATCATCTATTTACCAATCTTTATGGCAAATGCCGAATGTACTTATTAATTGTCTGGGAAATTCTAAATATTATGTTGTACAATATGTTATATTTTTATCACCCGCAGGGAGGTATTGCATTGGGGTAAAAAATGCCCCCCCCTCAATTTTTTTACGGAAATACACATTTTGAAGCAGCAAGTATCCGAATCAAACAAAATCTCGATTATGTCAGTCTGTCTGTGCTCTCATTTTCAGCTAAAGGGATAAACCAATTAGAACCAAATTTGCTACACGTTTTTCGACATAAGAGAAAAGCTTTTAGCAGAATGCGCAGGTGGTATTTGAGCTAACCACAAAAAATTTTTTAATACGCTTTGCTCAAGGCTTCATTAACACTTTATTTCTAGCCAAATTTTGTTTATAACAACTAAAACTGCACAGAGGTACATTGGTAAATTTACAAGAATATTTTTTTAAATTTCCACAACCCATTGCACAATACACTTTTGATGGATACACTATCCTTTTCGGTTGTAGAGGGAACTCATAATCTTGCGGAAATGTAATGGTTGAACTATCAATATTTTGTATGTACAAAATTTTAGGTATTGTCGATTTCGACAGTTTAGGCTTTGTTATCTTCGTCTTGGACTCTTGCTTCTTCAGTAAACGTTCCATAGTTTTCTTCTTATCCTTTTCCCGCTTTTCATCAGCCAGCTGTTTGCGTTTCTGAGATTTAATAGCCGCCTTTTGTATCGCTTCTGCCGTCATCACTTTTTCCTAATAAGTTCCAATGAGAATCAGTGTAGAGGTAGACAAACTTACCTTGTATCCGGTCGGAAGCGACATCAAAGTGGGTGTTGAAATGCTCGGACTGCCATCCGTGCCCCTATCGTACATGGCACGTTGACGAGCGGTCATGAGTGACGGATCTTTAGGTTTAATTTTCTTCAATTCGTCATCTACATCTTCGAGTTTTCCCGATTCGATTGCCGTTAGCCATCGCTCTTCGTCGCTAGAAGTCGCGCTATCTCGTTTCTTTCGTTTCTTATTGGTCGAAGTGGGCGTCTGTATTTTTATTTTATTTTTAGAGGATGACGAAGATGAACTTAAGCTTACATCCTCGGCAATTATCAGGTCTTCGGTTGAGTCGTCTTCAGGAGGCTGAAACTTGGGACTCCTTTGCCTGTGCTTTTTAGACTTTTTCGGAGGAGTAGATTGTGAATCGGATTCATTTTTAGAATCTGTAATTTTACGTTTTAGGCGAATATACTACATTTGGAAAGGACCTACCCATAAATTATTTAATAATTACTGTTTCCAATAACATTGCAAATGTTAGGTTATAAATAGGTTATGTTTATTAGAGTAGCATCCCATGGATGATGGAAGCATTCAATTTTTTATTTCTCTCTTTGTCTAACTAATTGGTTAAAGCTATTCCTTGTTTCTGAGAGTTAATATCCCTACTCACTTCTATTCTTAATTTTCATGGAATTCGCGGTAAAAGCCGCTTTACAGGCAATTTTCGTGCAATGCAAGAGCAATGCAAGTTAGAGATACGTTACTGCGCATGTTCATACGCAATTCAGGTGCAAGAAAAATAAATAGAGAAAGTTCTATTTCACTTGCAAGTTTGGCGCAAGTTCTAGTAACTTTTCTAGTAATTTTGTCAATACCACAATTTATTTGGTTTCGCCTGTGTTATTTTGTGTGTTTTTTTTAATAGCAAGCGCCACCACATAACAAGCTGTAGCCAGCTTAATTTCCTTTTGTTTGCTCATACCTAATGGTCAATTTTATTAAGTTTCAAGAATAACCTTCTGTGTAAACAAACTGAAAAGTTTCAATTTTTGAAAAATATGTTGTCAGTACTGCAACACTTTTCTGAACTTGCACAAAAGTTGCAACACAATTGCATAAATGTAAAACCGTTGACAAGGAGCAATAAAAATTGCAGTTGCATGCAAGTTGCAAGAAAAATTGCGAAAGGCATGCGCAGTTCAAAGCCAGCTGATCAATTGCTGCAAGAGACTTGCATGCAATTTTTATACGACCGGTGCTATTTTTCTTGCATGAATCGCGCAATTCTAGGGATAAATCTAGTTGGTTTTGTGTCACCAACCTAGTAAAACACAGCGGCGGCAACTATGATGCTTAGAGACGCACTCATTACTTGTTTTTATTAATCTTATTTATTCTTGTAATTTTCATGTTTCTTCAAGCAGTCAAAATTTCATTTTTATTTGAGGTTAGCAACTTTGTTGACAAATTCATATTTTTCTTCTGTTGGCAGACATGTGGCAATTGAAATAGAATTGCACCATGTCAAATGCCATGCAATTCTTATTGCATGCAAGGATTTGACCTTGCAATTTCTTTCTGCAAGTTCTTGCGCGTTGTATTGCTCCATGTCAAGCGGCCTTTAAAGCAATGCAAGGCAATTTTAGATTGCATAGCACAAGCCTTGCATTGCACTAAAATTGCCTGTAAAGCGGCTTTAAGATAAGTCAGTATTTCTCTGAGATGAAACACAGATTATAAGTTGTGCTCTAGATTTCAGGATTTGTGCCGTTAGTGACTTTAGTGTTCATGTCTCTCTGTATGAGAAATGTATCTTATGTGTGTCAACCGTTGTGCTGGTTGTTTTCGTACAGATTCCTGTAGCATCGCCTCTAAAAACAAGTAAATATTGACAAAAATTAATTTTCCGTAAAAATCGATTGTTTTCTGTTATCAACAAAGTTTTTGAACTGTGAACGTGTTTCTTAATTTTACTGGTCGATTATTCGATTGTTTCCTGTCTATTCTCAACTTTGAGAAGCTGCAGCTAAATATGCCTCCAAAATTAAAATTTGTGGAAGGTGAGCAAAGTTTAGCTACCAATAACATCATTTTACACATAGATTTTAGGGGAGAAGGTTTTGTGTTTCCACGGCCCCTTAATTTATGAAGCGAAATGTTTGAAAGCAACAGTTACAAAAGACAAGCATGTAAAGTATCTTATTCACTACGCAGGTTGGAATAAGAAGTACGTATTCTTATAGACTAAGAACTAGCGGATTGTCTGAGCAATGTGTGTACCACAAGGGTAGATTTGCAATTTTTTACTATTAGTAGGCATATTTATTTACATTTATTGAAAGGGGCGGAAAAATGTGACCGTTTTATCAGTGGCAAGTGTCTACCAGGTGATACAAGTAAAGTTGTTATAAGGATTTTTTACATACTTATACAAGGCTGATATTCATACGGAATATGCTGTTTTAAGGCAATAAATATAAGCCCAAGCATTTTTGGCAGTTGCAAATGTTCATCAGGTGAGTATATAATTAACTCGATAATTAAGTAGATACCTCAATATTTTGAGTGACTATGAGAGTAACAGTCTGATGAATGGCCACCGTATGAGAGTGAGAGAATACTTAATCGAAATTTTAAGTGGTGTTCATTGCAATAAATGAAATAAATTAACAAATACTTTTTATACTTACTGTTTCTAAAAAGTGTCTTCGTTGCTATAAAGTTCATTTTCAGAATCAAAACAATCAGTGATTGCTTTGTTTTCTAAAAAAAAGAAATGTGCCCCTATAGCGTGCGGTTTACCGATATGAATTTACCTCTCTATGTGCTATGTGTGGTCTACAGCAGATTTGCAAATATGCTAATATTAAATGCATTTTATTCTTCCAAATTAATAGTTAATTTGGTTTTGTATAATTTGGTGAATGCAGTTGTTATGGTCATTATAACTGCTGATTTCGTTCTAATCACCCAAATGCAAATAGCAAGGTTATTGTAAGTGATCAGACGGCTGAAAGGGCATAAGGATTAGCGAAGAAGATTTTAAGTGAAGAATTGGCAGTGTATTTACAGGGAAGAAACCTTGTGGATGCCATTGAAGATGTAGAATGATGGCATAGATGCGGAATGAAATGCAGGACAAAAAAACTGTCAACAAAATTATGTACATTCAGGCTCTGGAGCTAATACTCGGTCTATCGAGTGGTTATGACTACTTAAAAAGATCTTTTTCGTTGCCTTTTATGGCAAGGTGATTTTATTGTGACGAGTGCGTGCAATGTAGCTGTACTGTTACTTGGAACAACTTTGTTCTTGTCCCTTAAGTGTTTTTGGATCCATAGATGAAAATGTATTGCACCATCTTCATTCAAAACTCATTCAATTCTCCCTTTATCAACTTGGGGTGGAAGGGAATCATCCTTAGAACTTTGTTTTTTAAATAGCAACCTAAAATTTTTATTAAAGTATTTTAAAGATCTTATTTTTCTGTGCACACCCTATAAAACTTGTGCCAGGTTTGATGATAAAAAAACAAAACAAAAAATGTCATTGTTAAGGGTTTGAGAAGGATGACTGAGGTTGGTAAAAATTAATTCCTTTCATTGAGACCTTTGAGTAGAGTACCACGAATGCTAAAATCAATTCCATCCTAACCTCCGGTTTTGATAAGGGGCGAGGGGTGGTAGTGGTAGAAAGCAATTCCTTTCATTGAGACCGAGGGGGTAACATCTTCCCGCAATACTGTCACAAATTGTCTGCAATCGCTTGCAATCCCTCTGATTGCTGTGGAAATCTCCCTCACAATCCCACAATCGCGTTTGCAATCTCACAATCATCTAAAACAATCCCGCAATCAGATTCGCAATGCCGCAATCGTTGTGACAATCTGACAATCACATTGGCAATCGTGCACGCCCTCATCTGTTTTTAGGTACAATCGCACGCCACGCGGGGTTAGGCAAACAAGTTATTGCACCTAACTTTATTTTTTTAAATGGAAAGCCCTGTACTAGTTAATAAACTCCTAAATCGGATCTAAAAAAGCGGCACAGCACCTCGGAATAACCCTCACCTCATTGGATTTGACTCACTTTCAATTGCCTTGGATTTGACTCATTTTCAATTACTTTGTTACATGTGGTATGTATGTTAACTGTGCAAAGTTTCAATCGAATAGGTTCAAGCGTTTGGCACAGACAGAGAGGCGTGACTCCAAGGGGTCATTGGATTTGACCCATTTGCAATAGGCTTATTACTTGTGGCATGAACCAAATCGATCCAAGAGTTTGGCAGTTATTGTGTTCACGGGCGGCCAGACGGACACCATCAACTTCCCTATAAAGCTTACATCGCTTTCATCTGCCGCTTAATATTCTACAAATATAGCATATTAACTTTTAAAAAATATAATACACTAAGGATGATTCAAAAAGGGATCAAAAAAGATTAAAAAAAAAGGTCAAACGATTTGATAAATACAATAAAATTTCAAAAAAATGTTGAATCTTTCGGTTTTTTAAATCTTTTGAACTTATTGAAATCAATATGGAATTTTTGTAGTGTTATATTTTGGAAAAGAGATTCTTAATATGTTAGTTTTGGATTAAAATATTTCAATTTAAAAATGGACGTAGGAAATTCAAAAACTTGTAAATCTCAGAATGAACCTATATTTATTAAAGGAGATATAAAAAGATTTTTCTTACAAGTTTCTTTATAAGACTGTTGAATAATCTGCCGTTTTAAAATTAAGTGTACGGGATCAGGTAAAAAAGTTATAGGACCCAACCCGAGACCTAACGTCATTTTTTAGTGGAATGCTCTGTATATTTCATTCGAAAAAGAGCATATTAAATTCACTTTCTAGAAATATAACACTAAAGAAATTTAAAAAGTGCAATATTAGATTTTTCAAAAAATTTCAAAATGTTTATTTTTTTGTTGTTTGTAATATTTGAACCTTTCTTAAATGTTTTAATTCTTTTTTAATAATTTTGAATTTTTTGCGATTGCGTTATATATTAAAAAAGAAAATGTTAATATGCTATCTTTTTAGATTAAAACATACAAGGTGTCCTATTTAAAAAATGAGGTTTTTTTGTGGACATCGTATATGTAACCTATTTTGAAAACGGCAGATTACCCAGCAAGTAATTATGTAATAAACATTTTTTCGTGTCTCTTTTCATCTGATATTGACAATTTTTGATTTTCCCTTGTATCTCTGTAAGCGAGCGAATGTTTTCAAATTTAGATTGTGTCATTTTTTAACAATGGCCCAAAAAGAGCACATGCCACTTAGTTTGACTTCCACAAAAATTAAAAAATTTACTATTGTGGTCACTTTGCCCGTCCGTCCCTAGTTTTTCTACTTTTTTCGTTATTTGGTTCGTTATGCTGTCAAGATTTGCACCAAGGAAGGAATTTTTTCTGTGCCGCTTACGAAAAAAGTTATGGTAAAAAAACCATTTTTTTGAGATTGTATTGTATTGCTGTCTGTCTGTATGCCCGTCTGTCAGTGTATCTGTCTGTCTGTTTGTCCGTCCGTGCGCACGATAGCTTTTGTATTTGCGCAATCCATTTTTTATTTGTTAAATACTTTAATGAAACTTTTTATGTAGGCTAGAGATGTAGATGGCGATCTCGACTAAAGTAAAACTAGTGCTGAGTTAATAAATATGGATTTTTTTTATTTGTTAAGTTATTTAAATGAAATTTTGTATGTAGGCATCTCGAATAAAGATGAAACTAATGCCAAATCAAATAATTTTGCGCATGCCCAGAAATACCCTGAAATTTTAGGGTAGGGTTCTTTTTATAAACTGAAATTGAAGCAGCACGTCAACAATGGATTGCACATGTGCAACGCTAACTTTCTTATTTGTGGCCGGATTTTTACGAAATTTTAAGTTTAAGTTTGCTTGCATCTTACAGTATGGGAAATGAATGCAATTGTAATGCGCCTTTTATAAATTGTTTACGACGAGGTTTACGATTACTTTTTTAACTTCTTATTTGTGTATTTAAAAGCACCTGTTACCAACTAAGGATTCCCTAATAGCCAATATAAATGAATATGTATCTTGCTTAGGTAATGCCCGTGTATAGCAACTTGAGCAGCTACCAAAAATCTTTGTCAGTCACCCACAATCACCTGCAATCATTTACAATCGTCTGCAATCATTCATAATCACATGCAATCACAATGCAATCCTATAAAATCCGACAATCGCATCGTAATCGCAGGATTGTGATCGCAATCGCAGCAATCGTAGGGAAATCATGGGGATTGTCGCAATACTGTCACAAAATTTGAGAAGATGTTACCCCCTCGATTGAGACCTTTCATTAGAATGCCATGAATGGAACGTATTTTCATCCCCTGCCATACGTTTTACTTGGCACCACTAGAGCCACGAAAAAATAGCATTTTGGGGAATAATTCATCAGGGCCGTAACTAGATATGACCACGCCCTTGGCGGCACTTCAAGTTTGAGCCCCACCCCCACCCCTTCCACACACCTGCGCGTTGGGGTATTAAATACCCCTCAACAAAAACGCAAGGACCGGGAGGTCCTTTTCCGAAAATTTTCTTAAGTTCAAGGTTAGAAGCTTTTTGATCCGAGAATTTCGCTTCTTTAAAACATGGAGGAAAGATTACAAAATACAGTGTGTCCAAGATACGAATGAACATCATGGACACATCGGAAACCATAAGAAGTACACAGTTGGTTAAATTAGAAAGAGTTGCGCATTTTAGGGCTTAATAAAACGATGTTTTAAAAATGCGCAAATTCCGATCAATTCCGAAGATATTTAAAAAAACCGAAAGTAACTTTTTAAGCTCACCATTTTACAAGACTTTCGCTGCGACGTTGCGTCTTTGAGAAACTATCAACAACTTCATATTTTTATATGGACCGGAAAAAAGTACATAATATATTGAGTAGCATTTTTTATTGCTTATACAAATATGTATGGTACAATTAATATGTCATTTAGAAGAACAAATTATTTTGACATTTTGGTCAACTCCTACTAAACCAAAAATGTTAAAAATTTAGTAACAAGCCATTTTTGTGAGCTAAATAAAAAATAATTTTTAACATTTTACTGTAGTAGGCGTTGACAAAATATCAAAATAATTCATTGATGGTTCCTTTAAATGATATAGGTGATAAAGAATCTTATTGTGCCATACATCGTTGTTGATGGATTCTCAAAGACGCCAATTGTACAGCTTAAAAAGTTCCTGTGAGGAAGTGTTATTTGTTTTTTGATATCTTTTCAAACAGGGCCGGCAAAAATTAAAACCGAATATGATTAACTTCGTTTTTTTTCGGAACTGATCGGAATTTACAAATTTTTAAAATATCATTTGACTTGCTTGCTTTTCCTTCTTATATTGGACACACTGTATATATTACAATATTACAGTACCATAAGGAGGCAAAAGGGGGGAAGGGCAGAGATGAAGGTAATATCACTTTCACACAGCTATTCACAGTCACAGTACGTACAGTATTAACAATCTGGAATAACATTTGTTTAAATAACCTGAATTTTTTTCCTAATACACTAATGTAAAAAGAAATTTGTTCATGGCCAATTATTGCGTCTCCCCGGTAGCTGCGCCCTCGGCGGGCGCCCATCTCGCCACCGCCTAGATACGGCCCTGTAATTCATACCCCCCCCCCCCCCCGTAAAACAACACCTTCAAGGTCGGACGGATAGACGGACGACCAAAACGCAAACGATAGCGCATTTTTTTAAAGTGCGCTAAAAATTTTCCTAAAAAAAAGGATACATATTACATATTGTTTAAACAATAAAAATAATTATTTCCCCCTGAAAGGTTTCCGATTTTAAATATAAATCAAAAAACACATAATTTAAAAAAGAAGTCAACAAAATTGGAGCTGTTCTGGAGGACTTCCGAAGATCTCTTTTATGTATTTATTGACGCGACTATTCAAACTTCCAAAAAATACGCTGTATGTATGTATATGTAAAAAATGGGCGCTAGGTAGAATCAAACATATATTTTTTTATCAAAATAATTTTAGCTTATCCAAATTTGGCATACATTTCAGATATATCAGTATACCTTTCACGAGATGGTTAGTTTCCCTTTATTGTATACAAAACTATATTTTACAGCTTCTGACAATTCCGAATTTAATTTAGACGTCAAAAATAGCAAGCTTAGGTTTTGTCGTCGCGGATGTTTCCATAGAAACAGTATTGTCGTATGTCCTGAACGTCATTTTATATCGTACTTCGCGTCGCATTTGAATTAAGAGTGGCAGATGTCATTAGAATGCACAATTATCTGTTTTACTTTATTTATCCTTACGGTTAAAGTGATCACTTGATCTACCCTCATAGTTAAAAACCTATTAAAATGTCAATTGAACATACGCTATAAAATAAAATCTTATATTAAATCGGTTTTTATTGAATAAATGCGAAAATCTTGTCTTGTACTCGAGCTTGTACTCTTCAGCCTTGTAAAAGTACGTCAAAAAATGTTCTTCGTATGACAAGGTAAACTTCTTCAGTAATAACAAAGTTACCCATGCAATCATACCCAATCTCAGTTTATGCTGCAACTGGATATAACTGTTTATTTTACTTTACAGTATGTTCCTGAGTTGTTTGTGCAAGGAGAGAAAAATGTTGTTTCTGTTTGACCAACTCACACAATTTTCAAATTCCATTTTGGTTTACAGTAAAGAAATCTTTTCTTTATTTTGTGATGGAGTAGGCAATAATGTGTAAATGACTTCACCCCTGTGGTAAACATGTTGTTTGGCCTCCTACTATTATTGAGTACAATTCCTATAAACAGATGTGCCTTTTAGTTGGGATGAATGGGTACCCGAAACGAGGGTTTTAAAATACAATGAAGCGAACGTCGCCAAACAAAAGGAAGTGCAAAAGGCACATTCCACTCAGGCCTCCGCAGCAAAAGCGAAGAAAACAAAGACCAAGAAATCCGACGCATCTAAAGACTCCGACTCCCGAGCCAGCACACCAAACAACGAGACATCACGTACCGTTAAACAAAAACTGCCCACCACCACTTCCTCCAGTCAGGATTCCGGATCGGAGGCGACGAAAAAGAAACGGGGACGCCTAGACGCAACTGTAGAATCCGAGGAACAATTCTTAAATAAAATAGAAATTAAAGTGAAATTACCCGACGAACTGAAACCTTGGCTCGTCGACGATTGGGACCTGGTCACTCGGCAGCGTAAATTGTTTCAATTACCCGCCCGTTTAACCGTAGATGAAATTATCGATAACTACGTCACTTATAAAAAATCCGCTAAGAATAACAACGCGTACAAGGAGACCGCTGCCCTCGAAATTAGTAACGGAATCCGCGAATACTTCAACGTTATGCTCGGCACGCAGCTTCTTTACAAATTCGAGAGACCGCAATACGCGGACATTTTACAGGAGAAAGCCGATACGCCCATGTCGAAGATTTACGGGGCGATGCACTTACTACGCCTATTCGTAAAGTTAGGGACGATGTTGGCTTACACTCCGTTAGACGAACGTAGTATACAACTGTTGCAGACAAACATTCAGGATTTCCTAAAGTACATGATCAAAAATAGTTCTACCTTGTTTAGTTTACAAGATTACGGAAATCCGACACCTGATTATCATCGTAAGGCTCTATGATATGAGGACGAGTTAGATTATGAAAGTGATTAAGTTTTAGTAGTCTAGGTCCGTTTTCAAATTTGTGTGTTCAATTTATATGTAGTTATACATAATTGGTAAGCCTTCGGTATCGAAAAAAATTATTTATTTATAAATAAATTTATAAAATGGCAACGTTACATAAGATGTTAACTGCTACTTAAATTGAGATAGAACTGTATGCACTTTAGGAAAAAAAAGGCTCATTAAAACTAAAGATTGAACAGTATTAAATAAACTTTTTTTTAAAAACAACCATTTTTCGTGTACCCTCTCTAATTCCCGTTCTACCTACATCATTCATTAATAACAACCTTTTATAGAATCAATTCTTATTGCGTACGGCTCTACGGAAAACGAGTGTAAGGAAATTAAGGATGATTTTTAGGACATATGTCGAGAAGTATTTTTTAACCGGACCACGTCTTATTAATAATTTAGGATACCTTTGTATATCATCTAAATTTATTATTGTTGGATCAAAATCATTTTTATAGTGCTATGATCATAAAACAAAAGAAAAAGAACTAAGCAATGCACGAGTCACTCGGTCATTGCTACAAAAAATGTGCTAAAAACATGATAGTGATAATTTGTAGCAACATAATAGCATAGAATTTAAGTTTATACATTCAATGATAATAGTAACAAATACTGAATTTTAAAAAGACACATTTTCTTAAGTTCATTTATTAAACAATCACTTGGTGAGAAGGAAGTGTCAAAATTGGCATAGATAGATGCAAGTGCGCGCCCGTTTGAGGTGATCTTGTGTATGTTGGGGAATCCCAAAACGGCAACCTTTAAAGATTCCAAAAGGATAACTCAATCATATCCAAAACGAGGCGCGTCCCCTATAATTGTGTTTCAGCACTTTCAAAATACGACAAAAAATGATAAATTCATTTTAAAACACTTACATAGAAACATAATTTTTTAATGAACAACCTAACATCAACCTCAATGACAATGAGAGAAACATGTTAATAATTTATTAATAATGCAAGAAACTAAATACAGCACATACTTATAAATTTCCAATGTGCCATTATGACCTACAGGCCAGGTGGCAACCGCCCCCCCCCCGGGCCAGTCCGCCCCTGCTTAGATCCCAAAAAGTTAATTCACAAGAATAACACAACAGTACAAAGCTGAAGGTTATTAAGCGACGGAGAAAAGCGATGGAAGCTGTATAGGGGAGTCCCGGGGGTCTGTGAACACAATTTAACCAAGCGAACGGCGGGAAAAAGACAGAAATTTCCTCTTGCAATAAAAACAAAACGTGGATAAGGACAGGCAGCATTTGGTAAAATCGGAACGGGTAGAGGGCAGTAGCGGCGATGGTCACTTGTTCGGCATGTTTTAGCCCCCATTGTTCTTGGAGGAGCTAGAGTGTGTCAACTGTGAAGACGGAGACCAAGAACCAAGAAAATTGACAATGCGGAAAATCCTGAGTTTCATGTGAAATATCAAACTGTCGTTGAAGAATTACCACTTTAGCGAATGGTGGGGGTAAGTATCGCAGCACAATAGTTTAAATAATACTGAATATTAAAAATTTTGCTAGCACAGATACTTCCCGCACACTTGCGCATGCGCGATTTTGCCCAAAGGCTTTTTAGCTCTTTGGTTCTGTTAGGGGGGGGAATTTTTTACCCCAATGCAGTACCTCCTTTACTAATGTGCAGGTGGTAAAACGTTTCCAATTACTGTGTTCAATACTCATATTAGCAAGTAGCCTTCAATATCGAAACAAAATTATTTATTTATCAAGAAATATATAAAATGGTAACGTTACACAAATGTTAACTGCCACTTAAACTGAGAGATAGAACTTTATGCACTTAAGAAAAACAAAATACTAATTAAAACTAAAGATAGATCAGTATTAAATAAAACTATTACTTTTATTAAAACACAAAATGAAATGTAACCATTTCTCGTGCCGCCTAGCCAATTCCCTTTGTGCATCAATACATTTAGACAAACTATTTCCTTGAATATGTTCAAATTCAAACTTAAGAAGTATTTTGTACAGATAGGAAGACTCGACGGCGTCTAATTCGTATTTTGGTAACTTCGGATACTTGGTATCTGATAAACCACTATCTACATTTATTATATTATCGTTCGAGTTCAACATTAAACCGCTAACATTTACATTTCTGAACCACACTACATTGTGATATTCGTGGGCAATTTGAAGTATGTGAAATATGAGAAACCTGCGATGATACCACACAGCTTCATGGCCAGGAAACAATTCGTTAAGTTGGTCCATAAAATAAAACAAATCTTCTAATAACAAAAGAATAAAATTAACCATACTACGGTTTACACACGTACTAGATCTACCTAATAACTGTTGAACAAAGCCTTCGTCATCACATGCCTTAATATGCGCAAAAGTTTCTAACAAGCAACGAATTTTGCCAGTACGTTCAGAAACTGAACAGCAACTATTTAACACGCATTTTAACAAGTACTGCCTGTAATGAAACCCTGCGTGTTCAGATATGTGGCTCTGTATCCACCTAATCGAAAAATCTAACTGCTCAAAAACTAAATTTAAATACATAGGAGTGTCTGCAAAGTCATGTTTTACGAACGCCGACTGTAGACACCACATTCGATGATTCCAAGCGTGGTAATTATTGGGCGAGTTCTGGGCAGCCATTTCTGTGACTGTGAACTCTTGATTAAGCAAGGCCAAGGTGGACACAACGTCATGTTTATAAATACCCTTCATTAGCTTGCTAACGATCCATTTGCGATACGCAAACGCTTCGTTTGATTTACTTTTATTCGATAAAACTAACTTTGTTAAAAGCAACTCAATGTCTAGGTTAATAACGCCGTACTCCACCAGTTCACGTCGCATGTTCCAAAATGTCGCGACTTCGGGATGAATTAGTAGCGCAGATATCAAGTACTTATCGATTTCTTCACTTTTTTGTTGTATTAATCTATTTTTGCTTAATAGTCGTCTTAATTTAAATAACTGTTTATAAAGATATGCATAAACGTATTTCACACACCATAATTCTAAGCCTAAGTTGTGTTCCTCATACAAAACTGGCGACTTATTCTTGTTTTCGTTGATCGGTACTATACAAAAGTCTTTCCTAAAATTGCTTGTTAAAGGGGTTTAAACGCGAAAGAAATACTTACAAATTTGGATCACTGCGTATTAAATTTTTGATATCAATTAGGATTTTTTCATACATGGCGTTGTCTTCTTCCATCGCATCTCCTTTTTGTATATAAATATAGTAATACTTTGTGTGGCTGCCAAGTCAAATAACCGTAAAAATAGACCTTTGTGGCCCCTTTGGGCAATATTTGCAAAAATTAAATTTGCGAGTTCCAATAAAAATGGTTAGAATTCCACAGAACAAACAATAGACATCGTACAGTACCGGAAGCGGGAGCAGAGCCACGATTTAATGTACAGGATAAATCATAGGAAATACATGAACTAATTTTGCTATTAATTTTGTTAGAGAAAAATAGCTGGTTTGGAAATAGTGCTTTTTACACGATTCTTATTACCAATTTCAACTATCTACAATTTGTTTGTAAGTCACAGTATAGGTAGAAGGTATGTTATCTTCAAGACTGTGTGATTTTCAAAATAAATCCCATAGGCCAGAGGTATACCCTGCAACTCCAAGATAAATATTATAAATCTACATTGAATTACATAGGTTCGGTATCCATTTGTGTTATGCCCCAAAAAATTTTCTTTAGGGTCAGTGAACCGTATAGCGTTTACCTTTTTTTTTAAATTTATGTTTATAGGTGTAGTCTACCAATTTTATGCCTGTTTGTACGAGAAGATTCGACTGTATATCGTGCCTATAGTGTAGGTACGCCCTACGTTTCTAATGTAAATGATAATAATTATGATAGAAAATAATAGTTAAACTTTCCTATTATGTTTCCTATTGATTTTATTGTTACTATTCTAATAGTTCAGTATTGATGTACCTGCATACTGTACACATTAGCACCAGTGCGATTAGAATGAACAAACAAATTTAAAAATAGTCACGCGGGATATAGACAATAATAAACTAAAACTGTAGATGGGGGAAATATTTACATTAGCTAAAATCGAAATTCAAATCTGCTTCATTATATATACTGACCTACCTTTGTTTGCGCACCTTTAAAAATAACTTTGATTCGTCCGCATTGAAGACGACGGTCACATTTCGATTTCTATGTCGTACTGACCGTAGATACAATTATTATTAATTCTTGGTTTCTTTAGTGATGTAGTAGTAGTTTCGGCGATATGTATGTAAAGGTGGTATTTTAGCTTACAGTGGATTATAGGAAAATATACATAAACACAGGTATAAACTCGTATTGATTAATTACGAAAATATAAGTTGGTTAAAATTTGTATACCGCTTTTTGTTACATCTCATACACATTTTGGCGGGAAAGTTTGCATGTTTTTAATCGCACATTTCGTTTTGATCTAAGTGCCCATTTTATTCGATCGGATTTTAGGACACCATGAATTTGATGTTCCGCAAGAATTTTCGTGAACAGAAGTCCGTCGGAGGAGGAAAGGGTACTTTGAACAAGTCAAGCGCAAATAGACATATCAATAAAAGAATAAATAGAGAACAGGGGTATACACCAATAGAGGAACAGTATTACAGAACCCATCTGTTTTTTAGTCCACGAACCCGAAGTACTTATAATATAAATGAAGTCGAGGGTAAGTGCAGCTTCGCATTACGCGTAAATATTAATGAATTCAAATTATAGAGATACGTAATTAGCCGTAAACGCTCATTTAAAATTTAATATAAGGACCAGAGTAAGGTCTATATAAATAAACCTAATAATATGGGTCCTTGAAATATTTAAAGTGATTTGGCACGGGTCGCTTTTGTTTTTTATATAGGTATACCTCAACCAATGTGAGCATCACCGTTTCTCTACAATTTTGTTTAATTAGTTATGTGAACAGTGTAACAAATCTACCACCACAAATATAATAAATCGGTATTCCTTTGTATATATAAATGAATCTTGGCGATTGGCCGTTTTCCAAACCGTTTTTTGTAGTCTCCCAAATTCCATTGCGTAAATCTCGTGCTAACCTTCGCTTTGATTTTTGATGACTTCACTATTAATCTCATGATGTAGCTTTTGGCACCTTTTCTGAACATTTTTCTAATGGAGAGAATTTGCAGAACCTCGCTGTGGGCCAATGACAGGTACCGTTGGTAACCCATCGTCGTTACAGTCTATATCACCACCAATGTCAGATGCTGATCTTCCTCAACCTTTGGTTATTCGAAATCCTTCGGATCCATTAATGCGATGGCCCAATACACCTACTAAGTCAACGCCTACCCGTCAAGTATGTACAAACTCCAACTTCAGTGCGCTCAAAGCGAAATTTCAGGTAAATTTTAATCGAGCAAATGAGGGTCATGGTGAGATAGCAAGAACGTTATCAGATCTTGACCGCGATTGTTTTATAATACCAGTGCATAGTTTGGATCGATTTCTACCAGCAGGCGTGCCTTTACCAGTAGGTATAACGCGTTATAATTCGCATTTGATTTTCCGGTTAAAATATCCGTTGCATTTCAGAAAACTACCACAACAGGAGGCGATAATGCTGAAAATAACAACCAAGGGGGATTAAATGTGCTACAAGTACGTACAATACAAAATATGCGCTCATTAGAGTGCAGGGGTGAGTTGTAATCACACGAATCACATAAATCATACGTACAATAAAATACCAGATGTAGGTAATTTGAGTATTATGTAGTTACCTACCTCTATATAGGGGTCAGAGTTCGTTTAAAAGTATGCCTGCTCTTTGAACATAGTTCAGTTCAATTATTGATTGCGAGCTGATTCATATACAGAGTTTTTTATTAAGAAGTAGACATAGGGATTTATATGTTCCTTGTTTCCTTGTCATAAAAATTAGTTTGCTTTGGCTCAACAGAAAATAAATCTCTTACGCTCCTTAACCTGTCACCGGCACTAACGTGACGTAAGTGCAACAAATATTGTATATACGTATGTACCACGGGACCGAGGAGTCATTTAATCCCTTTGGGTAAAATGAAAGAGAGTTAGGGATCAGTTAAGAGATTGAATGACCGGTCATACAATAATGTAAACAATCTTATTGGGCGGTATATATATATCCTAGTAAAAAATAAATGAACAGAAGAAAGGTTCATATACTTACCTCGGATAATTCAACATGTTTCCAACTTTCAGATTCCCGATCCAAAATTATGCGTCCTATGCCATCTAATGAGTCCCTTGGAAGCAATAGATCCAATTTTGGAATCACCACTCGCTCAACCCATTCTTCGACAAAGGATGGCCGCCGCAGAGCTCATCACGGAAATATCGCAGGCGAAGCCAGCCGCAACCGGTATGCTGCTCGCGAATATGGAGCGAAATGGTAACACCTTCCTTACCTTACTCTTTGCTATTAACACGCAACTGTTTCAGCCGAATTTCCGTTCATATCGTATTATATTATAAATAGTGCACAAACGAATCCGGTGATTTTTTATAATAATTTACGCAGCGCTAGTTTAAAGAAATTTGATCCAAGAACAATAAGATACACTGCCGCGCACACTTTGGATCTGTATACAGAGGTGGCGACAATATGTAGACCACCAATAAACGATTCGTCAACTTCTTTGACAAAGATAAACACGGCAACGACGGGATACATCATTTCCGTATATAAAGTCTTTGAAGGGGACGATCGAGAGAAGTTCGAACGCAACTGGTTGTACTGGACAGGAGCTAGAATGATCTACAGATACCTACCCCGAGAAGCGGGCTTAAAACGAATCGCCCTGCACAAGTCGCTGAGTCCGAAGGGAGATAAAATGTATTTGTTGGTGTGTGAATGTTCAAACTTATTAAAGGATGTAACAGTGTGTGCACTTTTATTACCCGCTTTAAGAGCACGTTTAACTGGTTATACGGGACTTTTTCGCCCATTGCAAACGTTTTAAGATTCACTCGTGAGATGCACAGATCACTATTAAGATTGTATAAATATGTGTTTTTAGATAACTTTACAACAATATAAATGATTCCTATGTTGTTGATAAGCCTTTACTAGTCGGGCCTTACAATCGTTTCAAAGTGCAATTAATAGAACAATATTAATATACAGTCTTCCTTGTTATAAATTTTGAAACACTTTACATAACACTAAAGTTTGTTGCAAGATTTTTTAGACTCTTTTAGTACATGTTGTCTTATTTGTTGTTATATTCAAACACTGTGTATGGAGTTGTCACAAAGATTTGTTTTACCAATTGCATTAATTCTGAATATGTAAGTAGTTTAAGATAAAGGTTGTATACGATCATGAAATAAATAAGTTAATTTTTTTACAAAAACAAGCATACCTATACATCTCTTTGTGCTTCCATTGAGGTCGAGGAAAATGACAAAAAATGATTGGATGGTCACATATACCTCTACATTTAAGTTGCTATAACAGTTTCCATTGCTGTATGTTGGTCATTATATAATTTATATGCTGTAGAAGGAATGAGGATTCTTTTGATATTGATGTGCATCTGATAACTTTTGTTGCATAGTATATAAACATTCCACTAATTACCCTGTACAATGCAGTTCATTGCAACGGTGTGGAGGTGGTCATATTTTTCTAGTTTATTCTTATAATAAACGCCCCATTTTTATCTTTCAGACTGCAGACAATTTTAAACTGGACACTGGACAAACACAAAAGCGTTACTGTCTAATTCCTTAGTGCTGGTACCTTTAAATTACTGTGATGCCGTTTACGGACCATGCATAATTAAACAAACCTGTTATAAAATTCAAAAGGTCCAAAATAGCTGTTTACGTTTTATTTTTGGAATACGTAAATATGAAAGGATATTACACACCCTCAATAAATTAAAATGGCTGAACATGGAAAACCAAAGAAAACTGCATCGACTAGGACTTTATCATCACATATTAATCACGCATAAACCCCCATACTTGTTCGAAAATATTGCTTTTAGAACAGACGTCCATAATATAAATATTAGGAAAAAAAACTTTCTCACCATACCGCTCCATAAGACATCACAGTATAAAGGGTCGTTCTCCTACAATATTGCTAAAGATTATATTATGCTACCGGAACGTTTGAAAGCAATTAGATACCCTGGAACTTTCAAGGTCATTCTCAAACAATTCTCTCTAACTTGAATGCCATTTGATGTCAGTGATTCGATAGTAGATAACACTTACCTACTTAAGTATGTAAATTACAAGCAGTATTAACATGGTTGAGTGGAAGAACAGCTCAAACAAAGTTCGTTAGTATGATCATTTAGAAAAAGCTATGCTGAACTCCGCCACTTACTACCTTAATTGTTTGATACCTAAACTGTCATTTCTTTTTTCACCAAAACTTGCAATTGAGGGTAATAATAAAGAGTATTATTATTATTATTATTATATTATTATTTGGAATTGGCAGCAGTAGCGTGCACAAAAAGAAATAAGCAAATTCAAATAAATATAACAAAATAACACTGCAGTACGCACGCACAAAATTTCTGTCGTCAACAGAAATCATGAGCGTCATTCAAAATGATTGCGCATTCAAAAATGTGACGTTTTGGGCATACGGTTTTGTATGTGCGTTTTTGAATGCACGTACAAAAACGTCCGTCTGTGGAGCCCTTTATACAGCAATTACAATTATTAGTAAAAGTAGTAATTATCGACGTATTAAATATTATAGCGCATACGCATACATTGATGCGCTATTTATTATCGCAAAACATGCAATCAGAATCATAAACCGAACTGTTTGGAAAGTAACTATCTACATCATCGGTTACTTTTTGCAAGCTCTCGGAACCGTTCCCCTTCAAAATATCATCTACACTTAAAGGTGTAAGATTTCCCGCAAACCAAAAAGATTCAAACATTTCTTTCATAACCCGGCTACATTTCTCGGAATCACCCGTGATACAAGATTGTTCCGTCGCATGTTTCCACAATCTTGTCACAAAAATTGTCCGTTATGTATCCTGCAATTACAAGAGTTTTCCTACAGTGTACCGGACGGACAGTATTATAGGTCTTTGCAATCTAGGAGCCGTTTGTTTGCGAAATTTGCACTAACAGGGTTTTCGACCCGGAAACACTTAGCAAAGCCCTTAGTGCAAAAAAATTATCTTTTGCCATAAAACATATCAAGATGTTTGTCTGTCGCCCCAGGTGATATTTGAAACCTCTTTTTCAATCTTGCTATAACGCTTTTTTGTTTCATTTGGTAACCTAGTAGAAAATGCAATAAATTCAACTAAAACACGTCATTAATCTATACCAAGGAACTTGCATCTGAACTAATCCATATTTTTGTTATACATTAATTTTGAAAATTTAAGTCCGCACGTGATGCACGCCTATTGGTTCACTTACTACGTATAAGGTGTGTGATTGGCGCGCCGAATTCAAATATGTCAAATGACATCATACCTGTACTATTGCTCACTAAATATTTCGTAATTTATGACCGTTTGTACCGACAAATTTAAGTGGAGCTTAGTTTAAGCGTAACTTAAAATCCATGGCAACCATTGTCTCAATAATCGTTGCCATGGATTTTAAGCTACGCTTAAGCTAAGCTCCACTTAAATTTCTCGGTGCAAACGGCCATTAATGACTGATTTTTAGCGTATTTCCACAAAAATAAAAAAAAGGCGCTATTGTGGCCACTTTGTCCGTCCGCTCGTTTGTTGAGACGCAACTGGTTTGGTTCTTTATCTTAAGAGCTATTGTTCTACTGTTTTCGCTATTTGGTTCGTTATGATGTCGAGGCTTGCACCAAGGAAGGAATTTTTTCTGCGTTTATTGCTAAAAAAGTTATTGTAAAAAAACCAACAAACCGTTTTTTACATGTTCCATAATTTTACACTTTTGCCGTTTATTAACGATCCTAGAGATCGTTTATAATTTTGTATTGCTGTCTATCGTCTGTCCGTCTGTTTCTTTGTCTGTCTGTCCGTGTGAACGATAATTTTGTTTAGAAATGTCCGATCGCTTTTAGATCTCCGTTAGTTATGAACTGAATTGCATGAAATTCAATATGGGCATACAATAGCCATACAATACGCAATGCCAAAAGTTGAGTCGAATCGATTCAAAAAGCATTGAAATGAAATTCTTCTTATAAACAAAAATTGAAGTAGCACGTCAAAAATGGATTGCACGCAGTAGCGGTCCCGGATTTGGTAAAGGAAGGGGCCCAAACCCGAACTTTGTCCCAACACGGAAAAAAATAAAAGAAATCTGATGAAAAAAATGAACAATGGGGGGGAGGGGGCCGGTCCCCCCCTGGGACCGCCACTGATTGCACGTTTGCAAAGCTATCTTTCATATTTGTGGCCGGATTTTTACGATTTTAACAGATGTTGCATCTTACAAATGGGAAATGAATGCAAGTGGAAATGCGCTTTATGTAAATCGTTTACGATTACATTTTAACTTGTTAATTTTGTTTGCTCTATTTTGATTTATATTTTAGTTTCATTGGGTTCACTGTCCACCTCATGAACCTTCTCCATTACACTTTTACCCGCATGAAACATCGCATATAGTGTCTAAATATTTTATTCTTAACTACAAACAAGAATATTGCATACAACCATTGTATATACATCTTATACGACTTATAATTACAAATTTACTGAATGACAATAGTATTATTATTAGTCATATTTTCATGTTGGCTAATAATATTTCCACATTCCTCCAAATTATCAAATATGTGTTGCAGTGTCCAGTGTTTCTGCAGCAGCGCGTGATCTAGATTGAAATAACTGTGTCGAATGCATTGAATTCCAGTACAGTGTGCTGTCGAATGCAATTTCAAACCTATTTCGTGTATAAGTGCCTTTAAATACATTTCGTACTCGTTCACGCAGTGAATCTCTGTAACAGAAAAAAAACCTTGATTTTTATAATTTCAGGTCATTTTTTTTCCAGCACTCTGTATATATAGCGCTAAATACGAACCTACAGTGAATTCAGGTGGTTGATAATCGACACACTTAATTCCATACAGCAAAGGTGTTTTTGAACACACAGGTCGTATTTGTCCTTTCACAGCTAAATCATATGCAGTTTGCGATTGCAAATCAACACCGGTTGCGCTACAATTACATTAAATCATCCACACGTGGCATCCACTGTGTACATACTCAAACATTTTCCGCTGATGTGACGACTGTATGACTGACAATAATCGATCCATATGATGTGATTTAATAAACCCCATTGTGGTCCTCTCTACAACTTTACCATCCTTATAAAAATTGTCAGTGGCACGCCCCAGCAATCCTTTAACTCTATACGCACGCATGAGTTTATTGCTTCGAATAAGATTCGCAGTTTTCGTACCATTTTGTAAACCCATTACTGGAATGACACAATTAGCGTTATAACTTCAGCGGAGAGTATTACAGAGAACGCCACTTGTATTAAATCCCAAGTAGTTCGACCAGGAACAACGGAGATTGTTCGGATTGTAACGGGGTCCCACCACTAACGGATGATCGGCTAAATTTTGCTTTTTTACTACCGTTAGTTGCGTCAAGGGGTCCCCTTCGATTTGCACGTAATCGCCGCACGGTCGACATTTCATTTGGTTCAATTCTGAAATTTTCAAATTTCGCGCCATTAAATTTCGCGAACCGGCGCACATACGTAATTTTTCTATGACAAGTTTGAGCTATTTTCTCACTGTTAGTACAATTGCTTTATCGTCCGTTTAAAGTGTAAGTTAATTTTTAATTATTTTTAGGTCTGTACGTACCGTTGCTAATTTTATACGTGAGAATGTTGCAAATTCTGTGGCATGAAACGTCCGCCGGTTTGTAAATGCAGATAATACCGTTAAGGGCTTTCCATGCCGATGTTGCATCTTCGGTTATCACGCTTAAAGCCTTTGATGCGGTTTTTTGCATTGAGAACTCAAAATTCCTTGAATTATGGTTAATATTAGAAGTTATTGCTTTTTTCAAGGTTAGATCATTGATTTTTCACACTGGATGTGTCTCCGTTGACGCGTATTTTCCCAGAATGCTTTACGCAGGAAAGAAAAAAGGCGCGCAAAAATTGATTTGAACATTGATAGTTCCTACAGTACTATAACAAATGTTTACTTCAAACTTTTTACCTAGGGTTCAATATTAAGTTAATGTCAAGTGTAAATCACAAAGTATGTGCATATTGCCTTAAAATGACTGTTTTGTGATTAATAAAAATGCCAAGTCCATTGCAGCATACAAATGCCAAGTTAAGTACTATATGCAAGTCTAATTCATTTTATTACTTAGTTTATCAAAGTCCATGATTCAATAATATATTTAAAAGTTTTTATTTGTAATTGTGTGATAATCTATATACTTATAGTCTAGTAATGAACCTGATCTGCATTCGTAGATCATTGGTAAATATGTGATCTAAGTATGCATTCATGCATCATCAAACTTCTTTTGTTTTTTTGGATGCATGGGTAACCAGACTATTAAGTTACTCCAAAAATGTCCTACAGGACAACTGGATTTGGGTTAGGAGTAAGAGGAGAGGTGTACACTGATTTAGAATCACATAATAATTATTGTAACTGATAAGTGACTTTATAGCATTAAAATGGTTTCAAAGACTTCACAAGAATTAAATTTTGCTTTAATTTTTGCTTAATAATTTTCCCATTGAATAATGGTATTGCTATAGCGAAATACTAAGCAACATTTTTATGTAATCGTAGATGTGAAAGAATTTTAGAGAAACCAAAATTTATTTTCCCATATTTGTACACATCTCTACAACATACTTAATCCACTGTGTTTCTGCAATAAACAGATACCTTAAAAAATTCTTTTGGTAGTTCTTGAAAAAAAAACAACTTTTAGGTAGTTCCAGATACAGCCGGGATGGTTCCAGTACTTGGACCGACCATCACATTTACTTGTAAAATCTTTTTTGGATTGAATAAGGGTACTTGACAAAAAATCCCAAACTTCTTCCATAAATTCACAAATAAATAACAACCCTCGATCTGGACTAACGCGAAGTGTTGATCATTCTTAAAATTAATGGATCATGGAAAAGGTCGCTGGTTTAAGTAAAAGGTTTTGTGCTTTTAATTGCAATGAAAATTGGTTCCAGAATCCATTTTTTACATTCTTATAAAAATACTGAAAACGTTTTTTTTTTTAAATTTTGTTGGGAGCTACTTCACGAAACTTCTTGGAATGATGTTGGTACTTAACTGTTCAAAAGTTTGCCAACTGAAGTTAAAAGGTGGGTAGATGTTTAGACTATCTCTTCGTCAGCCAATGAATCAGTTTATATCCATATCTCTAAATAGAAGAAGTAGTTGGCTCATAATGCAAGAGGCATCACGAATCTAAAAATATTGGGTGATTACACACCTATAATGATACGCGAAAAATCGAAAACAAGTTCTTTTGATAACGCAAAATTAGATAAGGCATTACTTCCTGTAAATTATTAGTCCAAATCTGATTATTATTGTAACAACAATGCATTTTTTTTTTTTGAGTTGGATCCATCGTTCCTCGAAATGGGGGTTGAAATATATTATGTATCAAAAATCTCTAAACCTTCCCCATATAGGGGGAAGGTTTAGAGATTTTTGATACATAATACAACAATGCACATAAATACAAAATTATTAGGTAATTTTTCTTTATTATAGGTATGCGAGTAAGTTTAATCCGAAGATTAATTACAATGGCATCAACTCTTTCGAATGTTCCCGAAGTTGATATCGACCCTACTGGAGTGTTTAAATACATTCTTCTAGAGCTACGAGGTGGTGGTCCAGACGATAAAAAAATACTTGTTAGAGGATACGGTGTCTGCAATTATCATGGTTGGTATTATGCCTTTACTTGTGTAGACATAAGTGAAATCATTTCAGTTGATGTTAACGATATGGTTACGGACGAGTTGCAAAAGTTAAAAGAGAAAGGCGACTTAGACAAATGGAATACAAAAGTTCTCGGTGGCGGGAGAATTATTCATGATTCTTCCAATAAAACCATTAAGGTTTATGGTTATTCTCAGGTTTGTTAACACTGTCGGTTCAGTTATAAAAACTCTTGTTTTAGGCGTACGGGAAAGCTGATCATGCGACTACAGTAGAATTGTTAAGGAAAATGTACAGCGACTACGATATTTCGTGGAGTGATGAAGGTTATTAGATTCTAAACAATGTAATGTGACCGTAAAATTTTAATTCAAGGAAATGCTAATAAAAGTATTTTATGTAATGTATTACTAGATAATAAAGTTATTCATGTTGATGCCTAAGAAAAGGATAATATGTTTCTTATTGTATATGGCTAGAAGATAGGTTTTTTGTTTTTATTAATTTAGAATTGTACGATACTATTCAAAAAACTAATGCCTTCTGTGACATAAGCCATACCAGTTAAAACTGCCTCAACATTTACAGTCGATAATATAAATTAATATTTTGTAAATGTATCAGGTAATTTAAGCATTAACGATAAACTGCTTGATTAATCAAATATTCATGCAAATGATAACATTAAATGTATAAATTATAAAATTACGCAGGATATCGCCATGGGATTTATAAATGCAATGATTTCGCCAACAATTACCGAGTATAGATGACATATCGGTGAAAGTGTACTCAGATCGATCCACCAAAGCATAATTATATGTTTGTTCTGTATCAACTTACCCGGCATGCAACTTTTAGCTCCAGTCTCTCCTACCTACTCTGGATTAATGGCTATTTAAAAAGATTGTTTCTGATGTAGTTTTGCCTGTCAATAGGGGAAAATTATCGAACCTTTCTTTGTATTGTTGAAAAGTCGAAACTGATGATTGCATCGCCGGCGCCGCCATTTGAAATAGGTCACGACTTTCAAAAGTGATTAGATTATCCCAGAGGCAGCGCAGTATATACCTAGGTACAAAACGATCGCGCTTATTTGATATCTGGCTTTGCTTTGATTTATTCATTTTATTAAAACAATCTTGTATAGTGGTTACTTCTCAGTGATTTTTTAAATATCATTAGCATTGTGTTTTTGTTTATTTTTATAATATGGGAATTAATTATAAAAACATGACAATTTTATTTAAATGGAAACAGTTCAGTAGGTACATACGTTATGTAAGTTGAATTGATTGGAAAATTGATCTCGTGCCAATTTTTTAATGATTATAATGATATGCTTAGGTAAATTAGGCACCTATGAACTTTTTCTTCAATTTTAAAGATATTAAAGTTGTTAAAATTGGAGGTCGTGGGAACGCATTTAGGTATTACATGCGTCACTTTTAAGAAATTTTAATAGAAATAGATCTTGGTTTACTTGTTTATCATGCAAATTCTTATTAATAAAAAAACACATGCATTGGGGACGGAAGTGGAAGTTTTTCTTGTTCAACACAAGTTTCATGATGTTGATAAAACAATATATAGATCAAAACTAATAAAAAAAATTTTAAATCCGTCAATAAATGACTGAGGTATTCAGTGTGCATCACAGTAGTGGTCTGTACTGCGTGTGACGTCATTTGATCTAATTGAATGGGTCCGTTACCACACCAATAACCAACCGTACACGTATGAACGGATATATAGAATAGATCAAGTGACATCACACGCTGAATCAAAATTATTTTTCCACTTTCTGTTTTTACGGATGCCGACAGCAACTTAGTGCTTATTTTAAATAGAACACCCTGTGTTTTATTGCATCTTCGAAATTTACATCGTTTGATACCTCCCTATTCCCCTATTTCCCTATTCTTAGTGAAGGCGTGTTTCCCGATTTGTTAAAAATGGCGGTAGTCGTACCAATATACAAAAAGGAAGATATTAATAATCCGAAAAACTATAGACCTGTATCTATATTACCTGCTTTTTCCAAAATATTTGAAAAGGTATTATTTAAACAAATATCAGCTCACCTAAAAAAAATAATATACTTTACATAAAGCAATTTGGTTTTAGGTCTGGTAGAAGTACAACTGATGCTCTTTTGTCTTTTGTCAATACGACCTTGCAATGTTTTGAAGCTGGAGAATTTTCGACAGCAATTTTTTTGGATTTATCGCAGGCTTTTGACTGTGTTTGCCATCAAATTTTAATTGATGTTGGAGAAAGTGTATACCTTTAATGTCCCGAGTTTGTCCTTAATCAGGTCGTATCTATCCGATCGATCTCAATATGTCCGCATTGGTAATGAACAGTCCACTACACTAGCAATTACAAAAGGAGTCCCCCAAGGTAGTATTCTTGGCCCACTCCTGTTCCTTTTTTATATCAATGACCTTCCTAGTTATATTTCACCAAACAATAATTGCATTCTATATGCGGATGACATTACTCTGTTGGTTCAAGGTAATAATCTAGCCCAGTTAATATCTGAAGCTCAATCTCTCTGTGACAAAAGTAAAGAAAGAGTGGTGCACTGCTAATAAGTTAAACTTAAATTCAACGACAACTGAACAATTGTTATTCTCTTTAAAACGCCATGATGTATCTTATTCGCCATCAGTAAAATTTGTTGGAATACACATTCACCCTAGCTAAGTTGCAGTTTACTCTTCATATTGATTATATTCAATCAAAACTAAGTAAAAATCTGTTTGTCTTGCGTAGATTATGTGATATGGTGTCGTGTGATGTCCTCAGAAATGCTTTATGTCATAGTTTGTTATCTTATGGAGTTATTGTGTGGGGTAATTCGTCAGCATAGCCAGTTATTTAGAATACAACGTCGCGCAATAAGGATCATTGCGAAGCTTGGTTATAGAGTGGACTGTAGGTGTGCTTTTACTAATCTAAACATTTTGACGTTACCCTGTTTATTTATTGAATCGTGTTTGAGATTTGGAAGAAAGAACATTTTAAATTATCAGCAACAAGCTTTTTATCACGATTATGACACCCGAAATAAAAGCGCTGTTCGTCTCCCTTTATTGAGACTCAACAAAACTCAAAAAGGTTTTGAATACATGGCACTAAAGTTTTTCAATTGTTTACCTGATACCGTCAAAGCACTATCCAATCGAGAATTTAATCGCTGCATTAAAAATGTTCTTTTAGCTCACCCCTTTTACTCCACGGATAAATTTATAAATTTCGATTTGAGTTTGATGCTATAATAGGTTACAATTTAGAAATATGTTTGATGACGAGTGTATGTACCTAATTCTTGTTGATTATCTAAACACAATAAACTTTATTATTATTATACCCCACATCAAAGGTTTTCAAAATTTTTGACGTTTGATTGTTTTTTCTGGTGAACCCTACACCTATGACTTCCTTGATTTCAATTTCAAAAAGTTTCGAGATTAATCATGTGTTAATCATCTCCTTTTTGCAAGAGTGGTAAGCGAGGTGGTAAGTCAATTTTTTAAGCTGCATCGACGAATTTCATCCCTTTATTCGGGTGATAAGTGAATGCCAATTTCCTTTCATAATGTCGGAGATTAATCATTGGCTTCCAAAAGATTTTATAAATTGAACCATTTGAACCCCTTTTTGCGAACGTATTTCACCACCTTATACATATACACGGGCGCTAAATGAACACCATTTGCTTGTATGACCAAAGATCTATCGTAACCTTCTAAACGCAATTAGATATTGAACTGAATTTCATTTTTTGTAACACTAGAGATCAATCGTAACATTATATAAAAGCAAACTAATTTCCTATTTGGATTCTAACGGAGTAAAAGGATTATTTAATTAAGTAGGTACTAATTAGCGCCAAATTTTTTTTTAATCCTGCATCCCTGCATAGGTACTATCAGAGGAAATATTTCCTCTACCTATGGTACTATTAAAGTGCCTGGGCCCATAAAAATATGTAGGGTTTAAAAAGGTAGTAAGAGCGTTAATTAAGAGTGACTAAACTTAATCTAACATCGATTTAGCAACTAAAAGTTTTATCACAATAAAAATGTTATAAATTCTACTTTGCAACGCTACGTTACTTTTCCTCTAGTTGGCGTAACGATAATATGTGTAGTAATTTTTTATTGGCGTAAATAGCATTGAATAAGAGTCATCTTATTCAATGTGAATAGTTATAACACAAAAATCGTATATTGTTTTAATTGCAGGTACACTTTTAGTGAGGAATCTGTAGGTTTACTGGAAAAATACAAAATAAAGCTGGATTGGTTGGGGTTACCATTGAATGAAGAATTTGATTATTCAATGATGTGTTACCATTGGCAACGCCAGCAAAAACTTTTCCCCTTGAATTCAACTAGGTAGGTACATAAGAAGAGACTAGAAAGGTAGCCCAAAATACCGGTACCGAAATCATTGATAATACACCGGGGGTTCCAAATTTTTGTATGAAATGTAGCGCACATTAGGTACCTACAGCCCACATCACATTTTTTTTCTATGCTAAAAATTATTTCAGCTCAAAAAAAACTACAAACGTTTATTCTCGTTGATGATAAATGATAGTAGACACTGTTTAGTAACGGGTGATCAAAAATGGGTTGCTGTCAAGTCGCCTTTGGAAGTTTAATAATAAGCTAAGTACGATTTCCCATGTAAAGAACAATTCCAAAGGTGACTCGACAGCAACTCTTTTTTGATCGCATAGTCTATCGAGTCACCTTTGGAATTTTTGTTTACATAGAAATCATATTTCTTGAACTTCCAAAGGCGACTTGACGTCAATCCTTTTTTGATCGCCCGTTACCCGATAGGTACCTATTATAAGCGCAACTATTTAGATTGTTTTATTGTATATTCGTGCGATTATTTACTAGTACTAGTAGTGCGCAATTTTCGCGATTAATAAATCCCACTGCTGCACTCATTTTTGCAAAGTGCATGAACGTAACAAAAAACACCGTTGGTATATAATTGGGTAATATTGATCAACGACCAATAACTGTATTAGTTGACCTAAAAGAAATCATTTTACTAAGGTTTTTGTGAGGCCATTTTCTAGTTGACTAAGCTTTTCATTGAAACAACAACCCAAAAAATTCAATAAGGTAGTATCTTATTTAAACAGATAATGTAATATATCAAGATAAAAATGAAACCTCGTTATCAAATTTTCCGTCCTCACGTCGTCCTATTCTTATCGTAGGTACTTTTGAGCGTAATGCTGATATAAATGAGGCAAAACAAGAGAAAATTACTTAGTATAGATTTAAATTAAACCGAGGACAGAACGTTCATACTCCGTAAAGTTTAAAGGAACGCGAAAAGAATTTGGTTGTTTACATCTCGATTCAGTGAAAAATTGTACGCTGAAGTCAGTGTAATGGAAAATTTGCATTGAACAATATCTAAACCATGAATAACGATCTGCAACAAAGAGTTAAAATTGATAGACCGCTTTATGACCAAGAGCAATTAAACAAACATTGCCAATATGAAAAACTGCCAAAAAAACGTAAGTAGTTTCGAAATTCTTTAAATAGATTTTTAAACAATTTAAATATTTGTTGTCATTATTGATAATGATATCACGAAAGTAAATAATTATTAGCTACTAGGTAACTATCCTAAGCGCACGTATGTGTAGATATCTTGCTTTTTGCAATACCACTCACACTTGACATTTAGGTACCCGTACCTAAGGTAATAATGAAAAAAAGTGCATCCCTTAGACAAGGTTCCTTGTAATGTAAGTATAATCCATTTATTCGCAGTGTACTGTTATAGGTAGGTACCTTAATTTCCCACAATGTTGCATTCATTCGGTTTAATTCCATGTTCATTGAACTTGTAAGTGTATAGTTTTTTTTTGTCGAGCGAAAGTTGCTTTATAAAACGTAGGTACAATAAATAAATTTTACATTCTTTTTTAACAAAATATTAAAATTGTTGTTCAATCCAATTCGTATGTATATTGAAAAATTATCGTTATATTCTTCGATTACTTACATAGTTTTGTAATTCTATTTCGTGAAAAAGGGGTGAAAGTTTATCCAACCCAAAGTCTGTGGTTTCATAAAAAGATCCGATAAAACTGAATACCGAACGATCCTCAAGATCGTTTTTGTACAACTGTTTGGCCCGATGGTCTACATATAGCTGAAAAACAATAGCGACCTTTGTTACATCCTTCTATTCTATTCAACAATTTTGTGTTTTTTTGAGGTATGAATTTAATTATTTTGTTTTTGTTTAGTTATGTTAAGATTTTGAGTTTTTGTTGTGTTTCTTTCTTTTTCTTTTTTTTTATTACACTAAATAATTGCGCCTTAACTATTAAATATGTATTGTCTTGTAATTGGAATGTCTGTTCTGTTGGGCAATAAATCTCTATTATTATTATTATAACAGGATTCACAGTCCTTCCTTTCAATAAAGGATAGGGCCCTGTTTATAGTCCTCCCGTGTTCCAGATAACTGTTGTCAACGAGATGATGTACTGTCTCTGATCAAGGCGTCACAGAGATAGAACACATGCTCGGTGTTGCATCGACCTCGACACAAAACCTGTACAAGTTCTATGTCCAGATTTGCTAATGGGACCTGTTAAAAAGGCCCTGGACTGTCTGAGTGCGTTTGCTTGTTTCCACTGGAATTGATTGGTCACTGATCAGTCTTTAATCCTGAACACGATAACGAAAGGAGCAATTCCTAGGGCAGGCTCGGTGTACCAATTTTCCAAGCGGTCAGACGTTTCTAAATAAAGTTATCGTACCCACGGACAGACAGGGAGACATACAACAATATATCTCGAGGATCGTTAATAATAATGGAAACAAAATTTTTTTCTGATACTGCACAAACAGACATCAAAACCATGCAGGGTATAAACCCCACGTTGAAAAGGCATTTAGTTTTCGGGACATTTGCACATTTTTCTGGTAAATACGTTCAGATAATTTAATCTAAAAATGCGTACCTACCTTAACCTTTCTCTGCGTAATATTAAACAGAACAAGAACTTATCTCTGTAATGATTTATGACATTTAACACCTGATCTCAATATTCATTCTCGCAACAGGTAATTCAAAATCTGCCAAGTATATGTTGACTTGACTCAAATGAACAATGAACATAATGTTCTAAAAAAGCAAACACTTCACTCTTTTTTGATAACAATCTAATTTATGGCGGAAGGAGGGGTATTATACTTAATGCGCAGAAATGATCCGCATTTTGATAGGAACGTCATAAGTTTACTTAAAAATTCAAAATATTCTTGATTATTACATACCTTACTGAAACCTCAGATACAATAAAAAGGTAACATCGGTACAAAGAGCCCCGTTTTCGAAGCAAATAATGTAGCATCATGCTTACAATATGACTTCAATTTATTGTAGGTATTATGGTCTGATGCTTTATTTATTACAATTAACAATAAATTCATGACAGTCGTCAACTTGATTAATTAATGACAGTAAAAAAATATTATTTACACTCACGAATTCACAATGTATCACAGCGCGAACTATTCATTACTTCGACGTTGTAATTGCAACTCAACTATAACGCAATCCCATTTGCTTATAGGTATAGTAAAATCAAAAATTCCCGGGTGGTCGTAAACATTCTAGAATAAAATACTGCATATTTTTCGGAAAGATACGTTACGTCCGCTTTCGTACTCTATGGCCGATGACTAACCTTTCATGGCGCCTCAATCAGGCCCGTAGTCAGAGGCTCCGAGTGAGGGGGGGTGTATGCAATAAAAATGCCGACTTCCATAAAAATTCAAAATATAGACATTAAACGACGGCATTTTAATAAATACCAAAGTAATAATAATAATTATTATTTTATGATAATTGTCATTATACACAGTGCTCTTTTTTCGCGGCTCATAATAGATATGGATTCTATTTTATAATTTATAAAACCGAATCGAAGTGCGACGTTTAGAAGACTTTTTCAGAGGAATTTGATGAATATGGCCAGAATGACATAGAACTTTTTTTTGCTTTAGGGTCGCCAAATTTCATCTTATGATCTTTCATCAGAGTTATTTTTCTCTGACGTGCCATAGCTTTTAATTTACTACTTTGATTTTACCAAAATACCTCATTATTTTTCAATTTTCACGACAGTGCTTTAGAAATTGCAGTCAAACTCATTTGCTTTGGTAGTTTACATTTACAATTAAAATAATTAATAAAAATGTCGTTTTAAATGTAGTAAAGGGTTCCTTTGGCAAGATTTTATTAGATATTATACTCGTAAGTTAAAAGTAGTAGGTAATCTATCCAAAACTTATTTTTGTCTAAAAGACACTATCGTGACAATTGAATAATTAAATGTTATATTTAAAATGTAATGTAAATGTAAAATGTAATGTAAATCCATAGTAAATTCTTTATTACAAAAATCTACAAATACAATGTGACCCCTACGTTCAAAACAAATTCCTCTTATTAGAAAATAATGTCATAGTGTAAACCGCCCATTTCTCAAGTAGGTATACTCGTAAATACAGAATTATTAAAACGTAAAATTTAGTTCTTTTTAATTATTGTGACTAAAAGAGTTATCCCACAAGTGGTTTCAATTATTGATTCGGATTCAAATTTAACTTTACCCCAATTTGACCAACATTAGTTTTTAACGTAAGAGATCCCATCGTCAGGCGCTAAAGATGACCACCCTGTATACTTACCTACCATCTACCCCTATCGTAACTTTTAGACCCATGCAAACATAACAGTTAGAAAAATTTGCGTAATTGAAAAATGAAAAGCATTTAGTACCTAAGTACCAAAATGAGTAGGCTGGTGGCTGGTGTAATATAATAATAATCATTATCTGGGCTAAAGATCATATTTTGCAACGTTTGGAATCTGCAGAACCCAATGATATTATTTTACTATACAGGCATACATTAGTATATTGTTTATAAAGTATTTAAACAATGACATCAGTAATAAAATAAGTATTATGTGTGCACGCTCCTCTACAAGGTATTTACATGGGATGTTTGTAATGAAACTAAACTCGTTATTATAACAGGAAACGATAAAAATATTCTACAGTTCTCTGTGATACAATAATATATGGCGAGAAAACATTTTCACAACCAAATTTCATTTAATTTGAATAGCGATTTGCCGAGTGCCGACTAACTGAAGTTTTGCCGACTATGGTCACGCGTTAGGGGGGGTGTGACACCCCGCCATCAATCCGGCCCTGGCCTCAATGTCTATGAATATTTCTGGAATGTTCGCTACAGTAACAACTAAAAAGATTTATTTTTTTGTCAAGCGTCACACGGCAAAATTGAATACAAAAGACTGATTAGAGCTAGGCACTTCGTTATTCAATGCTAAAAGACTGAAATAAAAGACAGATATCTTTGAGGGTGGAAGAAAACTTATTGAATAAGTTTTATGTTCTAAAATTGTATCTTCTTCACAGATTTGGATTGCGTCAACTGTACACCTTCACGTATTTTGTTCAAGACAGTACCTGTATTAAAATGGTTACCAAAGTATCGATGGAAAGAAAACATTCTGGGGGATCTCATCGCTGGATTTACGATTGCTATAATGCAGATTCCGCAAGGTAACATCAGTCAAAAGTATTTCGCACAAAACTGTATGAATGTTACAGGAATGGCTTACAGTCTTTTAGCCAATGTACCACCTATTACAGGAATATATACTGGAGTCTTTCCAGTTCTAGTATATTTTATATTTGGAACTTCTAAACATAACTCAATGGGTAAGTGAAATTATTCATCTACTACTAACTTAACACTAATTTATATTTTTTCCTATCTTGGTTCATCCAATCATTTCATATAGGGCTCAATTGGCAAGTTTCTTCCCTCATAACTTTCTGATCTGGCGTAAGGAGGGAATTCATCGAACAAACCCAAATTTTGGTGTATAATATTGAATTTTCAGACACTCTAACTTCCCGAGTACTGAGATATTCGTTTATCCAGCAGTAAATATTAAACAAGTCCCATGATTCTTCCCTCAACCGTCCTTGCTGATTGTGGGTCGTCCTTAATCGAGTTTCGACTCCATCGAAATTGTTTCAAACAATATTTTACTTGAAAACAGGATGGACCGTTAATATTGTACACTTTGGTCCATTCATTCTTAGATAACTTTCGTGTTTCGCAACACTTCTTTCTTTAGTGAGGAACTTTATAACCTTGCCCCTGCCCTTGCGATAGGTGTTTGCCGTTGTGCATTCGCCTTTTTGTTTCTTGTACAATTGTACCACAGACAAAATACTAATTGTACAATGAAATATCTCGAAAACAAATTCATTGCACAGAAAAATACAGGGTGACACTTTTAAAACTTTCAATGGGCGATATCTTTTTTATATTAGAGGTATCACAAAATGGCCAAAACCGTTTCGGTAGAATCGAGGGGGAAGCAAAATGGTCGTATAAAGAAGGAACCAACTTCAACCTCGTACCCCCCGCCACCCCCATGCCTAAATTTTGAATTGTGACATATCACTTGTGATACATTATTGGAAAGCTCTTAAAAAATGCTTTTCAGAAATACCATACACTGGTGCATTTAAACTGCCCATTCACAATTTATGTAATAAAAATCAGTAATGTGAGTATTTGATGAATTTGTCAGTGTTTGAAATAAAAAAAAATTTCTTAGATCTAGTGATGCTTTGGAAAAACATTGACAGCAATTTTTAGTAAATAATAATTTTCTATTGCTTTATTTGTTGATCGGTTATTATTATTTTAGTCTCGTTTTTAGTATTTCTTGGCAAGAAAATTACAAATTTTGAATTTAAGTAAAGATTTCATAATGGTGTACACGTTAGCCGAAAGAGTTGAAATTATTTTCATCTATGATTCTGAAGCGCGATCTGCATTTAGAACAGCAGCTGTTTTTAATGCCCGACACCCAGAACGACGTGTCAGTCACACTTATGTTGCTTATGTTAGTGACTAAATTTGAAGAAACTGGGTCAGTGGAAAATAAGAAAAGAGACGGACCAAGAATAATGGATGAAGCTACTCAGATTGAAGTTTTAGGTCATTTTGGTGCAAACCCAACATCATCTATTCGAAAAGCAGCGACTATGACCGGACTTTCGCGAGAAACTGTACGACGAACTCTTAAGGTGCACAAATTCTACCCTTATAAGATGCAGATTGTACAGGAACTAACCGAAGACGACTCCGATCGAAGAATCCAATTTTGTGAAATAATGACCGAGAATATTCAAAATAATCCGGAACTGGTGAAAAACATTTGTTTTAGTGATGAATGTACATTCTTTTTAAATGGAAATGTGAACGAACATAACTGCCGGTATTGGGACGATAAAAATCCTCATCTTTTTCGCGAGGGGCATACTCAACAGCCCCAAAAAAATTAACGTCTGGGCAGGTATCTTAGGTGATAGCATTATTGGTCCTCTGTTTATCGAAGGAAATTTAACTGGAGATACTTACCTAAACATGCTACAAAATACCGTCGAGCCTCTCATCACTCATGAAATAGAGAATCAAATAAATCCAATTGACGGAAACATGAATTTGATTGAAGATTTCATACATTTTCAACAAGATGGGGCTCCTCCTCATTACTCTATGGCTGTTCGTGAATTTTTAGATGAGAAATTTCCGGGACAGTGGATAGGACGAAGAGGTCCTATAGAATGGCCAGCACGATCTCCAGATCTGACACCATTGGATTTCTTTCTTTGGGGTCATTTAAAATCGGTTGTGTACAAAACTGAACCAGCTTCCATAAATGATCTTCGCTACCGGATAGTCAGGGAGTGCCGTTCACTTTCCAGGGAAGTGTTTAAAAATGTTAGAAATGAATTTGAAAACCGTTTGTGGTATTGTTTAGAACAAAACGGTGAACATTTTATTAAATAAAAATTGTTTATTTGCGGAGTTCAAATTTTAGTGTAATAAATTGTGAATGGGCAGTTTAAATGTACCAGTGTACATCTTTACATATGTACAATCTTTAGTTAAATTCAAAATTTGTAATTTTCTTGCCAAGAAATACTAAAAACGAGACTAAAATAATAACCGATCAACAAATAAAGCAATAGAAAATTATTATTTACTAAAAATTGCTGTCATTGTTTTTCCAAAGCATCACTAGATCTAAGAAATTTTTTTTTATTTCAAACACTGACAAATTCATCAAATACTCAAATTACTCATTTTTATTACATAAATTGTGAATGGGCAGTTTAAATGCACCAGTGTACCAGGTATTTCTGAAAAGCATTTTTTAAGAGCTTTCCAATGATGTATCACAAGTGATACGTCACAATTCAAAATTTAGGCATGGGGGTGGCGGGGGGTACGAGGTTGAAGGTGGTTCCTTCTTTATACGACCATTTTGCTCCCCTCTCGATTCTACCGAAACGGTTTTGGCCATTTTGTGATACCTCTAATATAAAAAACGATATCGCCCATTGAAAGTTTAAAAAGTGTCACCCTGTATGTACCTAAATCCTAATAAACAATTTATATCTCTATCATGGTTATCCATAAACTATTTATTATTACTAAATAATCAACATATTGGAAACTGTCTATGTATATAGGCATAGAGGAAATACAATTAGGTTGTTATTTCTAAAAAAACACTTGAAAGATAAAAATTCGTATCTTGATTTATTTAACTTGGGTTCAATTTTAAATTAATGAGTCAATAATATCTAACTAATAATTCTTGTTCTAAATGTCAAACCTGTTCCTAATGAATTATATTATTAACGAGCGACAAAAAGCGAGTTTATGATTTTGGACTTTCTGGGCGTCCGTCCATCCGTCCGTCTGTCGACACGATAACTCACTAATGGTTTCGAATTTTCCAATTCTGTTTTTAGCAATAGGTAGACAATGGTTAAGGGACTAACTGATTAAATTTTGATCAATAGTCGTCAACCGGAAGTGACTTTGTCGCTCGTTGTCTATATTGTTGCAGTTTATATATTTATTATTATAATTGATACAGGATCGAATTTAAGCAAATAACCGCATACAAACTACATGAATAGAATACTGCTACATAAAAACACTAGAGGTGGTAAATGGAGACTTAACATTGCAGGTACTTTCGCTGTAATCTGTTTGATGACCGGAAAAACAGTTCTCGAGCACAGCGACCCATCTAGCTTTAATCATCTGGCAAGCTTCAGCGAAGTAGGCTACTCGCCGATACAAGTAGCGACTGCTACGTCTTTCGCTGTGGCCATGGTTATGGTACGTGAGTGCTACTCAATCCAAAAGTATATTATCAATTTCAGCTAGTCATGTACCTTTTCCGACTAGGAATCATTAGTACCCTACTCTCGGACACTTTGGTTAGCGGATTTACAACTGGCGCTGCGTGTCACGTGTTTACGTCCCAATTAAAAGATATATTCGGCTTGGGGATTCCGACTCAGAAAGGATACTTTACGATTGTTAAAACGTGGATGGTTGTATTTGAAGAAATAAAAAATGTTAATTGCATCGCTCTGGGTATTTCCGTAATATGCATTATAATTTTGATACTTTTCAACGAAGGAATAAAAGTAGGTAAAACTAGATGAAAGATAAACTAGATACAATTTTTATTTTAGCCAAAGGTAGCCCAGAAGTGCATGTTTCCAATACCAGTCGAACTGCTCCTTGTCATATTGGGCACAGTTTGCAGTTACTTCTTGAACTTAGTAGAAGATTACAACGTAAAAATTGTCGGCACCGTACCTACTGGGTAAGTGTTACGGATCAAAGCCAATCAATAATTTTAAATCAGCTTGCCAGAACCATCGCTGCCCCCTTTTGAGTTAATGGGTCGTATTATGGTGGACTCGATTGTTATCGCAATTGTGTCGTACGCCTTGAGTTTATCTATGGCCCTGATCTTTGCTCAAAAACATAATTATGAAGTGGATGCCAATCAAGAGCTTTTGGCTCAGGTAAAAACATATCAATAAAATCGTGGAAACTTATGAAACTGTGCAGGGCGTTAGCAATGTGGTAGGATCGTGCTTCTCCTGCGTACCGGTAACAGCATCTCTAACACGATCAATGATGGTACATGCAGTAGGAGGGAAGACCCAACTCTACTCAATTGTCTCCTGTGGAATTCTAATACTTGTACTAATGTGGATGGGTCCACTTCTTGAAACACTTCCAATAGTAAGGGTTGGTTCTGATGTAGAAACGAAGGGTAATTGAGGCTTTCTAGAGCGTATTGGCGAGCATAATAGTGGTAGCGTTAAAAGGACTGTTTATACAAATAAAAGATTTTGTTCCTATTTGGAAGGCGAGCAAACTAGACGCAATGGTCTGGCTAATAACCTTCCTAGTTGTAGTTTTTGTAAATTTGGATATAGGACTATTGGTTGGATTGCTTTTGTCACTTGCACAAATTTTACTAGCTGGATTTCAACCATACACTTGCCTGATGTACGCCGTTCCTAATACCGACATTTATTTGGATTCGACTCGCTATAAAATGGTAAAATTAACATTTAAAATTAAAATTTAACCATCGTACTTTAGGCCATTCCACTGAACGGTATAAAAATATTCCACTATAGTGGCAATTTAAGTTTCGCCTTGAGGAACACGTTTAAGCTTGAGCTGTATCGCTTGGTGGGGATTCAACCACAAAAAGAGTTACGCATGCGAAGAAAAATTGCTAAGCTCAAAGAACAGGTACGGCTCTCAACATCTAGCGCGTTTTACCAAAAAGTTCACTTACAGGACGACATATCCTTCGGAGATTTGAACATATCAAAATTTAATGATAAGATCGAAAAATTGAAAAGCAAAACGACGATGGACGTATATTGTATAGTTTTAGATTTCTCAGCAGTAAGTTACATTGATTCGGCCGGCGTTGCAACTTTGAAGAGTATCGTTCAGGACTTCGCACAAATTAGTATTCCGATTTACATAGCCTCCAGCGAGGGTAAGCCATTCTCACGGTTAATAAATGTTACCAATGATCTTTTAGGACCTGTGTACGAAACGATGAGTCGTTGTAAATTATTTAACGAGCCGAAATGTTCAATCAGGATCTTTCCAACAGTGCACGACGCAGTTCAAAGTGCGAAATCAATTTTTAGTTTAGAAAATCACAATCACATTAGTGTTATTAGTAAAGTGTAATTAAAATATGATATGACATTGTAAATATGACATGGACAAGGGTTAGACTGGATCATTATTAAATTTATAACACTCGATCTTTGCCAGAAACACCATGCAGTCACATCCTAATTAAATCCACATTGAGGCAGAAGGCGTGTCGAAACGTAGTAATAAATCTTGACGAATGTAGTTTTGGATTTAAAAGGCTACAATCCCGTTTCCCGCTCAATTATTGGAAAGAAATCGTTTATCGATGGCTTTTATTTGATGAAAGCTCTCGATGGGGTCTAGAATAGAAGCTCTAGGAGAACCTTTCAAACTCTGGAAGAGACCTAAGACGCTCAGAAAAGACGGAAGGCGACAGTTTTTGGAGACGTTCGATAAAGATTCCACTAATGCGTTAAGAACCGCTTAGAGGACGCCGGATAGTACTCGAAAGCATTCAAAAGTGCAGCTTCCTAAACTCAGTCGCCTTACAAAGACTTTTCGGTTGGAACCGGTAATACACAAAGTGTAATTTGATGTTTAAATAAATTACACCTAACCAACCCTGCAACTGCCCTCTCAAAATATATTTCCTTCTGTTATTAAACTTGGGTACGTATTTTCTAGAAGATTCACACTTAGATACATGTAACCCTCAATTGTGGGGGTGTAACTGTTGTGAACCAAATATTTTAAGTTTTTTGATTTGACTTGTTTTTCAAGTCGTGTTGCTTGATATGATATCAAAATAATTTCAAGGTACCTACATACTTGATTAGGTACTTATCGGTATAGGTAAATAATGTAAAACTAAGCATAAAACAGTTCATTTAAGAATTAAAACGGAGAAAAATTTCGTAACTGTAGAATGTATAATGGAATGACCCAATAAAAATGAAGCTCAATTCTATTCATACTCATATTGAATTATGGGAAATCAATTCATAAAATCAACAAATAAAATATAGAACCCATTTTTTTTACCAAGGTCTAGAAGACGTCCAACCTCTGCCTCTGTGATTATACTCATATACTTTTTGCGTGACACTCCAGAACCAAATTTTAAGAGCAACAATATAATAGTATATCAGGTGATCAAAAAGAACTGAAGATAGTTTAAATTGGGCCCTTTAAGTTTTTAATGTTTTTTACTTAAGGAATTGGCAAATATGTTTAGAAGGTAGTTTATTTATGTATTAGTGATTAAATTGATCCACCACTGCTTTTACATAAATGACATTTGGTATGTTACCAACGTTATACATGTTTAGTTTTACGGAAAATTCAAACTGTCCGCACTACTTTTTGATCACTCGGTATATGACGTCATAAAGTTGTAATAATGCGTATTGGCTTTGAATATTTAAAGGCATTGTATTGTTGATTAGAAAAATTGCGCTTGATACCGCGAAGTATACTAAATGTACATTCATCCGAACAAATAATGTTTCTATGAAACAGTAGATCTTGTTGCAATTGATTTAGATAGAACTTGCAAAATTCTTGTCTGCGAGCATTACCAATATCTTTCAGTACATGTACTTTTTGCAGAATCTACGACTTCATTTAATGTCGTTTTAAATCTGCAGGAACTGTTTGGTGTGATGCTCCAATGTTTGCTGCGATCTCCCGAGGAGATATTTTGTGGATTCTAAATATTCAATTCAACGTCCTCATATAAAAAATGGCGCTCTTCTCTCTATGGTTTTTTGAAGGTACCACAATTTTGTACATTTTCTTCCAGTCACTTACGTGATTCTGGACGGTTTTTATTGTCCTGAAGTACATTTTGCAACATACACGGTGTCCATATTTCGAGTGCCACTATGGGGATCTCGCTTACCTGAAGAGATAGAGAGTGGGTTAAATGGGAGCAAAGTTGCGAATTTTCGTGCTGAATAATAATCTGAAAAGAAATTAAAAATATCTTTAGTAGTTTTGAAAATATCGCAAAACGACATTATTCAGACACTTTAATTTTTCGGGAAGAGTGCTTTGAAAAAACAAAACGTTCTTTCATCGTGAACAGCTTGATCCATATGTCTGGTTGGAGCATTGGCAGGGAACTAGTTGTGTTGAGATTTTCATCTGAATAGAATTGAACCTTCGTTTTGCAAGAAAATTATAATTCAAATTAGAACAAAATACTTAAGAATAAATAATATTTTCGCAATAAATCTAGCACAAACGTAAATTACACTACTGGAAATAAGTCAACCTTTTGTTCACAACAAAAGAACGTTTTGTTTTTCCAAAGCACTCTTCGCAGAAAACGAAAATTGTAATTTTAGGAAAAATGTGTTACTGAACCACCATGTGTGATATATCGTTGTAAAGAGAAAAAAAGACGTAATCTCAAAATGTCAAAATCCAAAACGGCGCCTATAAGAAAATTAAAGTTGCCACATGTTTCTCCATCATCTTAAAAGCTATTGAAAGCGGGATGCCATATTCGAAATCTCCATTAAAAAGTGTCTGAATAATGTGTTAAATAGAAATGTCTAGAACGATTAGTTTACTATGAAAAAATTAAAAACAAAAATCTGAAATTTTCTTTTTTTTGCCATATTTTCAAAACTATTGGAGATATTTTAAATTTCTTTTCAGATTATTATTCAACACGAAAATTCGCAACTTTGCTCTCATTTAACCAAATGTCTATCTCTTAAGATAAGCGAGATCCCCATAGTGGCACTCGGAAAATGGACACCCTGTATAGGGATCAATTAGTTGATTGAAATGCATTTAAAAACATTAAGCCAGTAACCTCACTACAGCGTATAATGACAGCAATTAAACGATTGTTTCCATGGCATGCTATAAATAAATATTTCACGATTTCTGTTACACTCAGTTTCCATGACATGCTATTTCTTCTTCTTCTATGCTTTAATTTTGTGTGTGAAATATTTCAATCAAAAGTAACTTTCATATTAATCATAAAATTTAGGGGGGTAAATGTTATTAAATTCAATTAAAAAAACATAGGTAACCATGCCATTTACAATAGTTAAGATAATTTAAAACATTTTAATTATGGTCGTTTTGTAGTACTTTTGCAATCATTAATTATGGCGTTTGTTGCATCAAATTCGGACAATAGCTGTAGGTGCTACAGCTTGCGGCGTTTTTTTAAATTACACCCTGTACACGTCTTGAATATGCTTTTAAGATATACGTGAAGGATATTCCTGGAATCCTGACATATGCGAAACCAAAGAGTAACCATACTCTTTGGCGAGACTCATCTGAGTGGAATATACGTGGAGGATATCCCTAGGATATACCTTTCGTGGCCAAAAGTATATGCGTGGAATATATATGTGTACTAATATAAATAATAACAATAATAATAATAAATGCCTTTATTCACTAGGAATGGGCGAGGTTCAGCAATGACATGTATGCCATGTGCTGCTCTTCCACCTAACGCGATATAACATATAGAAATTAATATTGATATGGCCACAGATAAAATATAAACATGTAAAAAATTAAAAAAAGAATATCTCTTTTAGAACAGAAGGGATAGCATGTGTGTAAATTAAATACAGTAAAGGCCCTAATATGGATCCCTGAGGGACTCCTCTTTTGATATTTAAGTACTTTGATGCCTGACCATTGCAAAATACTGATTGCTGACAATTATTCAGATAACTATTAATTAGTGAAATCCCAGATTGCGAAGCCCCAATATAATGTAGTATAGCCAGCAATACCTCATGCATCACTTCCAAACGCGCATATGATCTATTCTGATTTTTTTCATTGCGCACAGGTGTAGGTAATGGGTACTACATCATGCATCCATGCCTCTAAATAATACGTTATGACCTCATCTTCTATGAGGTTGTAGAAAAAATTTATTTGGGCAATTGGGATTATTGGAACGGTATAGGAGTCTGCGCTGCTACGTTGTCATTTGGCATCCTTGTCTATGGCTATCTATGTTACTGCAATCTTTTTTTGGTGTGGAGTTTAACTCGCATTGAATATCAATAACAAATACACACGCACAAGTAAGTGATAAATCAGAAAAGATCTGTATGACTGAATCTGATTCTTAGACCATATAGTACATGGACTGCTAATTGTAACTAAAATATGGTCAAGGACATCGCCTGGGTACGTGAGTTCAGGGTAAACGAGTCTATCCGAAGTTGTCCGATTAGACACGATTTGAGATTGTCAACCTATAAATTAACAAACGTCAATTAATTAATCGCCTAGATATCCCAAAAAAAGCAAACTTATTCTTATTTGTGGACGCATAGTAAATAATGAAGGGTATTTAAAGCTTCCCGTACTACGCGGTTACTATAAAGCTGCTCTTTAAGCGATCCTAGTGGTGTTTACACGACTTTAGTTTACCCTGAGATTCACATACCCACGACTACAGTGCCCTCTATTCGTGACCATCCATTTTGTATTGAAAGCATAGGGCGAATAGCAGTCCATGTACTATATGGTCTAAGATCTGATTTGATGCATTGTACTTAAAATCAGGTACTGTTATATTGGTTGCCTAAGCTACAGTTTTGTTATCCAAGGACTAATACATTAGTAGGTGTTCTGCGATATTTTAATAATCTCTCAACTTTCCACATTAAATGTACCTACACCATACACAGTATCTAACAATTAACTTTATTATACACTTATATACTTACTACAAATGAACTTTCGTACTTTATATACATCAAATTAATAACCTTTACGGCCTCGAAATCGCACACGATTATCCAGCTGAAAGAAAATGTTTATATACAAACATTTACGAAACAAAAGTCTTTTACCAACGATCGTTTACACTCAAAGAATGTGTTACGTAAAGCTTGACATTCATATGCGACACTACCGTCGCTGGTTTTCAAACATTCCCTCGGTGTCTTCTTATCCTAGAAGCAAGTATTTTACTGAAGAAAGAAGGCGAACACAAGAACATACTCTTTTCACACAGTCGCTATTTAAAAGGCACATCTTTAAGTCAGCCCGTACGCCGGCACATGGCGTTTTATCCGCCAATTTTTCACCTTCTTCAGAATACTGCATGATGGATATTTACATCACTGTACTTATAGAAATTATTTAAAAAAGTCCTTTTTATGTTTATTAGGTTATGTTGATAGTGAAGTTGTTGCGCTTGCGCTCAGTCATTTTTATTAAAGGTCTGTTTGCACATTACAATAAATTTTATTTTCCACCATTGCTTTCGTTTTACCTTCCTTTGAGGTTGTTTATAATTTAAACAATGCCTTTAATCTGATTTATTTAAACAAAGATTTCGAAGCCCAAAAATCGCAAATAGAGACAGTTGGTCTCTCAGTTCATTTTTCATCTTTAGAATAATAACCAAAGCGATACATTAAACACAACCGTTCACGGTGACGTCACTTCCCCAAGTGCGCAGACGTCTCTTTCATTGGGTTGTATCCTCGTATACATTTCCCATTTGCTTCATGAATTTTTGAAAAATTGTTTTTAATTAAAAATGGTAAGTGCTACCAGAAAAATATATTTATTTTGTATTAAACAAAAAAGTTATTATCCCATTATTATTCACTTTCACCGCATATCTAATTGCTTTACAGTGATGTTTGTAGATTTTTGCGTGAACATTTGCTATAACCAACAAAATTCTTCATAATCCCTTACTTTAAGCGGCCGTTTGTTTTTAGGGTTTCGTTAAAGTGGTAAAGAACAAGCAGTACTTCAAGCGGTACCAGGTTAAGTTTAAGAGGCGTCGTGAGGGTAAAACCGACTACTTCGCACGTAAACGCCTGATCACTCAGGACAAGAATAAGTACAATACGCCGAAGTACCGTTTTATTGTCCGTTTCTCCAACAAGGACATTACGTGTCAAGTCGCGTTCTCCCGTATTGAAGGCGACAAAATTATCTGTGCGGCGTATTCTCACGAGTTGGTTAAGTACGGTATTAAAGTGGGACTTACCAATTATGCTGCCGCGTATTGTACTGGGCTGTTGTTAGCTAGGCGTTTATTAAAACAGTTGGGGTTGTCGGAGTTGTATGAAGGTTGTACAGAAGCAACTGGTGAGGAATACAATGTGGAAGGAGTTGAGAAAGGACCAGGCGCCTTTAAGTAAGACACATTTTTTGTTTGATTTCGTTTTTTTAAGTGATGAATAATCGGCACATGCGCGTCATCTGATTTGGTATTGCTAGTCACTCGAAGGTATTGCTGTGCATGTTTTATGTATAGTTTTACTAACGTCTGTATTGGCATATCAATTATGTGATTATAATGTGTCTCTGAAAACCTAAGCGACATTAACATTGGTATTGTTTAAATGACCCGCTGATAATTGACAATTTTAGGTGCTTCCTTGATGTGGGACTGCAAAGAACTACAACAGGTGCCCGAGTTTTTGGTGCAATGAAAGGAGCTGTTGATGGTGGATTAAATATTCCACATTCAACCAAACGTTTCCCAGGTTATGATGCTGAAAACAAACAGTTTAATGCTGAAGTTCATCGTGATCATATTTTGGGGCAACATGTAGCTAATTACATGCGTAGTTTGGAAGAGGAGGACCCAGAAGCGTTCAAACGCCAATTCAGTCATTACATCAAACTGGGAATATCAGCCGATCAGGTATGCAATTTACAATTAACGTCCAACAAAATTTTGCTAATAATCTGAATTTTATTGGCGTGTCGCAGTTGGACAAAATTACATGTAGGTTGTGCATATTGTGAAAGTTTCGTCCTTTTGCAGTGCAATTTACAAACATTTCCATTTTGCTTGTTTCCTATTTAATGTATTTCTTTTAACACAGATTGAAAATATATACAAAAACGCACACGCGGCCATTCGTGCAGATCCTTCCGCCGATAAACGAGAACCTAGAGCGCAAGCCACTAAAAAGAGGTGGAACCCTAAGAAACTTACGTTGGCTGAACGTAAAGAAGGTGTAGCAGAGAGGAAAGCAGAGTTTTTGAAGACACTTGAAACTCAAGCAGAATGAACATTGAATTTATTTATATAAATTTTGTTATTGTGCATAAATGAAATACAAATTATGCCCATAATGAATGCCTGTGTTTTTATTTTATTGGGATTTAAAAAGAGAAATAGTAAATGGCAATTTGACTTGCTGTAACTGTAATCAAATCCTGGTTTTTATTGTGTATATCTGCAAAAATTGCAACATACAGTGCAAATGATGAGTAGTGTAGTACTGGATCATGTTTACATTGGAAGAGAAGATGGAATTTATCATAAAAGAGGGATCTTGATGTAAAATAAATTTGAAATGATTTTTAGCACATGCACATTAGTAAGGGGGTAAAAAATGAATATAATAATAATGACATACACGTTTTGAAGCACCAGGAATCCGAAACAAACAAAATCTTGATGATTTCTGTCTGAACCGCTTGGAACCAAATTTGGTACACATAGACAAAAGCAAGAGCTGACAACCTTTTGGACAGAATGCGCATTTGCAGGTGAGGTATCTGCTAAGGACAGCAAATTTTTTCTTTAGTAGAGTTCTAGGGGTAGAAAGTGGGAGTTTTTGCAACTATACAGAGCGTCTAACAACTAAGCCATTAGCATTTGCTTTGTAATTTTCTAATACGCTGGATGCACGAATTTTTGTTTCAATAATTTCACGGCACAAGTGATTTTTACTAAAATTCTAATGCATAATTTCTTCGATTTCCCACAATAAATTGCAAATGGGCACATTATTAAACGCAGAACTGCTGTAAAGTAATTAGGGGAGAAAATATTCCCAAATAAAGAAATTACCATTGAAATATATACAGGGTGGTGACTTGGCGAACGCTTCATAGGGATTTGAATGTAAAACGATTATTGGCTCCCCAAATTATTTTAGAGCAAAAATGTATTAGTTTTTTGTAGAACAAATTTTTTTACGCCAATCAACCGTATTAGTTTTCAATTTTTTACATATAATAAAGACAGAAAATTGGAAAAATAAAACCCGCATCTTTTTCAATAATCTGCGATGCCATGGAATTTTCTAAAACAAAAACATCCAGTTATCAATCAGCAGCAGTTCGAAGTGGATTTTTGATCGACTTGGTTACTGTCTTTTTTTTTTTTACCTATTGGAACATTATATTAATTTGAAAAATGACAGCCATAAATGAGATAATATAAAAATAACTTAAAAAAAATTAACTGTCTTGCAGTTAGTGGTGACTTATTCGAACATTTATTGTAAATTGTTATATTAGGAAACCGTGTTTAGTAATTTGGTCTCTCTTTATGTTGAATTCGCTGTTCTAAATAATACTTTTTGATAGAATTTGATTTGTTTTATAGCAGACATTCCATGGCATGACGGATATTGGCGTAGTTTTTGTATTATAAAATTCCATGGCATCACAGATTATTGAAAAAGATGGGGGTTTTATTTTTCCAATTATCCGTCTTTATTATGCAAAAAATACACACAATGTAACTTTTGAACTATATAGTAGCCCACTCTTGGAACTGTTTGAAATTATGGATTCTACAGGCCACATTCTATAAGAAAATTTTTTTCCGGGTCGATCTGAGACAATTTTTTTTTCGGGCCTCAAAAAAGGCAGTGTATACCTAACCTTCCTTTTTACCAAAAATCGACTGCACTAAAATTTGTCGGGAAAACACTTTTTCTTATTAATTTTGGTGCGTAGAATCCAAAATAATTCGTACTTTTTCGATCAGACTTCTCAATCAAAAGTTATAGACTAGAAACCAATTTCGAAAGAAAATTCAAAGGGCTGTAACTTTTGAACTAGTAGCCCAATCTGGGAACTGTTTGAAATTATGGATTCTACAGGCCACATTCTATAAGAAAATTTTTTTTCCGGGTCGATCTGAGACAATTTTTTTTCGGGCCTCAAAAAAAGACAGTGTGTAACCTTCCTTTTTTACCAAAAATCGACTGCACCAAAATTTCTCGGGAAAACACCTTTTCTTATTAATTTTGGTGCGTAGAATCCAAAACGATTCGTACTTTTTCGATTAGACGTCTCAATCAAAAGTTATGGGCAAAAAACCAATTTCGACAAAAAATTCAAAGGGCTGTAATTTTTGATCTACTAGCCCGATCTTGGAACTGTTTGAAATTATGGATTCTACAGGCCACATTCTATAAGAAAAATTTTTTGCCGGGTCGATCCGAGACAATTTTTTTTTCGGGCCTCAAAAAAAGGCAGTGTATAACCTTCCTTTTTTACCAAAAATCGACTGCACCAAAATTTGTCGGGGAAACACTTTTTCTTATTAACTTTGGTGTGTAGAATCCAAAACAATTCGTACTTTTTCGATCAGAGTTCTCAATCAAAAGTTATAGACTAGAAACCAATTTCGAAAGAAAATTCAAAGGACTGTAACACACAATCTTGGGGCAGTAGTAGTATAGACTGGACTGATATAAATTTAAAGCATTTGTGAATATGCTAATTCGAGTGCTAATTGAAGAAGAATGTGAGGCATCAGCTAGGATAGATTTAAAGTAAATACGTAAACAAAATTAAAACCCATTTATTGAAAAAGTACAGTAACAGATATCAAATGGTCTTCATAAAAGAATCTCATTACAATTTCAATACCAAGACGATTAGACCTTAAAATTAATCCCACTCTGTCCCCCATCCCTCTTCTTCGTGCTGTTCAATTTGGGCAATACCTAAATTCAATTTCTTGTCATCATTTTCGTCAGATGTTAAAATATAATATGGCTTTGAAGTTTCAATAACAGGTTCCATATCTTGAAAGTAATCGATATCGTCTTGCTTAGAGAAACTACTTCGACTTTTAATATCTAAATGCAAAACATCGGGTATATCACTCTTCTTGATTGAAGGCTGTTCTTGTCCTATATGTAAATTTGGTTCTTCGTGTGATATGGACTCGACTTCATTAACAGTACTGTTCGGTTCAGTAGTCGCATCCCAGTCGTCCCAATTATCCAAGTCATCCTCTGTAGACTGAACATTTGACGATTCGTTCTCTTCACCATCTGGACTCGGGCGTTCGGGTAATTCCAAGTTTGCTCTATGGTCGGGTTCAAAAGTTTGAGTTTTTCTGAAATCTCGTTTCGATCTTTGAATATATTTTTCAGTGGTGTGTGGAATGGGTTTCCCGTCACTAAATAATTTTGCCCGCCTTCCCCCAATGACAGCCACCGCTCCGAGAATTGGAACAATATCGGCCAAAACTCTTAAAGTCATCGCTACTAATTGGTCATTTGTGTCTTTTATTCCTACAAGTAACTGCAAACATCAGTCAATAAGTACCTACACAATAAAGTTATAATTGAATACCTCAGGTAATATTTGAAACTGTAGCTCTTCCTTTGAGAAGCAATTCATGTAATTGTGAAAATGCTCCAGGAGCAGTAAACGGATTTGCACATCTCTAACACAAAATATTTGCAAAAGCTTGGGGATAATGTATTGTTTGAAATTTTCCATTGAAAATAGTCCACTTTCATTTTCCAGCTCTAAACAGTCAATGTGAGGGTGGAAACATTAATTAGGTACAAACCTTGTCGAGGACATAAAAGATATGGTAACATGTGATGTTGAGCCGTTTTGTCCAAAAGAACCATTCGTGACAAAAGCAATCCGCCCAATTGACTAGCAACAATTACCTCATCAAATGTTTTTAATTTGGTTAATAGGGAAGAAAAGAAATTCATCTTCTCATCATCTGCCTTTAATGGCAATTCTGTCAACATGGAATGAACCGTTATAAAATCGTGAACGAAAAATTTGTGATCTAATAGCGTTAATATCTTCGGTCTAGAGAGAATTGGACCCTCCAACTGAGCTACACTCTCACGAAAGCTTGCCAACCACAACAGGTCCTCTAAAGAATAAATTATAGAGGTTGCATAGAGAGCATGTATTACCATCGCTCCTATTTAGTAGAACTTCTTTAACTAATATCCCAAATGCGTATGAGTCAATTGCGGACGGATTCTCCCTTAGCTGTTTTCCGTATTTACTTTCACTGGCATCAATCGCCTTATCGTAACGATATCTTCGAGTTTTACTTAAATACCCTTCAGTCAGTTCTGAAAATTTGCACAGATACTCCATACCGCCTAGATGCCAATCCCCATCTCTTGTTACATAGATCGAAGATATACAAATATTATTATGGGAAACGCTGGCGTTGTCATGCAGGAAGCACAGCGCTTTCAAAACAGAGTGCAAACCTACACAGATTTGCATTGTGTTCTGTGCCGATAGCACCAGAGATAACGGTTTTACATCTTCGGACACAAGATAAAACATTGATCCCTTGGGCCATGACGAAATGTATTTTAAAATGCAAGGATGACGATAGAGTTTTAAATGCTAGAAAGAGAATTTTAGGCATCTTTCTTGTAACATAAATTTTAACACCTTAGTACTCTTTTCAAGAGGCGTTTGGGCTGACCACAGTGAGCCATTAATTAACGACTCGCCTACAAATACTGATACCGTACTACCGCAGCTTGAAGTGGCAGAGCGATGGATCCAAAAATCTGTAACCTGGACAGCCTTTTCCTCAAATTCTAAATTGGAAAATTGAGAAGTTTCATTTCCCATAATATTGTTTTTAATTGTTCAAAGATCAGTACCACATAACCTAAAAAACATCATTTCGCAGCTGTCAATAATAGTGTAGATAAACCGGAGAATAGTTCTACTGATTACCAGTAAAATTTATTTGAACTACGATTTTGGTCTTCTGGTTGACATAACGTCAGACATTCCTAATTCAAAAATTAGTACAAATGGATAACGAAAATTTAAACTATTTGCCTCAGTATCAAAAACTAATCTTTGACAATAAGGAAAACTTGGTAGATGTAAATCGAAAATGTTTAATACAAACTTATTCTGCTTCGCTGCAGTTGTAAGTAGCGAATGTGCCATAATTGCCTCTAATTGTTTTGTAGGTTGGATAACAATGAAACTCTTCAGCTTTTGGAAGTGAATTTAGAGAAATATACTAAATCTTTGAATAATGCGTTTAAAGAGAAGTTAAAAGTTGATGGAGCTGTTCCGATGACAAAACACAGTTACTTGAAACCGGTAAATTTGAAATTTCCGAATTGTAATCAACATTGTTCCGGATCCGATTTTAATGAGTTGATGAAGCATTTAAAGGTAAAGGAAGTCAAGCCAAAGAAGCAAATCCTACCACAAGCAGTTGTAAAATCCACAAGCTTCTCTTTAACACCACCAGAGGACATAAAAGAATCTAAGCCTGCATTTAGGACAGCACGGGAAGAACTAGAAATGCAAAATTCGAAAGCAAACAATAATCGTGCTCCAGCTTGCGGACAAAAGAGAAAATTGGGCACCTTAGGAGCGCGGCGCAATGTACAAAGCAAATTTGTTTCTCCAGTATTAGCGCAGCACGAGAGGTGAGGAATGAACCATATTGAATTAGCGTTGTGATGTTTATTAATAGCAATGAACACCGCTCTCACAAAAGTAATGAGTGGCCAGGCGAGGAGGAATTTGTCGATGAGCGATTAAAAAATATCGATCCAAAAATGGTAGAATTAATTCGATCTGAAATTATGGACAATGCGCCCGTTGTCCAGTGGGATGAAATTGCTGGGTTGGAGTCTGCCAAAAATGCCATACATGAAGCTGTAGTGTGGCCTATGTTAAGACCCGATATTTTTACTGGTTTACGTAAACCTCCAAAGGGGATTTTATTGTTTGGTCCACCTGGAACCGGAAAGACCTTGATAGGTTAGTTTAAATTCTCTTGTGCTCACTTCCTGGCAGATAAAACCAATAAGTAAAGAACTTATTATGAAGTGAATATTTACAGGAAAATGTGTCGCATCACAATCTAAATCGACATTCTTCAGTATCAGCGCTTCATCTCTGACATCAAAATGGATTGGTGATGGAGAGAAAATGGTTCGCGCATTATTTTCGGTCGCCCTTTGTCACCAACCTGCTGTAAGTAATTGCTGCACCTAGATTTTTTGGGAACATAAACATTTATAGGTCATATTCATAGACGAAATTGATTCTTTACTGTCACAAAGAAGTGAAACGGAACATGAAAGTACGCGACGTTTAAAAACTGAGTTTTTGGTACGCCTAGATGGCGCCACCACTTGTAACGATGAACGTGTGTTGGTTATTGGTGCGACCAACCGGCCACAGGAACTCGATGAAGCTGCTAGGAGACGATTTGTGAAACGGTTATACATTCCCTTACCAGAATATCAGGTTATCTCCCTAATGCCACAGCAGTTTATTTATTTGGTTTGGTTATAGGCTCGTCTGCAAATTGTAACAAACTTAATGTCCAAAGAACGTCATAGCCTCGCTGAATGCGATATGAGTAAGGTTGCCGAATTGACTGACGGTTATTCAGGAGCAGATATGAGAAATTTGTGTTCAGAGGCATCCTTGGGTCCCATTCGTAGCATTGATATAAGACAGATGGAATTCATAGAAGCCAATGAGGTTCTTTATTTTTGTACTTTTGATTATTTTCTACCTGTCTCCTTAGGTACGACCTGTTGAAATGAAAGATTTCTCTAAGGCCCTGTCAACAGTAAGATCAAGTGTGTCACCGAACGATCTCACTCAATATGTAGAATGGAACAAAGTTTACGGTTCGGGTTGTTTAATTTAAGTTTATTTAATGTTAATTAATTTATTTATGTAAAATATTGCTAGTGCCCAGTGAACGTTACAACAATTCCTGTGTGTTGTTTATCTGATGTTTTAAAGATTTTTTAAAAATGTTGTTTCTCGATTTAAAATTCTAAAACTCCTGGATTAACACCTTGGGAAAAAGCAAAACTTTCTTTATTTCCTGAAATATGGTCGCATCTCATTCTTATTTGACCACCTGGTACAATTGCAGTGTAAAATTTAAAAAAAACGTAATTTCCGGCCAATTTGATTAGACTGCACATACAATATTTCACGATGGGTTTGGTCGTATAATCTTGAATAATAGAGAAATTATAGTTACGAAACCAGATTCGATCAAGATGCTAAGGTGCAATCAAGGACGTTAAAGGTATTTTTAACGTCCTTGGGTGCAATACAATAATTAATAAATTTACTTTTGACCTGTATTCCACAAGCTACGCCACTGTCTAATCAGCTGTTTGTGATATGACGTGTATTAAATTGACGTGTATAACCTCAAATCGTAGGATACTTGCTCTGGATACTTGGCAGTTTCGTTGACAACCATTTAAATTGAATAGTGTTTAGAATATTTAGACAATTTTTGAGGCGAAAACAAGATGGTTTTAATGACTATGATCGCTCGTATCGTTGACGGTTTACCGTTAGCGGCGACAATGCAAGAAGACGAGCAGGTAATAATTTATTTTACATTCTAAATGCAAATGCGAAACATTTACAGTCAGGTCGCAACATCCTGGATTACCAAAATCAAGCCAAAATGTTATTCCGAAAACTTGGACCTCAGTCGCCCACCCGCTGTACAATCGAGACAGGGCCGTATTTATTTCAGTATGTATATTTTAACTGGTTGTTTCAAGTGTAACGGGGCTCATTTTAGCTATTTAATTGAGCACGATGTGTGTTATTTAGTTCTATGCGATAGGAATTATTCAAAACGCTTAGCTTATTCATATTTGGAAGACATTGCGCAAGAATTTCATTCCCAGTATGGTAAACGTGTAAATACAGTCACAAGACCGTACACATTTATAGAGTTTGATACGTATATACAGAAATCGAAGAAGGTATTTACGGATTCGCGGGCTAGACGTAACATGACCAATATTAATAATCAACTACAAGATGTACAGAGGATAATGGTGCAAAATATCGATGATGTACTACAACGAGGAACTGTTTTATCAGGTAAAATTAATGTGGCACAATCACCTTTAATTGTCAATTTTAGAATTGGATTCGAAAACACAAAATTTATCCATGTTGACCCAAAAATATAAAAAAGACGCCACATTTTTAAATACCAAGTCGATGTACGTGAAAGCCGCTGCCGGATGTATAGTTGTATTTGTTTTTATCTTATACTTTTGGATTTTGTAATAATGGTATCATTAAGGTTAAAAATATTATAGGTATTGCCATTGCAAATTTTTATTTAATCCGGTGTATTGGAATAAGTTAAGATCTATCTCTTAAGGTGTGTTGTCCCTATAATTTTGCTTCAATTTGGAAACTAATGGAAACTTCTGTGATATACGTGTTTTGGTCTGTAACTTTAATTAAGATACCATTCAAAGCATCCAAATGTCGTTACAGTATAAGTTTTTTTCTTGTCTTATTACAATGCTTATTTAAATATATTCCTTAATTTTTGCAAACACTCTTTTTTTCATGCCCGTTCTGAACCTCTGGTATGCCTTTCCTCATATGAGCTGTGTATAAATCTAATGTTCAGAATTTGATTCGGAATTCAGACCACTTTCTATAGCTGAGAGAAACACACATAGCCTCTGGTTCTAGGAGGAAGACAGCGGAACAGATCTTTGCTGGTGCTTGTCTTCAGACAGAGATCAAAAGGCTTGGGTGAGGTTGTAATAGCACCTCAGCAGATCAGAGAATCCTCAGATTTTTTAACAAACTGCCTCTCGGAGTAGGACACTGGGGCACGCACAACCCAAGGAGGAAAAAAAACTGCATAGCTTTAGAAGAAAGAAAAATATGTAGTTGTTTAAAACTCCTGTCTACTGATCACTTATTCACCCCGTTTTGAAAATATTTGTGATATAAATTCGTAAATAATACAAACAAAAGTTTTATTTCCAAATAAATAGGTACAACTCTAAAATTAAACAGAAAAAGAAAGCTATCAATCAGAAATTTCTTCATCCGAATATTCCGAAATAAACAACAAATTCTTCAAACTGCTGTCCAGATCATCCTCCTCCGCACTCTTAATAATACGATTAGCTAAGTCATTTCCGTTACATACTGATGCATCTATGTAAACCTCCTCGTCTACAAAACTTTACGGTTAATTCACATACAAATAAAAAAAATCCCACCCTACCTGACTCAATGACATCATACAAGTGCAGATGCTCTTTGAGCACCACATGAATCGTCGGATATTCGATTATAATTTTATTCCTCAAGTTATCCTTTAAACTTTCCAAGGGATCTAACTCGTAGTACTTCTGGCCCGGCTTCTGCTCCGCTTTAAGAAGTAGTTTAATACCCGGCAAATCTACGGCGATGTAATATTGTAGGCGTTCACGAATTAGTTTGTTCTCATTCGCCAAATGTCTATGCGTAAGCGTACTTAAGCGTTCGGTTTCAGGTACATTATCATCACATAATTTTAAATTATCGGCGTTAGGGAAAATCCAGTCAATGTGCCAATAGACGACGTCGGATGCGAAGTGGAGACGCGTTGTGTTGCGTTTGTGTCTTACAAAGTTTCTTGGAAGAAATTTGAGGGTTGTTTTACGGGCGGTCGTCGCCTTGCTAAGCTTGTAGAGGTGCTGCAAGAAGTGCATTAGTAGGGGAATTGTCAGAGATGTGACAAGTGAGCAAAGATTGAATATTTTCTGGTTATATTAATCATAATTTACTGGTGATACTTTAATTTACGATTTCCTTTATGAAGCATATAGCGAATATTGACCCAAACAAGCAATACTTTTCCTCCATGCCTTCAGTGGATGCGACAGTACCTCTGCCCTTTTTGGCATTATGCAGGTCACTCTGTAATTGGGCGCAAGCCTGTTGAGGGCCCAGAACAAGAGAGGGATAATAAATAAACAAATAAATAATGGTTGTTCCGCGAAAAACAAAGGCGAATTCGATTAAACTTGTAAAACTGAAGAATATAGGAATCTTTAAACCGCTGTATCTCAAAAACTATTAGACTTATAGTCAGATATAAGGACTTGAACTGTTACAAATTTTGTCTAGTTTAAAAAAGTATACGACAATAATTGCTTTAAAATCTGTCCTTCAGGACTAAAACTAACAAAAACCTAAAAATAGTAGATAAAATGACGCTTTTTCGAGTGCTGGGTCGCTCGCACAGGTCCTTGGATGTCGAAAACATGAAATTTTTTACATCCATACTCACCCAAAAAACTAACAAAAAATCGTTATGCTGCTTGAGGCGAAAAGTGAACTTTCAAATTTGTTTTTTCGATTTTATTAGCCCTTATGCCTTAACGAGAATACAAACATCTGATCGAATGACACCAATGCCAAAGTCTGTAAGTGGTGTAGTTCCGGAGCCTTTGTGACTCAGACAGACAGACAGATAGACATCAAGAGCGCAAAAGTGCACTTTTATTTTTTGAAAGTGAAAGTGCACTAAAAAGAATTCGATTTTTCAGCCCTTTGAATTTTCTTTCGAAATTGGTTACTAGTCTATAACTTTTGATTGAGAAATCTGATCGAAAAAGTACGAATTGTTTTGGATTCTACGCACCAAAATTAATAAGAAAAAGTGTTTTCCCGAGAAATTTTGGTGCAGTCGATTTTTGGTAAAAAAGGAAGGTTATACACTGTCCTTTTTTGAGCCCCGAAAAAAAAATTGTCTCAGATCGACCCGGAAAAAAAATTTTCTTATAGAATGTGGCCTGCAGAATCCATAATTTCAAACAGTTCCAAGATTGGGCTACTAGTTCAAAAGTTACAGCCCTTTGAATTTTCTTTCGAAATTGGTTTCTAGTCTATAACTTTTGATTGAGAAGTCTTATCGAAAAAGTACGAATTGTTTTGGATTCTACGCACCAAAATTAATAAGAAAAAGTGTTTTCCCGAGAAATTTTGGTGTAGTCGATTTTTGGTAAAAATGGAAGGTTATACACTGCCTTTTTTTGAGCCCCGAAAAAAAAAATTGTCTCAGATCGACCCGGAAAAAAATTTTCTTATAGAATGTGGCCTGTAGAATCCATAATTTCAAACAGTTCCAAGATAGGGCTACTAGTTCAAAAGTTACAGCCAGGGACGGACTGGCCCGGGGGGGGGGCGGGTGGCGATTGCCACCTGGTCTGTACGTCATAATGGCCCGTTGGAAATTTATAAGTATGTGCTGTATTTAGTTTCTTGCACTATTAATAAATTATTAACACGTTTCTCTCATTGTCATTGGGGTTGATGTTAGGCTGTTCATTAAAAAATTATGTTTGTATGTAAGTAAGGAATTTATCATTTTTTGTCGTATTTTGAAAGTGCTGAAACACAATTATAGGCGACGCGCCTCGTTTGGATTATGTATATTTTGTTACTTTTAATTATCAGCTGCAATTTAAAAAAAAAATGTACTCTATAATTGATTTTCGAGAAAGGAATACTTTAAAATGAAGCAAAAAATGTTTTTGTGCTTTGTGGTGCACCGCAGAGCTTATCCCCCCCCCCCTCCTGCCATCATCATTACACTAATACTTTAATGGCTGGTAACGTATGCAATTCCATCAGGCCCGTAAGTACCCAGTCCGCTCCTGGATCTGATGAAGGTATTAGGATATTTTGACTGTACTAAAATAGAAAAACCATTTCTGAAAAGAATAACCGATTAAAGCACAGGTTTCTTGGGTGCACCCAGATTTTCTATAAGATGCTGCTCCCAGGATTCTGTTTTCCTTAAAGATATTGGGAGCGAGATTAAAACTATAGTGTACCATAGACCTCGCAATGCTGTGGTACCGAGAAGGCAACAACTGATCACATTTCTTAAGGCCAAGATCAGTATTATGCTATTGGAACTGGCCCCGTTTTAAACTGTGTTTGGCTTAATAATAGATAAAGTTACTTTAGTAATATGAAAAAACAATTGAGTCAGTTATAAAATATCCTTCATTTTTATCAAACCAACCAGGATTTATTTCATTCCTATAGGTTTGGGTCAATATTCCTCAAGTGAAATCATAGCCCATGATACAATTATGTGCCCGGGCAAACTTATTGCATACAAATTAGTTACTCCTCGGGTTGTTTTATGAATATAGTTATAATACATACATACACAATATTCAACTTTCAGACACTTTTTTTTGTCTGCGAGTACCTACGTACATTTGGAAGTTCATGATTTAAACGTGTAGGTTTTCGCGAAGAATTTTTTTTCAGTAGATCCACGCTTCTTGTGATTTCTTCCAGTAGGCGATAATCGCTTGATAGGTCGAGATTTGTGAATTTGTTGATGGGTATGTACTTGGTTCTGTCACGGATTCCGCTGCATTCCAACTCTTGTTTGTGCACTTTGGCACAGGCGAGACAGCAGGTTTTAACTTCGCATCGAGGACAGGTGTACTGTGCCTCGTTTCGTGCACAGACTTCGCAAGAACCAAGCCTAGAAAAGTGAGAATAGTAGGAGGATTTTAGGGAAAATCAACTCACTTTGAGCTACTTGGCACACTTTCACTTGTTTCCATTGCCGCACGTGTTTAGTGTTTACATTAACCCTACATTTCCCATCTGACAATTTCCTTTCTTTTCCCTAGGCTAAGGACCTAAAGAGGACAGGGGGCCACCGTTGTCTACGCAAGATCGTAAGCTTCAAGCAATTTTTAAACGTAGCGCTTAAACGGCAAACCTTCTAATGAAGCACAGGACGGGATTGGCCGATTTTAATGACATTCCTTCAAGTACCAAAAATAATACAAAACTAAAAATTGCTTCATATTTAAAAAGGGTAAAGAAATGTGAGGCCTTTAATTAACGTTCGCGTTAAATATTACATATCATTTAAATAAACCGTAAAAGAAAGAATTTGCTCAACAAGGTCATCGTTCCGAGTGAAGGTAGGAGTGCACAGTTCTATGAATAGAATAGATTATTTATTTTTCCATTAGCAATAAATAATACGTCACTATCTGATTTAATTTTTATAAATAATGGCTCCCATGGGTATTGTAAATCCACTTCATGACTCATACATCCTTAAAAACCAATTGTGATTTTAGGTAGTGGTGTTTATAATGTCCAAAAAGCAAAACTCCAATAGGATTTTAAATACACTCTCGATATCACTCCCGGATGACCGACCAATTACAGGGATACAAGTAATTAAAATAATTTCGTAACTATCATCTTTAAACGTTTATGTTTAGGTTGTCGAAAGCTTAGATAAGTGCCCCGACGGGTTTTCTGTGATCAGTCGCACATATGATCAAGATCAAGACGCCGACTTGTGGCGTGAAGGTTCATTTTTAAAAAGAAAAACCGAACGCTACCTATGCTTGTCTAAAACTAAAGGTAAACACTTAAGATTCTCATTTCACACTGTACACATTTTGTGCCGTAGGACTGCCCGGTTATATTGTAGAAGAAATACTTATAGTTAACGATAAAATCCCTCCAGAAGGTTACTGCTTGTTAAGTCGAACTGTAGACACCGAACAAAAGGCGTGGCGTAAAAAGCAGCTGTGTTATCGCCTAGTGCCAAGGAAGCAAGCCATTTTGGCTGTAACCGATATTATTATTTGTAGTCGTTTAAAACGTGCCCCGGAAGGCTTTTCTTTAGCAGGGTAATGCCATTTGAAAGTTGAGGTTTCTGTAGTGCCACGATGTATATTAATGTTTTACTTTGATGGGAGTTTATGATGAAACGGCAGTAGAGTTTCTCAGCCAATTCAATACAATGACACCTTTTTTTAATTGTTTCTGTGAAATCAAAAATTGGGTAACTTCGTAATAATTGTATTTGCATCCACATAGTTCTACACAAAGGGTAAATTGTAGTATATTTACAGCATAAGTGTCCTCAGGACATCAGATATCTAAGCATATCTGGATATCCAAGGATATCTGCAGATATCCCCCAAGGTGTATATTTAAAGATATCCGTATCCAGATATTCAGAGATGTCTGAAGATATCCATATATCGCGTCAATATTTGAATATAACTGATAATATATTTAGTGGTGTGATTAGTATTGTTTTTGTTTCGTATGAGAGAAAACAAATGCAGAATATACAACAATTTTTTCTTGTGCATGTTAGATTACCAAAGGGTTTTAAATGTGTTATTTAGAATTTTCATGGCTTAGATGCCAAAACTAAATAAAAGAGTTACATAAATAATTGAAAATAGTAGAAGTAGTGTAAACAAATGAAGAGAGAAAGTTGTTGTAAAAGCGCATGTAATATTGTTGTCTGACAATAGCTTGAATAATAACTGTTATTAAGGAATTGAAAACATTTAACGTCGCGCATTTCCCAGTAAGGGACACTAGTATGGAAACTAGGGAAATAAGATATGGAAAGAATTACAGTTTTAAGAGCTGAATTTAACACACTCTTTGTTTTTAGAAAAATTAAGAACCCAGCTAAATATCTTGCAAAAACCATTTTTTCAAGTATTTCTTTAATTTAGAAAAATGTGTCAAAGAAAAGTTATAGGGAGCCAGGTGCCTAAATAATGCAGTGCAACGAATTTTTACATATTAGCTTTGTTTATTCATTTATAGTTCGACCTAAGTGACTGGCAAGTGCTGCCACATCTTGTCGAATTGTAGTACCATCTGATTATTCAATTGGTTTGTACTACTCTAATTTAAACAATGTCTGCCATGACCTAGTAAACATGCCTTTACTTATGTACATAGATAAAAAGAAGTCCTTGTTGCATTATAAGGCTTTGTAGCCTTATAATTTTCCGGAGATTATGCACTGAGGATCTTGGATCTCTTTTGATGAGGACTCATGGCAATCAAAATAATACTAGATAATTAACTTGTGCTACTAAGATACACTGTTTGACATTTGATTCGAATGACATTTCAAATGAAACAATTGCTTCCAAAGCCTACCATACCTAATAAAAATAAGATTTTTTTAAAATGCAGAATGTGAACAAAAGTGACGCCAAAATATTCCTTCATTTCTGCCATCAGAAAGAGTAGTTTTTGACATTTTCATAACATCACAGCAGTCTCGTAAACTTATTATTGCATGGATTTCAGTTTTTCGATATTACTGTTTTGCAAAAATTTTCCCAGAAGCAGGGTGCGGACCGAAAATGAAAGCCAATTTGGTAAAATAAGCTCAACTGCCAGATTATAGGGTGGCTCAGCAGAATTGTTGAGACAATATTGTAAAGACAATTTAAAAAATCCTACCAATTCATGAGTACATTCCATCCTAAATGTTTAGTAAAATGATTAATTGTGTTTGGTTCTATGATCAATTAGCAATGCAGCCATGAACAAAACTTCACGTTTCCCTATGCTGTGGCACTACTGTAACCTTTTCAGTAAAGTGACATTTACATTCAACATTGTGTCCAATCTTCTAGGGAGATAAACGGAGTAGTTATTTGTTATAAAATGGGCAACGTGCAAGATTCGGAGGCGGATCAAGGGCATAATGGAAATAAGCCGCCGGAGAGACCGCCGAAACCGGCACCATATCCTCCTACTTCGTCAGTGTACCCAAATATAGATAGCGATCACGATTACGAAATTCTAATGCCAGATTACAATCGCAGATCGATGCCAGTAAGACCTGCCCCTTTGACACCTGCACAAATTGGTCCCCCAACACATACTATATCACCTACCCAACATTCTCTAGCCGGAGTTCCATTCGTCATTAATCCCAAATTTTTGAATGCTGCTAATAGTGACAAGGTAACTATACACTTGCTGTATTTATTTTTCACATTACTATTGTAGGCGCAACTTCCACTAATCAAAGCGCGAACAATGCAACAGTTGATGAAGGATTATAATTACAGCTTTTCTGTAGAGAGACAGTAGCTACAGAACATTGGAAGTGAATCATCATTTTATTGTGAATATGTTTTGTGTCATGTATTTATTATTTAGATTCTTAAAAGTGTGATAATACCTAGGTAGCATGTTTAATACACAAAAGTGACCACTGTTAGCTTGTCAACAAAAGCGCATCTATTTTTTTTATAATTTTTATTTTAAAAGCTCCTTTATGCAGTATACAACAAGCAGAAGACTACTTCACATTAAGTAGGTGCTCCAGTTTTAACACAAATCGTACATTAGCGTAATTTTTATAATGTATATGGCTGATTTAATATTTGTATATATTGATAATTCAGATTATAGTGCTACTAACAAGATCTATTCATATTTGTGCCAATTTTTTTATTACAATTGTGTTTCAAATAAGTACATATAATGTCACATTAAGCATTTAGTTAGGGTAGACCAAACAATAAATTACTAATACATTAGTTATTTGTGAATTGTAATCTGTATTTTATAGTTATGATAATTTGATCAAACCGTCACTTCGCCTGGTTTCTAAAATGTGTGGCACATCTTGACGCGCCTGTGCAAAGAAGAGTTCCCGTGGCGGAGTAATCTTGACTGAAGAAAATTGTTTATTTGTTGTTGTCCAATTTCTTTTAATGTGTCTTAAGTAATTGTGTTACATTAAATAAATTATTATCTACTTAAGTTATCACTGCAAAAACATTGAAGACATTTTGATTTTTAGCATAAGAAGTACGCAGGGACGAATTATTTGTGTTAGGCGAAATCTTACTGGCTCACAGGACCCACATGCCATAATCTACCTTTCTAAAAAAATGCTTTTCTTACAGTTTCCCCTTTATTTCCTAAAGAATTTCTCCCATTCAATATACAATGGGTATGTGTTCCAGTTAAAACTATAGCCACTCTGAATAAGTCAGTTGATACTGAGACTATAAGCAAAGAGTACTATGGGTACTCTGCTATAAGTACAAAAATTATTAAATATTCAATTTCAGGAAGACACATTTCCATGTAAAAATTACTGCCGTATTGGTCATCCTCTCCCCCACAACATCCTCATCTCAAAAGCGATAAGCGCATCTCGGAAAACAAAATGTGGCAGTGCCACAACGTGTATGCAACGATCGAGGCAACACTGCCGCTAAAGGCAGCTAACTGCGATGTGACAATCTGATCAGCGATTTGGCGATATACCCCCACCACAGAAATAGGGTATAAAGTAGTAGTACATTCCCGTTTTTTGGCTGAACACTGGATTCTGGGAGAGAGGGCTGCAACCCGGCAGCCCTCCCCCCTCTTTATTCGCGTCACTGCCGTTCACCCACAGCATAGTGGTGATTAGTTGATCGGGAGTCGGGACGGGGGACAAATATGGCTTTAACGTGCCTTCCGAAGCACAGAAGATGACATTTACTAGAAAAAACTACTAGTTAGGTCCAGAGCTGGGAAGTAATCGATTACAATTGTAATTGATTACAGTATCAGTATTTATAATTAGTTTTTGTGTAATCAGTAATCAGTAACTATATAAATACTTTTAAAGTATAAGTAAGTACTGTAATCAGAATTGTAATGTAATTACTTTCATTTTTCATTTCATTGACTTTTCTACAAAATACAAACTCAATGCGGCCGATCCACGGGCCCCTTAAAAAAAGAGGTCCGTGTGCCGATCATTAATTTTTGTGTGTACATACTTGTGCACTTTATGTCTGTCTGTCTGTCTGAGTCACAAAGGCTCCCAAACTACACCACTTACAGACTTGGTATTGGTGTCATTCGATCAGAAAAAGTACAAATTATTTCATGTTTGTATTCCCGTTAAAGCATTAAATGTCTATAAGGACTATTAAAATAGAAAAAACAAATTTGAAAATGCACTCTTCGCCTCTTGCTCACATAGCGGCTTAAGACCGCGGTCCCGCTCCCTCGTGTTTCTTGCTAAGCGTGGAAAATTACCCTAAACATTAAGATTGTACTATACATATACAGATGGCAGTTGCGAAGTAAAATGTTAAATATTTGGGTTATACCATGGTTATACAAAACTAGATGCCGCTTTTGGCGCTTCATAAAAGATAACATTGAATAAATTTATCTTGAAAGCTGATAGCTGCACTCAATGCTGATAGCAAATTATACCTATTTATAACGATTGTAAAAATGAAATTCAACTCGCCGTCTGCACGAATGAGCATATTATGTGAACACTCATGCAGTGGTAATTTATTTATCCTCGAATTTATAAACTATCAAAGGGACAAATATCATTATGGATCTATATTTCGGAATGATTTTTTAGGGACACGCTTGTTCTGCAGGTCCTTGTACGTACGCGATTATTTTTTATATAATGATAACGATTGTCATGTTATAAAGCGCATTTGGTTGATTCCATTATTTAAAAAATTGTACTACACTTTTTTGTTAGACCAAGCAAAATATATTTGCTTCCCGGTCGCCTTTGCTAATCAATCAACTAATCGAACTAATCAACGATGTTAAAATTTGGTTAAACCAAAACTGTTCCTCACATGAAAAAACGCTACTTAGGTGCTAAATTATTAATTTATTATGCCGGTTATTGAATAAAGTTCAGATTCTTTATTCAGTGGTAAAATTAAAGGTAAAGAACGCATCGCATGTTTACTTCATTCTCAATAATCTGTACAACAGTCAGACCCCGGGCTATGTTTTTAGCGCCCCGGGGTATATTTAGCTCGACTGCCCCCGTAACTAATGTTTGTATTAGTAAAATTGTTTACTTAGTGACCAAGCTTCAGACGGTTATTTATCTGTATTGATTTTGAAAAAAAAATTCACCAAGAACCACAGAGGCGGGGAATTGCAAATAATGCAAAAATATAATTTAGCACATCTTGCCGCTCCCTTGAAAGTGGCACCTTGGGCTATAGTCCAGAAACCCTATTTATAACTCGGAAATGAGAGTACAGACGGACCGACAGACAGACATCATCGATATTTTGTTTGATTCAGATTCCCGGTGCTTCAAAACGTGCATTTCCGTCAAAAAAGTGGGGGGTCATTTTTTACCCCGATGCAATAACTCCCTTACTAATGTACGGGTGGTAAAAACAGTGCACAAAAACCATTTTTAGCACATCTTTTAAAAATTAAAAAAAATTTGCTATGGTTTGGGTTTTGTCCGTCCGTCCGGACCCACTTCTGCCGTTTTGAACTACTGGGGGAATGGTCCTAGAGTCCTGGAATTTTTTGCAGTATGCCTATAACTTGAAGGTGTGCCAGACGGCCATCAAATTTCGCTGTCTAAAAGAGGGGCCGCCCACGAATTATTTCCTGAGATACTGGTTTGAAAGTAAAACGTGCATAACTTTTACATACGACAACCAATTGGTCTCAGATTTTCCATACGCATGCATAGTGGTGCCAAGTTAAAATTTAGAATAGGGGGGGGAACCCATGTTCTACCCTTCATGGTATTCTAATACAAGAACATGGTGTGTTTCAGCTAATCACATTATCAGAAATAAAGCATTTTTTATTATATAACTTTGCCCATTTAAGCGACTTTGCATCTCGTACGAGATCCCCATGGTGACAATGAAAAAAACTCACCCTGTATTATTATCATTTTATCATCTTTGTTACCACCTGCAATACGTACAAATTACAAATTACCTCCAACTTTTTAAGTCGATACGATACACTTACACACATTTCTTGGGCACCGAGTTTGGTCTTTTTCCCAAAAAAATTGGTGATTAAATAAGGATTTAGATCGATATTGGGTAATAAAGTGATTGCTACTAAAATTAATTCTTGATAGTTGTCCATCTGGAACCATAAGCTTTCTTATAGCGAAAACTAGTCTTCCCAAGAAAATCGGTACATAAATAACGATTTTGACATTTTTTGTGAACAAAAAGACACATGGATCACTTCTTGGGCATTGCGCAATTGAATTTCTCAAGAGAATCGATGCATAAATAACGATAAAAATATTTTAGTCGGCAAAAATAGGCATGTATTATTTCTTGGTCATCGAGCAATCGAGTTTGATCGTTTTCCCAACAAAATTGGTGCATAAATAACAATTTTGACCAATTTAGAGCTATAACACGTGATGAATGCCAAAGTTAATTTTTGATAGTCGATACGAGGTCTAGCGACTGAGCTATAGTACGGAACGACACGCAGACGGACAGAAATGTGAAGTCATCAGCGCTCCACTTTCGTGGATTGCGTTAAAAACGAATTCCTTCACCAGAACACAGAAAATTATTAATATTTTTCCTGCTCGCTAGTAACTGATCTGGCTACGGCCCGAGCAGTCAGAAGGGGCGAATCCTGCAAAAGGTGGTGTAAACGATTTTATCGTTTTAAATTGTCCATTTGGGTCCAAATAACATGTATTTGAAGAGTACACACCCACTTTCTCTTGGCACAATTTTTGACAGCCAAAAAACCTCAAAATGTTCGGATTTTTTTCAGTTTTTCGCTTAAAACTCGAAAACGGTCCATATTTTATATGAAGAAAACTTCTTTAGTAAGTATATTAAAGAAAACACAATTCTGCGTCGATCAAAAGTGAAAAGATGAACAAACAAACAAGCAAGGAGCCACAACGCATTAAAAAAAGGTTAACTCAGTTTTTTTTAGAAAAGTTGGAAAAAATCGGTGTTCTTTGATCTTGTAAAAATTTTTCTATCGGACCGATTTTGTTTGTTCATCTTTTGATCACCGCAGAATTTTGTTTTCTTTTTCACTAAATAAGTGTTATTCATTAAATATGGACCGTTTTCGAGGTTTAAGCGAAAAACTGAAAGAACTCCAAACATTTTGAGGTTTTTTGGCTCCCAAAAGTTGTGCCGGGAAAAAAATGGTGTGCACTCTCCAAATACATGTTATTTGGAGCCAAATGGACCATTTAAAACAATAAATACTTTTACGCCACCTTTTATAGGTCAAAATTAACTGCATACTGACTATGACAAAATTAAAATAATTAAATTAGAAGAATTCCGGGGTATTGAACTTTTTAGGTAATTGTGCTGGGTTTTTGCAGAGAGTCTTCAAATTTTATTGTTTTAAGCCCCCTCCCCCCATGAATTGTTTTCCGAGATGCGGTTTGGAAGCAAAAGGTGCATAATATTCATTTGCGTCTTTTTGTGTCAGATTTTGTATACGCTTGGCAAACAAAATTTTTGAAAATGGGAAGTGGGGTAATCACACTTTTTACCGTCCATGGTAGTCTAATGAAAGGTTTCAACGAAAGGGATTGGTTTCTACCACTTTCCTCCGCGACTGCTTTTAGAGATAAGAGTGACGTGGGAAGACGGAGTTGGGGGGAGGGGGGGCGGAAATGTTTTTACCTTTCAAGGTAATCTGATTAAAGGTCTCAACGAAAGGAACTGTTCCCTGTCAATTACCACCCTTTTCACCCACATTTTATCAGAGTTGGGAGCCGGGGGGGGGTTAACCGGTTCTCCTC